CCAACTGCCCTTCTCCGACATGGGGATTCGGCGAACAGGGCCGCAGACACCATATCGGCAAACAGTGCGACTGTGGTTTTTTTGTGATACTGAGCAAAAACGGCATCGTTCGCATTCGTTTTCGTCTTGTCGATCGTCCTTGGCATGCCGTGCCGATCGGCAAGACAAAAACGATTTAACTTTACTGCCCAGCGATCACCCCGTATTGCATCTACTGTAGATCAGCGGTAGTTAGCTGCTAACTGACCACCAGCCCCCGTGTGGCTCGTTACAGAACTGTTTAATCTAATACTTCTTGTGCTTTAATACACCACACGAAAATAGCTGAACTGTCCGTATACCGTAAAAGCGATCGGTCTAGAAATGGAATCGAAGTATCGCTGTATTTTAATGCCTTTGATTTTGTACAATACAGTTGCGCAATAATCTCTTTACAAAAGAAGGCTGGATTCCCCAAGGCTCATGCGTCTAAGGTCCGCGCCAACACCAGCTAAAGAAATAAAGGCTAAAGCAAACAGAGCTAGTACTTAGCTTCGGATAACAAGAGAGGATTAATTTTCAGGAAGCTAATCGTTAACATAAACCAATAATTCAATCATATTTTACAAGCCGCGGGCAGCCACACATCTCACCGGCAATGGAATATGTCAGTAAGTAAAAGCGTGGGGTTGCGGACTGTACCGGCTGCTGTCTAATAAGGTTTGTCTCAAAGAATAGATTACTGAATCCTCCTTTCAAGTCTTGTGATATGTGGTGACATACTGCGCAAAAGAAGTAAGCGCAAACGGCATATAAAATTTCCCTACAGTCCATCCTTCATATTCCAGAAAAGTGTCATTTTGCACAGTGCAAATTGCAAGCGGCGTCACTGTAAGGTTCAGTTAGCCGAAGTCTTCGCGGCACATAATTTGCAATGCTGTCCAGCGATCCTCCATCTGTCGTGTCAAACTTTACAGGCAATGGGTCCGCTTTCCCGTTTCCCATCTGGTTTTATTACCGACTGGAAATTAAGACCTACTACGTTTTTATGATTATCCTAATCATCGTCGGGACGGCATTCTGTCTGCTTTTGATAGCGTGCCTCGTCACATCCCATGTACACTCAAAATCCAATGTCTTGCTGTTGTGTCTCTTGGTAGCTGTTGCTCTCCAGTGTGGTCTCGGCATTCCCTTAATGGCGGTGTCCACCGAGGGCACTCCCTTCAACCAACCAATCAACGAACAATTTTGTCCGTGGGCCGTTGGTCTCTTTATCTGTTGCAACACGTGGGTAGATTGGGCTGATCTGATGATTAGTTTGAACCGTTTGGTGGCCGTCTGTTTCCCGCACATGTACAACAAATTTACCCACAAGAAAATTCTCTATACGATGACAGCGATACCGCCAGTAGTCGGCGTGATCCTTGCGCTCCTACAGTTTGCTCGTGTGTCCGGTGTTGCTAAACGGATGACGGCGTGGCGATCGTGTACCCTGGTGTATAAAGATTCAGTGTGGGCCAGTGCATACACGCTTATACAACTGGCCTTTCCCATGATTCTATCGGTCATTTGTTATCTGTGTGTCTTCTTGGTTATCGTTCGTCGCCTATTTAATCCCGTGAAAGTGTCAGTCGTTACGGATAATAACAGACACCGGCGACAGCAGCGACGCTACAAAAGCGTGTTAGCGTTTTTTGCGGCCTTTGTTTCGTACAGCATCTGCATAATGCCTACGCCGGTGGTGCTGACCTATCTAATTTCTCACGTCAACATCCAATCATTTATTCTCCTAACGCTTCGGCTGATTACGCTTCTCGGATACGCATCGACCCCGGTATGTTTCGAAACCCTCGTGCCTGCTAGAGTCATATTATAACATTCGTATTACCGATAAAATGTAGAGGTATCGAATACTAACAATAACAGCATGTGGAATGCGCAGGTCATCTATCTTGCTCTGCGTCACGATTACCGGCGGCAGATTGAGGATTTCATCAAATATTTGGTCCGAAAGCAACGAGGCAGGATTTCACCATTAATTCGCGTGGAACGCACCGAAAATACTTCATCGAATCGTACAGGAAATGGGGCATCTTACACTATGAAGGATATCCCAAGAGCGGCAACAGTTACGAAGGGAAACGCACCCACTAAAGTTTAATTATCATTTGAAGTGATGTTCTATAAATTGATTGTACAGACAGACCCAAAGGTTTACCAAGACACATATTATTACGTATACCACGGCAGGTAGAAGTAAAAAACAAGTGGCCAATAAATAAATAAATAATTGCCTTGGTAATACCTGTACAAATATTAGCCGGCCTTGTCTTGTAGCACTGCATGCCTGCGTTCTTAACTTCTTATACAAAACTGAATCTTTTTTCGCGCTACGAATACAAATGCATTATTGGCTTCTGCTGGCAAGTTTATTTTCTGACTTCAAAGGGTACCAACAAAGCTACTGTATTCGAAAGAAACTGCACAATTAAGACAATGAAATTCAACGCCTTTGAAGATATGGTTTATAAAAATGCACGTAATACCGGAAAATGGCTTCCCTGACCATTACTATAGGAAGTACTGCTAAAAAAAGTTTCAGTGTTATGATGCCTGGCCTAGTCAAGCGACAGCTGGCTAGTACATGTTAGGGTTCGCAGCTGCCAGAACTTGCTGATATCCCGTAATATGATTCTGCATACACTGCGGTGGATCTATCATGGAGCAAAGCGGCTTATCCGGAGTCTAGTAGATGAGCGGCACATCTTTAGCAGCACTACATCCGTATTTGTTCAGAAAGTGATCGGCCGCGGCGTCATATCGGTCTCTGTCCGCCTGGGTCAGCTGCAGTGGGTTGGTACTGATAAAGTGCACGACGACCGGTGTCTCACAAATACCGGTCTGCAGATTTTGTGTACCGCATCCATACATAAACCACTGCGTTGAGTCCAGAATTAGGGTCATGGATGAATTAGGGTCTGTAATGGCAAGCCAGATTTCAGTACTGCATCGTTATACAAAGTTGTTGTATAGTCTAAATTATTCTCAGTTAATCTTCAATTAAGGTAAAATAGCCACCGGCTTTGCTTACCAGGAGCGCCAGCGGCAGTGTATGGAATGATCAAGCCCGAAATGAGCCCACTATCTTGAATTTTGCCGACAAAAAAGCCATAGACGCACTGGGAAGAGTTTTTACCATCATAGTTTGAGTATTCCGCACAGTATGTGTTGGTCGAAGCGTTGATCAAAGGGGAAGCGGAAAAAAACAATTGCACCGTGTTTCGTGATTAGGTATATGCAGATACGATATACTAATGGCAAGCATTTCTTCACACGTTTCGTACATACGCTGCACGTGTGTTTTGCCCGTAAAAGAATTCCGTAAATCGTACCATAATACGGTGCTGTGTGGGAGACGTAAGCCTACAAGCGAACGGTGTCCATGGACAAATTTTGTTAGAAATTGCAGAAAATGCTAATCACCGACCGATCACCGTCCAGTTTCACAGTTCCCCTCACAGCGTAATCAATCTACAGAGTACCGATTTAAGTAAAGTTCAGTTATTTGAATTAAACAACGCTCGCTGTACTATTAAAAAAGCCAGGAAAGTGATCGAGTTTACAAGCAACCAGCGGTTTTCGTTGCATATTTTGATACGCCAACATGAAAATAACAAGTTTGTTCGAAGGGCCACTGTACGTAACGGTCTGAAGCTGCTGGTGTCCGGTAAATTGGTTCTGCATACACATCGGAGGGTTGACCATAAGACACAACGACTTATTACTGCTGTGAATGGCGAGCGCGACATCATTAGCATCACTACAGCCGTACTTGTTCAGATAGCGATCGGCCACAGACCCAGACTGATCCAGTGCATCTTTTTCAGATTGAGGCAGTTGCGACTTGCAAGGATTGACGCGAAACTGCGAATATAATGTCCGATTGTCGGCGAATCGCAGACGCCGGCTTGTTGGTTCGGAACACCGCCTCTGTATCGTAGAGGAGAAAGTACATTTCGTCCACATAAACCAACACTGCTGAAGAGGCACTGAGAAAAGCGCGCGAAAGATACGCTCTTTTAAGAATGTCATCTTCTCTGGCCAAAAAGAGGAATAGGCCTGGAGATATCTGGTCAGGAGGCACTTGGTCAGAAAGGGGCGACGAAGGGTTTCACCACTAACCCGCATGGAATGCACCGAAAACACTTCGTCAAATCGACAGGAAATGGAGCAATTTTCACTAGAAGTATGGAGAATATAGAGAACGAAGAGTCCCACTAGAGACTTTTTAAACAATACGAGAGGTGGTTGAACAGAGAAGCAGACACCAGGTTTATCCAAAGAAATATACATGCGTATATGAGAATTATTCACTTTTCGTTAGCACTTGAGAGTTGAGAATATTACGTAATAGAATTGTGCATATTAATATAATATTAATATTAGCCGATGTTCTGGTACACTATATTGAAGGGTATCGTTATAGGCACCCCTTCCCACCCGCGTACATTATAGGCACCACTTTTCGCACCCCATTTACTGTAGGCACGCTTATGAATAATTAAACTTAAAGATTTTTGAATTATTAATACCTGAACCTTTTTTCACCGGAGCTAAGGTTGTGAGCTGCCTCTGCTGCGCTGCTATGAATCGTGTCTGCTGAAGTTCAGCAGCTGAACCGGTACCGGAAGTGAAACACGGGATGCTTTTCATATATATGAAACCGAATATGAAAACGTTGCAATTAGTTTGCAATTGAGTAACTGTTGCCGAAAAATAATGAGAAATTAGCGTGCATGTACTCGTAGAAAATTTTTGGATCATATAAGGGTCTTAGGGTATCATCTTTTTAATACAATGGCTGCTTGTACTAATTAATCAACGGGGTGTGAGAAGGGGTGTCTACAATAAACATGGATGGAAAGTGATGCCTATAACGGTTTCCTATATTGAATAGTTCGTGTCTCATACAAAGGATCGCCTTTTTCCGTTATTTGTTGGCTTTTATTGGCAGGTTTTATTCTAACTTGTAACTGTATTAGCATGAAACAAACATGACAACAATTTCTAACAAAATAATCGACTGCTTTCGGTAAAGATAGCTGTCTAGTACATAATAGCGTTTGTGGCTGCCAGAACTTGCTGATATCCCGTGATATGGTTCTGCATGCATTGCGGTGGATCTATCATGGAGCAAAGCGGCTTATCCTGCGTCCAGAAGATGAGCGGTACATCCTTAGCAGCACTGCATCCGTATTTGTTCAGAAAGCGATCAGCTACAGCGTCGTACGCATCTCTGTCCGCCTGGATCAGCTGCAGTGGGTTTGCACGGATAAAGTGCACGACGACCGGTGTTTCACAAATACCAGTCTGCAGATTTTGTGTTCCGCATCCGTAGAGAAAAAATTGTGTGGAGTCCAGAAATAGTGTCATGGATGAAAAAGGGACTATAACGGTAAATAAGAAATCATTCTACCTGTTTCACAGTAATACAGTCTTAATAATTGTCAATTAATTTCTACTAAAGGAAAAGTAGTCACCGGCTTTGCTTACCAGGAGCGCCGGCGGTAGTGTATGGAATGATCAAGCCCGACACGAGCCCGCTGTTTGAATTTTGCCGACAAAAAAGCCATAGACACACTTGGAAGAATTTTTGCTATCATAGTTGGAGTATTCGGCCCAGTATGTATTGGTTGAGGCGTTTATTAAAGGGGAAGCGGAGGCTCCGACGAAATGCAGCACCGCTTGCTGGTTGACTGGATCGATTTCCGGCGAAAATAACCGCCGATAGTAATAATATTGTCCCTGAATCTATAGGAATAACATACAAGTTATTATAGGGGGGAAAACCATTTTAGTCGAACCATTTCACGGCACTGCTGCCGTCAGCCGGCTGGATTGTGCGCTGCGGCAATACATACGGTTAAATCAAGCGCGGTACATAAACACCATGTTTCGCAGCGTAAAACTCCAGTAGGGTGACGGCAGCAGTACAGGGAGACGGTTCGGGTAGACTGATTTGCCCCTTGTATACATATACATAAACATAAAAAAACATAGTTACGTAAAATATATTAATATATACATTTTCGTACTACACTTCTACAAGCAACGGCTTACTGATTAGCAGTATGTTCAGTATATAACCAAGCTAGCGAATAAGCTAGAATATTGCTTATTTTGAACGTGGTGACCGTAAGTAGTTAACTGTCATTGCTGCAGTAAGAATTCACCAGGTTGAAATCGACCTTTCCAGGAGACGGTATTGCATTTGGCCATTTGCAACTTGAGGGTGTAAAATTACTAATAGTACTTGTATCATAGTTAAATGAAACGCTGGTGGTCGATGAAACTGAAGCAAAAGAATAAATTAGGCATTTACCGTAAAATTGTTTAAAAAACAGTACATAATATTAAGATTTTCTACCTGTAGAGTTTACGATGGTCAACATCATTCCTTGGATATCCTGAGCAACGCAAGCGGGTGGGTCGATCATTCCGCATGTTCCCTTCGGTCCATATATTTCCTTCGGTATATTCTGCACCGTCACGCAGTATTGTAAAAATGCAGAATTTATGATAGTGTCAAAATTCTGCGCCTCGGTTGCTGACAGCTGATCTGGCCGTTTCCGCGTTTGAACGATGATTGTGGGCGTGGCGCAGTGGCCATTGTCTGTTTGTGAGCGGCTACAGCCATAGCTTATCGAAAGATTCTGATAATCGTGATACAGCACAACGAAATCCGTTGGTCCTGCAGAACCACTGCAAATTAATGGTCCAGCATACCACGTTTTGCGTAAATGGGAAAACAGCAATGCAACACAGTACACAGAAAGACTCAACTCACGCATTATATAATTATCATCCGATCCACCGAGATCGCCAATTACTTGTCCTGCGTTGGAATATGTTCCCGTAAAGAACTGATGCGTACAGGGTGTGTCGGATGAATCGGGGAAGATCTCCCACCACTGCAACGTTGACGGTTGACTGATAACGGGATCCGCAAAGGGCGCTACGCTGGTAATTTGTATCTGGGCGGTGCTGGTGTAGTTTCCGCCCATCTTTCTGTACACGTACCAAATGCCATCGGCCTGTGATGCAGGAAATCCGTCTTACAAAGGTAATTTATTGATAGTACTTTTTAAGTATTTTTTAGGTAAAAGTTTTTAATTTACAACTAGGTATAATTTTCTAAATGGAAGATTTTGTACAGCACTACCATTTTTTTAGGAAATTTATAATGATGTTTTTGCCAGTAACCCCAAAAGAATATTTCAGCCAGAACTATTCGAACCTGTTTAGGAGTTTCTCCACCGATTCCTTTCACACTGGCTGGGAAAGCCGGTGAGCATTGAGGAGCAACAAATTTGTTAATGCTCACTGAAATTAAGGACTTTTTTGTGTTACGGTCGATGCTACAAAGCCGTACGATGGAAAGATTACGCGAATAGAGGTACTGATCCCGTACTTACCCAAGCAGAAAAACGCAAACTTCCACAGCATTTTAGACAAAACGGATAAGTCCAGACTCGAAACAGCAGCTATCTATTTGATAAACCAAAGGATTCGAATGCCAGTTGTCAAGTATTCTGTACACATACATTAAACATATAGATATATACCGATAAATACCTAATTGCGGCGCGCGGTCTATGTAAATTTGTTTTGCTTATCTATGTTTACATTGCATAAGTCCTAGCACAGGATTTACCATCCTTAAAAAACATCGCAGCGCTTGGCTTCGTATTAGGAATACACACACCGTATTAATTACCCGTAGCAATCAGCCAAAATAAATTTTAGGTCTGCACCAGAGAGCGAACTTTGTGAGCTCAATTGCGATTTCTGCAATGTACAGATACCACAGCCATAATATGGAAATTTCATATTATGAATCTGCACTTTCACAAGCGTCTTTCAAAGCCGGGAGGCACAGCAGATTCTGATCCAACACAGTCCACGTGTCATAGCGCGGAAAATTTTTACGTTTGTTATTATTTCGAGTGTGAAAACCGTAGGGATGTGTAATTTTGTAGTACGCGACATTTGATGTGGCGGCGATAATTCTTTATGATTTATCGATAACGTGTAAAATTTCGACAGTTTTTTTGTAAAGCTTGTTGTACAAAGCGAAGCTAAACGATTTTGTATTTTCTGCAATTGCGGTCGTCCGCACAGGTTGTACGAGTATTAAACAGTATCTGCGGGAAAATGCAATGGCAGCGTGTACAGAGACAGATACAGTCAATACAGATACTTTCTACTACGTACTTTTGCTCATGTGTGTTCACGGTGCACGTGTGTTTTGCCCGTAAAAATATTCAGTAAATCATACCATTATATTACTAAAAAGCCAGAAAACTGAGAAAAGTGATCAAGTTTGCAAGAAACCGGCGGTTTCAAATACATATTCTAATACGCCATTAAATATAAGAATAATAACAAATTTAATAACAAATTTGTTCCAGTAGATGCTAACAGTCTTTGTAACGGTCTGAAACTGCTGGTATCCGTTAAAACACTCCGGAGCAGACCTGGGCAGTTATGAGATTTCGGCTCATAGTTAGAGTTAAGAGTTAATCGCAGCTCGCGAGTTACGCTACGAGTTAAGTTAGTCGCAATAACTAGAGTTAACTGGAGTTAACTTGTAATAAAAACATCGTGATTTTAATAATCAACTTCAAGTAGTCTTTTATGCATGCCGATATCACTTTCACCAGATTTGAGACACAGACCATTATTAATTTTTTCTTAAAACTGATTTTGAAAATTCATGCATTTTCTTATGTTTCTTTTTCATGTTTTTCCTGAGGGAGAGAGCGAGAGACGCATTTTTCTTGAGGGAGGAAGATAAAATATAAATGAAACACAAGAAAGAATAAGAAAGAAACAAAAGAATTAAACATAAGAAAATATAAATGAAACATCAGAAAGAATAAGAATGAAACAAAAGATGAAACATAAGAAATCATTCTTGTGTTTTTGTTCTTATTGTTTTCTCTCTCACTCAAGAAAAAATCAAACATAAGAAAAGTCCCTATCTGACAAAATTCCTCCCTCTTTTTGACCCTGGCTTTTTAGGGCCGAGCGCCGGCAACGATGAACTTTTTTACTATGATTTCGCTTCACATGGCTACCGAGGTTAGTGTAGCGGTTTGACAGTGTTGACCGCGTTATTACGCTTCCCTAATGCCAATGGGCAGGTAGCGAAGACGCACAGACGATCAATTCCCGTGTGATTTTGGTGCGGAACATGATTTGTCCTCGTGTTGGCAAAATTTTGCTCCGCAAAAAATTACGTTCTCTGCACGCTGTTAATTGAGCTCAAATTGAACGACCACACTCATTGTTAGCATGGACTCCCCGATGCATATTCATCTAGGGATAGCCTCGGGCGGTCGTAGTGTACGTCGACTCGAGAAATTTCGTACACACATACTTTTGTAATTATGGCAATTTATGCGATCCACGGTTAAAATGGCTTTTTTCTGATATTTTCTATATTTTAATTTTATTTTTGCTTTCAACCGAAACCCGCAGAGTTACGTTAAACTCGAGTTGCGCTATGTTATTTTTGAGTTGCGCTAGAGTTAAGTTTTCGTCCTGGCGAGTTAAGCTTCAAAGTTAAGTTATAACTCGTTAACTCGAAAAAAACTCGCGTTAAGTTAAATAGTTAAAATTAACTGCCCAGGTCTGCTCCGGAGGGTTGACCACAGGACACAACGAGTTATTACTGCTGTAAACGGCGGGACATCATAAGCAACACTACAGCCGTACCGTAGAGAAGAAACTGTGTTTCGCCCAGCATTGTCGAAAAAGACACTGAGAACAGCGTGCGGAAGATTCACTCTGTGAAAATTATTAAGTTATAACTGCTTTTATTTTCTTAACGCCGGGATTTTTACCACAGAATTGTGTAACCGAAAACGACAACGGTGGCGCCAGATTAATTTATCTACTTTATAATTTGTAAGAATGCGATGGAGGAGGGATTTTATTGGCCCAACCGAACGTTTGTCAATTGTAAAATTAACTACTGTACCAATGTAATGCAGTTTCATTTACTTCCACGCAGCGCCCTTGGCCATGTGCGAAATGACTGAACCGGCAATCGGTCCACTCTCAATTCCACTTTTTTATTTCGAAGAAAAAATCTTTATTGAACCGAGACGAATTAGCTGCAGTATAATGAGAATATTGGACCCAGAATGCGCGGATTGAAAGATTAGCCACAGATGAAGTGAAGAACCCCATGTCATGCAGTATAGCTTCAATATTTACTTTACTGGGTTGGTTTCCGGTGCGAACCGTATCCGTCGGACCGTCAGTAATAATCATGTTCGCTAATCTGTTAAATCCGATAAAAGTCTTCGGTCATTTGAAAAACTGGATACGTATGCGCGGTAAATTGACGTTTAAAAGTATGGCAAGTTTTTCGTTAATGTGGTATAAGTACAGTAAATAATATATTGATGTGCTGACGCTGAAAACCAGGTGTTAGAAGCGTTCGAAAAACAAATTATTGGTGGCGGACCGGGGTACATATCGTGGAAAAGACGTTTTCCTCTGTGGTTCTGGCAGTTCTGCAAAAGATTACCTGTCATTGGTTAAAGTGTTTATAATGTTTCTCACTGTTGAAATACTTTTAATTTTAAATCTTTTTTCCAAAGGTTATGTTTCTATACATAACGAGTCACAACCATACAGATATGTACTTGTGAGTTGTGAGTGCCTCAAGGGTTGCCTGCCCACTGAAAAAAAAGCTTAACTGCCGGCCTAATTACCATAACTACTACTGCATATCAACCGATTAGCCTTAGGATTTGCAGACGTTTTAGCAAAATCTCATTCTGCTAAAGGAAGATCGGTCTCTGTAATCAGTCTGTGGGGCGTTATTGGCGTCTGGGACTGGGCGTCATTGGACTTGTTGCCAATATGGTTGCAACATTCTGTAGCAACTGTGAGGAGCGGTAACGCAAACAGTGTATGTAATAAAGTTGCCAATTAGTATACAGCGGCTCCACTACACGCACTCAGTGGGTGGACGCTTTAATTGTTAATGACCCAGCGTCCTTCGACGAAGTGAATACAAACCGGATGTGTAAAAATACTCATGGAGCTCATTGTGAGGAAGTGTCGGGTGGTCGAATATCTGCTGATCACCTTACCATTAGTTAACTGCAAACTGAGGTTGACGTCGCTCGATGTTGTGGCTAATTGAATTCTGTGCATACTGCGGCAACTGTTACCGCATTATCTCTGTCAGTTCTATTTAAAAGTCGTGCACTGTTATTCCGAAACGTTTTCTCCCAAATTGTAGCGCTGGCATACTCGCTCTACTCGATAAAATGTCGAGGGCTCCGCCTTGCAGGTTTGCAGAATAACTGGTACGAATGTTTCCTCCAGGCGGCTTCTGAACGAGCATTGTACCTGCATTATGTTTATGTATTCGGAGTAATGGGCAGCACGGCGATCATCACAATGAGCGCAAAAACTCCGAAACATATTCAACGATGTGTCGATAATTAATAGCAGATTTTTCCGTACCGATTCGATGTAATGGAAGTATCCGGCAGAGCTCACGGGACAGGAAATAAGTAGCCTGTCTGCCACCGTGCTGAGAAATGATTAGAACCTTTTAACTTTTGCAACACCAGGACACTATCCTCGCCTTTTTAAGCTTCCATAAGATATATCCGGAGACGTGATCTCATTCTGAGGAAGGCCTTTTATATCAAACCGTTACACACTTGCATCTTTCCATGTTGGTTGTTGCCAGTATGTAATGCAAAGTCTTACAGTAACCTCATCCATTCTATGATTGCAGCGGCAAGATGGACGCACGAGGAAGAAATGCAACCGGCAATTCTTCTTCGATAGCATCTTCCATTCCCATCTGGCTGCGATACCAGGCCGAAATCCAACTTTGGTATGGATTTATGATCTTATTTAGTGTGACCGGAACGCTATTCGGCGTGCTGCTCGTCCTGTGTACCACGACATCGCAAATACGCTCGAAATCAAAATCCTTAATGCTGAGCCTCCTGAGTGCTGCGACCCTGCAGTGTGCCCTGGGTATTCCACTGATGGCCATGGCGACGGATGGGACACCGATCAGCCAGCCCATTAACGAACGCTTCTGCACATGGGTCTTCGGTATTTATTTATGCTTGACTACGTGGGTCGATTGGGCCGATCTGATGATTGCTCTGAACCGGGTAATCGCCATCTGCTATCCGCACATGTATCCGAAATTCACGACAAAAATTATGAACACTGCAATGGTCCTTTGTCCGCTGGGCGTTGGCGTCGTAATGACAGTTATGCAGATTGCCGAAGCTTCGGGTGTCGTCAAGCGGTTAACCGTGTGGCGATCATGCAATATGATTTATAAGAATGCGGTCTGGTCAGCCGTGTACACGCTGGTTCCAATCGCCATTCCTATTGGGCTGTCATTTATGTGTTATTTGTCCATCTTTGTCGTGATTCTTCGGCGTCGATTCCGCGCAAATACGGTGGAGACAGCAAGCGAGCAGAACAGGATTCGCCGGCAACAAGAGCGCTACCGTACCGTGTATGCGTTCTTCCTTGCCTTCGTGTCGTATAGTAGCTGCATTTTGCCGGCACCGGTGACGGGACTGTTTTTCATCTCGCGTTTGGTTGGTGAGCCGTTTCTCCAACTCACCTTCCGAGTTGTTGGACTTTTTGGATTTGCATCGATCCCGGTATGTTCACGCTTCTTAGATTTCCAGAGTCTAAGAATTTTCTGCATATTTGTAAACACTATTTCACTATTGTTGTTGCAGGTCATATATTTTGCGCTACGCAGAGATTATCGACAACAAGCGTGCCGTTTGTACAGGAATTTTCAGCTAAGGGTCCACCTGCGTAGAGGTCTCGCCGTCGATCCAGGTGAAACCGCCTCGTTCAGTCGCACAAGCCAACGGCAGGTGTTCGCCATGAACGTCCGTATGCGATCGAGTAAGTCGAAGAATAATTATAGAGTGTCAGTTTCAAAACTATATAATGTACAAAATTTACTGATGTTGCTTAATTGTGGAATCATTAGAACTCGAAACTGATTGATGGGCGCTTTCGGTTCTTTTTAGGCGGAAGTCGGGAGTATAAGTGACGAAGTTTCAAACTGTGGCGTTCCTACGCAAATTAATTTACTCAGCGATCAGCCTTAACGACCTGACGCATTATATGGAAACTTAAATTTTCACAAAAGTTAATTTTCGTTTGCCATCTGTCCATCATTATACATAAACTAGATGACATGTGGGCAAAGGGGCTGAGTGGTTTTCGTTGTCATCGTCTGATTTAGAGGCACTGGGTCCCAGTGCTTCGGTATCTATAACAGTTCTGAGGGACAACAGCTACAAAATAAAAAAAATACATATTTTCAAAGCTCCAGGTACGATAATTAGCTTAATAGCTTTGCAATCCCGCTAAAATTTGCTGGTATCCTGTTATGTGGTTCTGCATACACTCCGTTGTTGGGACTTGGGGACACACTGCTAGACCGGCTGTTTGTGTTGTCAGCGGCACATCTTTGGCGGCACTACACCCGTACTTGCTCAGGTAAACATTCTCCTGGGCGTCGAATGCATCTTTTTCCGCCTGCGTTAGCTGCAGTGGATCTTTCGAAATCAGGTGAACCAAAACCGGTGAATCGCAAATACCGGTTTGTAAATTCTGAGCACCGCACCCGTAGAAGATTTGCTGAGAAGCGTCCACATACAGGAACATGGTGGAGAATGGCTCTGGGAAAAATGGCTCGTGTATTTCAAAAACTTCCAAGCACGATCGGTCAGTAATTATATACGTAAAAAATATGTGTTTAGAATGTATGGTTGTATGGGGACACAATGCTTACGTATAGCGCCTGACGTCGTAGTCGGAAGGATCAAGCCGATTTGGAGACCGTTGTCTTGGATTGGTCCGACATAGACGCCATTGACGCACTGTGACGAGCCAGCATCGGCATAGTTGACATACTCGCACCATTTAGTACGACCGGGGGCATTGATCAGAGGCGTGGCAGATGGTCCCATGTCGGTCCAAACAGCATACTGGTTCACTGGCATTGCTTCCGGTAAAAACAATCTTCGATAGAGATAGAATTTTCCGGTGATCTAAATTAAAAGCAGTCAACCATATCAAAAGGAATAATGTGCTCAGGCACAACGGTTCGTGTAAAGTACTTGTTTTACCGCTACTGAGGAGCTCAGACGATCTGCTGAATTACGGTTTATACCAACTTATACGTATCTGTAAATCGTACATTTTAATTGTGATTTCTCTTATATACAACGCAAAAATCCGAACAAAGTGCGCTCCACACGTCTTGCTTATAATATACATAATTAACAAAAACAATTCTAAACACATGCCCACGTCACCGCGCCGTAGGCTATACCCTTCTAAAGGGATTACCGTATTTTTCGAATTTAAAGCCTCCTCTATTGTATAAGCCTCCCCCCAGGCACCTTTGAAAATTTAGAAGCCCAGGGCTTCTAATTCGAAAAATACGGTATGTGCTTGCAGAAAAGGGATTGTGTACCTATAAGATTTCTCATGGTCGCTGAATCATTTACATAATTTTTTTATTTTTTATTATTTATTTATTTTTTTATTTATTTTTCTTTAGTATTTTTTTTTAATTACATATTTAATTTTTTTTCTACACTTACTTAACAACTTGCAAAACTAAAAGCGAATAAACTGCACATGAACAAGGCAGCCTGATTAATCGGTAAAGCGAGCACTCCACGAATTAATCTGAGTCGTACTCTTTGGAATACACCTGCTATAAAATTTGGAATAATAAATTTACCAGCGAGACATCAATTTTTCCTTGAGAGGGCATTGAATTGGGCCATTTACACACCGAAGGCACAGCGCCATAGCCACCATAGCTTGGTGCAACAGTGGTCGTGGTTGTTGAACCTAAAGTACGGTAAACATGTCTGATGTACTGCCTTCAGGCTAGACCATTATTCACGAATATTTAATCTTTTATTATGTATTTATCGGGAAATTTATAGCTAAATCGACGATATTACTTGAGGTGTTTACGATGGTATTCTTGAATCCTTGGATATCCTGAGCAATACAGAACGGAGGGTCGATAGCAGCGCAGGTGCCCTTTGGTCCGTATGTTTCCTTCGGAATATTCTGCACCGTGACACAATATGAGGAAAAGGCGGAATTGATCAGGTTGTCGAAATTGTCCATTTCGGACGCCGACAATTGATCTGGTCGCTTTCGAGTTTGGGCGATGATAGTGGGCGTGGCGCAATGGACACCGTCGGCTAGCGACTTCCCGCAGCCGTAACTTACCAACAGATTCTGGTAGTCGTGATACAGAACCACATAATCCAGTGGACCTACCAAAAATTTTAGCGCGTGTTCCAAGCATGAGTAGCATTTACTGGAATCACACAATTACAGTTAAAAATGCATGGAATAATTATTGATAATAAGGCAGCGCTTGCCAAAAGCACAAAATCAGCAAGTTATAAACTTCAACTTACGCATTATATATTTATCATCTGATCCGCCCAGTGAACCAATCTGTGTTCCGGAAGTTGAATAGGAACCCGTCCAGAACTGGTGTGGACAGTATGAGTCTGCTGTATCGGAGAATATTTCCCACCACTGCAGTTGTTGCGGCTCGCTGGTAACCGGGTCATAATACGGCGCGACACTGGTTATCTTTATCTGTGCTGCACTGGAGTAATTTCCTCCCATTTTCCTGTAGACGTACCATACTCCGTCGGCCTAAGTAAAACGCCACACATATTATAGAACGGATCTATCAAAAAGTTAGTTGGATTATTCTTGTCGATACTATCGGCGATAAGAAATACTCAAACACAGCATTAATTAAATTTACCTGTTGAGGAGCATCGCCGCCTATTCCTTTCATAGAAGTCGGCAAAGACGGTGAACATTGCTGTCTGGAATTCTTAATTATGACAACTAAAACAACAGAACCCTTGTTTTTGCTGCGTTAATTATCAGATATAATAGAGATATGACGATTAAAAGTTATTTGTATGAAATAATAGGTTAATACTCTTATTCTTATACTAAGTGTAACTTACCGAAACATAAAAATACGAACGTACGAAACATCTTTGACTAACAATTTTTTCAAATTATATTATTAAGATAATATTAATTTAAGGTAAACTCAGTGTCAAAATCCTCGAGTAAAAACTATCACTGAAAAGTCGGAAGTGTGCATTTGAAGATCTTATAGACAATACGCTTATAGACCTGCAATCAACGAGATGAGACGTGGCGATCATTAATAATCATGAACAGACAAAGCCTGGAAGGGATGAAGGAAGCTTCGCATACCCTTATATTATACTCGTATCAAAACTAATGTCTCTGTTTTTCTATCGTTACTTTACCTGAGTCGTGGCTGGTTGTTCACCCATATGATACCTCGATAAGGCACAAAGTGCGTTAGTGCAACAGCCTAAACATTGGTATACCAATGACACCGTGGCAGGGAAAAAATTTCCGGCTTCGGCTCTTTTCAAGCGGTTTCAGTCTGCACAGATACTGCCAAAAGCCAGTTTTCTCGTTGTTTTGTCCAACTACTGTATGTTATAGAATAAATTTCCAGCTGATGCTGGAAAAATCGATATCCTTTGCAGTCTAACGACTCTACTGCTGTCTTAAACAACTTATTATCCAAGTACATCTACAAATAAATACAAAGACAGTTGACTAAAAGATGATACCTTATTAATACTTTTCATTTGTTTTGGAAGAAGATAAAATCTGTGATTTGCCGCTGTGACAGTTTTTCCTCTTTGTTGAATGAAAACCTCCTCGTTACTGTGTGTCTGTTAAAAATAGCTATATATGCAAAACAAATTTCACCCGGCAGCTGAAGGAATCACAAGGCACGCGTGTCAGTACTGTAAAAGCGACTGCAGCTGAGGCACGCTAGGCTTCGTGGATCCGTTTCGGGAATTAACTTTATTTTATAGAATTCTCTAAATACTTATATTAAGCGCTGTAACGTAATTTGTACATACTTGCGAGCACAAATGTCTTTACCGGTGTTATTGCGAATCTGATTACAATTGCCTACATGATGAATTACTAAAACCGGAATATTTGATGCGGCAACAGAATATGCACTGTACATGCTTTCTAGTCTACTACCAATGTAACTGACGAAAGGCGGGCTGTTTTGCAAATGGTACCGACAGTTGCTTTAAGTTTACGCTAACTCGTTTACTAACATTTCGCTGGTTCTTATGTTCTATCCTGTATGTGAACAACTGCATTTGTGAACACGGTGCGAAGCATTTTCTTTGTCGATATCGTACAGCCGTTTAAGGTCACCCTAACACCTTTACCGTAGAAAGAGTACAAATAATGATTCGATGTTAAAAAGTCTAATCTTGTGGTGACCTTTCAACCTGTCTATTTATGCGTGTTTTTCTTTCGAGATTGTTAAATTTAGTTTTCAATGCAGTGTTCGAATTCAATACCACATTATGTCCCGGTGCTGATTTCACCTGTGATGGTCTCGTAATACACGGTACTCGTACTCAAGCTCGTTAACCGTTTCCGTTGAACGCCCGTTAATTCGATTCCCATATGGGAACTATAATGACACGGCATAAATGCACCGCTGGTGAATGCTTTCGTCAACTTTCCAGCATAGTCTTCTTTGGTTTATCGTACCAACGATGTCTCGTTAATCCTTATGTTACTTCCGCTTTGGATTACGCACCTTCTCTCCCGCGGAGCTGTTTTTGAACACCGGTGCACGGTGATCGCCTTCTCCATATATTTTATACATGTGGGTCGCACAATTTACAGCTAGTTCCCCCCTGCAGTACACGGGATTTCGCTTAAATCTCGTTAAGAGCATCTGGATATTGTTTTGTAATGCGTAAATAAATGGGCCTCGAGGGAAATCTTCACGATATGGCAAAGTGGTGGGAGAACTGGGGGTGGTTGGGAGGTTGGGGAAAGATTGCAATCCTTCCCCAGCCTACCCCACAATTGTGGGGTGGTGGTGGTAAATCGCACAATCTGTCTTCGGAGAACGTGATTGGTATCTGAGGTCAATTCCAAAGACGTTTCAGCGTTTTGTTTAATCCAACTTAGATATCGCGCATTTACCGAACCATGTCGGATTTTCTCTGTATTACCTTAAATTCTACCAACGCATCCACCCCTAAATTCGACAATGATTTTACTGGAGTTTCGTGGAATTTTCTCGCTGCTTTCAAAGTATTTACAAGCATCAGCACGTTATGTTTAAACATCGCAGCGTGCACCCTGCTAATTGTCAAGACCACGCAGCAAACGTCTTTCAATATCTACCTAATCGATTTACTGATGTGTAATAGTTTATACCTAATTTTGGTAGAATTTTATGATGTGATTGTTTGGATGAAACCGAACTGGTGGAACGGTAGCGTGACCTGTGACGTTTACCTCTACGCCACTGGTATTACGCTGACATGCATGATTTACGCGCAAGTTCTGATCACCTGCAATCGTATTGTCGCCGTGACCTTTCCCCATTTCTACCGTCTGCACCATTCTCTTCGTGTGGCCGTTATCACATGTATCGTAATGTGGATACTTGTTCATATAATTTGTCTGCCGTTGAATATCGCGCATGCGTTATGGTACCGTGCACCTGGTGAAGAAGTTGGACGCATCTGGAATACCGACGCGGCAGCGGTTAGGGTTTACGGACAAATTCTCGAGATCGCCATGTTTGCTCTTCCGGTTGCGATCATTGCTGGAGCATATCCGTATCTGTTGTGGAAAACAACCAAATGGCGCCGTTCACGGCCTGCTGCTAATTATGACAGGTCCCGAGGCAACACTACCGGTACTCCCGGACGCTCATTTCGAAAAGAGAACGCCAACACATTTATGGTGTTAACATTGCTTACCATTACCTTAGTGCTTTGCTGGACGCCGTCGTTAGTTATGTATTTAGCGGTGGATTTTGGGGGATTCTTTCTGTCGGAGACATTTTACCAGTACGGCCATTGGATGGTGGAGACGGAAGCGGCCGTTGATGCGATCATGCTTTTCCTCAGTGTTAAGGATTTACGCAAAGTGATTACAGCTGTGCTTGGTTGGAAAAAGAATGACCAAACTTTGGACGGTAATTCAATTCAGCTATCAGCAACCAAGGCCGCCCCAACGAACGCAATCAGCCGATCACAATAACCTGTAACACTATATTTCTAATATGAGGGTAAACTTCCCTGGTTTGAGTGTCTGCAACTGGCAGTAGTTTAAGTCCTCGTTTTGTAAACGTCGTTAAACGATTTTTAACTCATAGCGCTCTTTAATCTTAGGCACATCTTATATTCTTGCCAAAAAAAAGCATCAGATGAAAGACGCGTGCGATTTATGTACTCAGCTAAAAAAGGTCAAAAAAGCCAATTTGTTCGCACGTGTTGGTACTTACGCTCATAAGTCTGAAATGATGTTTACACCTAATCACCGATTATTGTACAGAGTACACACCTTCGCTCTAATTACTGTATCCACAAATAATGCATTGTGACAAGGGGCTCGTTTTATTAATTATGTACTGACACTCAGGCGTAGTGGGACAACCTGTAAAACAACAAATAACATATTTCAAACCGTAATCATCGCCGGACGCAGTGTCAAATACATGTACAGGCGCATATGAGCAAACAGCTCCTACAATTATGTGATTATTGTAATTAACCATTGATCATCAAGATTACTAAGCAGAATGCTACGCTCCACCACCACCACCCCCCAGGTTCAAGATTTAACATCCACTTCCGTAACCTTACACCGATGTTAAGAGGCCAAATTTTGCGGGATAACTAAAGAAGACCAGCAGCAGAACTTATAATTTTTAGAAGTGTGTTAGTGTTTGGGTGATTGTTGATTACGACCACAATTGCGAGTTAACGAATATCACCAATGAAATGTTTGACGTAAATTAACGTAAATTTTATTTAGGCATTAGCCAATTAACGTAACAACAAGCTCTGCGCTGACCAATAGCGACCGTTTAAACTTAAAGCAACCGAACTTAAAAATACAGTTTGAAATTACCAACAATACAATTCAGAAATACCACAGTAGCGAGTAGCGACCGCTTGAAGTGCCAAGAATTGTGTTGTTAACGTAAAACATTGGTACGAGTAGTAAACAAGCACACAAGTGCAACTGTATAAGTTGTGTCAATCTGGCAAAAGTTATTATTAAGTAGTCTGGAAAAACCAATAAGTATTACATTCCAGCTAAAACTTGTTTGTATCCTGTAATATGGTTTTGCATGCAGTCCGTGGGTGGCACTTGTGGACATGGAGCCAGGTCGGCCGAGTGTAAAGTTAGCGGCACATCTTTGCCTGCACTGCACCCGTATTTGCTCAGGTAAACATTCTCCTGGGCGTCGTAGGCGTCTTTCTCTGCCTGCGTTAGTTGTAGTGGATTTTTGGCAATCAGGTGGACCAAAACCGGTGCATCGCAAATGCCAGTTTGTAAATTCTGAGCACCGCATCCGTAAAAGATTTGCTGATAAGCGTCCACATACTGAAACACAGTTGAGAATGGTTCTGCAAAAGATGAAATAACGCTTACGTACATCGTGCCGAACGAAAATCGTGTGTATTTGTAGCGGGCTTCCAAAACAATTCTAGGACTGTGTGCAAGCATAGCCAAACAGTATCCTTACGTAAAGCGCCAGGCCTAGTCGTCGGAATGATCAAGCCCGATAGGAATCCAGTTTCCTGGATTTGACCGACGAAGAAACCGTTGACGCATTGTGACGAGCCCACATCGGCATAGTTGACATATTCGCACCATTTAGTGCGGGCGGTGGCATTGATCAGGGGCGTGGCAGAAGCCCCCAAGTCGCTCCACACCGCATATTGGTTTACAGGCATGCCTTCTGGTGCGAACAGTCTTCGGTATAAGTAGAATTTTCCAGTAATCTAAAGAAAAACTCAGTTTGGAAAAAATAAATAGCGCTTTCTGCGGCTTGTTCTTAACTGTCAATTTAAACTGATGCTTTTCTCTGCGAAAAGGTGTTGTTAACGCAGTGAGTCGATGCGTCTGTATAGGTAGCTTCGTTTTCGAGTTGACAAGAAGATGCAATTTGCACCTTTGAATACGTACAAGTTCCGTCGTCCCGCACGAGGCGATGGAACGGGGAGTAATATGAAAATCGTATATATCGGTATATCCACATCCGCGGGACAAATTTAAATCAATCTATTTCTAAGAGCCTTTTTTTGCAGCCATTTCAATAATATGGTTAATCGTGCCTGGGCTACCTTTTCCAGTGAATCTAATTCTTTGCTTTGGAATATTACGTACTTAATTACTTCTACCATTTAACGGTACATAGTTATTAATTAATAATGTCAAGATACCAGCGAGATATCGACTTTTCCTTGAGAAGGCATTGAATTTGGCCATTTGCATCCTGAAGGCGCAGCGACTCCATAACTTCCGTAACCGTAATTTGGTACACTGGTGGTCGTTGCAGTTGCCGATGAATCTACAGTACGAACGGCGCGTCCAGTTTCATGCATTCACGTGATAAACAATTCATTGATATATTTATAAGAAATAAGTTTTGCTTTACTTAAAGAGAACAAATTTTTTCTGTAAAAGATACAGTGTTCGTACTAGAAGAGTTTACGATGGTATTTTTCATCCCCTGAATGTCCTGAGCAACACAGAACGGCGGGTCGATAGAAGTGCAGGTGCCCTTTGGCCCGTATGTTTCTTTCGGTATATTCTGCACCGTAACACAGTATGCGGAGAAAGCGGAGTTGATCAGATTGTCAAAATTGTCCATCTCAGACGCTGACAGTTGATCTGGTCTCTTCCGGGTCTGGGCGATGATAGTGGGCGTGGAGCAATGGACACTGTCGGCCTGAGACTTTGCGCAGCCGTAACTGATCAGCAGGTTCTGATAGTTGTGATACAAAACCACATAATCCGTCGGACCTGCCGAACATTTACTAAACGTGTTAAATCATAATTGTTGTCGAGTAGAATAACGCCATATGCAACGATGCAGTTACTGATTGGCTAAGATACGAATTTACAAACTAGAGCTTACGCATAATGTAGCTATCATCCGATCCACCCAGATCACCGATCTGTTTTCCGGCAGTTGAATAGGCTCCAGTCCAAAACTGGTGAATGCAGGATGTGGCGGCTGTGTCTTGGAATATTTCCCACCATTGCAGTTGCACCGGTTCGCTGGTGACCGGATCGAAGTATGGCGCAACACTGGTGATCTGTATTTGTGCTGCGCTGGAATAACTTCCGCCCATTTTCCTGTAGACATACCATACTCCATCCGCCTAAATGTAAACAAAACGCCTCGGTTATTCCCGGCATATAAAAAGATATTAAAGAAAATCGAAAAAGATAGTTCACTTATAGACACACTTATAGATATACTTCTATAGATAGATCACTACTTCAGTATAGATAGTATTAGATACACTTATGCATTCGATATTCTTACAGTAAAATGATGTGTGCGTAGTAGACCTATAGATTTACGTTATCTATTTACCTGCTTAGGAGTGTCGCCGCCTATTCCTGTTAGAACTGTTGGAAGGGACGGTGAACATTGTTGCCGAGAATTCTCGATTATGGCCGCTACATGAAATAAAACCAGCTGTTAGTTTTCGCTGGTTATTTATACAGCTTGCAGACAAACCGCAATAGTTTCATGGCGTACTATCAAGCAAAAGTGCTACATGACAAGACGATTTGCCCTACCGAAGCCCAGAATCGCAAAAGTCGAAAGCATTTTCGCTGGAAACGCTTAAAATGTATTTGAAATTAGTTAAAAGCTTGGATTCACAATCCACAAGCGAAAGCTAGTTATCACAAAAGTGAATATCCGGAATGGCTGTGTGTTTCTGTTGAGTGTAGGCTGGGTATCTGGAGAAGAAGAGTGTATTTTCAAAACGAGCTGTTCGGTCGTTAACCTTCGATGAGTAGGCAAAAGCCTGGAAGGAATAAGCAAAGTACCCGCTTGATCAAGTTGCATCTGCAATAGCGGTGTACGAAAAAAGTAACATACTAAATGTAAATATACTGCTCGGTGTTTGATGCAACGTCTGTGATGTCTGGCCGGGGGAAGGTAACGGCCGGGCCAGTCCGTAGTGCAACTTTATCGAGCGAGTACAGTATAACCATATGAACCCCGCAGCATTTGTCTCCGTTAATGAGATGGTTAATGCTTTTGGTTTATGATTAATCATAACTGATGGCGTTTTCATTTATAACTGCTTATTTATCAAAATAATAGCGCAAAACGTATTTGCAGTATACGCCTTTACCTGTTACAAACATTCCGTAAAAGTGAGTACGAATTTCCGCCTTTCTCAGTAATTTTTCCTGCAATGTCTATTTTTCAGGGTCGTTTTTACTTCTTTCTAGAAAGCAAAATATGTATGCGAAAAAAAATTAATGATGCCTGTCGCATATGCGAGAATAAAGGAATAATGTTATACGAAAAGAAAATTACTGGGGTGCATGCATATTCCAGTATCACTAAAAAAACTCAGTAACAGCTATAAAGACGTTGGCTTATACGACGTAATCCTTTCGAAGTTAGAAACGACGCAAACCTTTTAAAGGTAAGAGCTGAGCAGTAAAGATACAAGAAAATGCTCAGAAAATCCCGAGAACCAACACGAGCAATCGTTTGGCGGGTCCTTTTTATACGCCGACCAGTTTGAACAGGTAACTGTATTCCAGGCACGCAACGCGGAATTGTGCCCAGGCTAACGAAAACATGTCTTTGTTATTCGTATGGCCGGTATAGGTATGTGTTTTTTACGCCATTTTTGGTTAAATAGTAAAACATTTTCGTTAACGCGGAAAAGTGGAAGTATCTCCATACAAAATCAATTTCTGGGTTTAAAAAAATTTGCCCGCTTTGACCAGTCGATGAACGCAGTAGCACCTCAACCTGTTGACCAGGGTGAAGCTTTACATACAACCTGGTTTTCGCCCCATGTAAGCCGGTAAGCATATTTCTTTCTTCGTTCAACGTCTAGGCCGCCGAGTCTTTTGCTTCGCGTTCTGTTCTTCTTTGCACAGGTTAGTAAAGATCTTGTGTAAACATAAAACCGGTTTGAGACCCATAGATTTACTGATTACGGTACAGTAATGTAGATACTGCATGATGTACTCACATCGTAAAATGCGTGAATCATCCGGTAAACAGAAGCAATCGGTTGCGGAAACTACGCATTTAGTAGTATGTATTGTATATGCGCTTATAGTATATGCGTAGTTTCCGCAACCGGTTGCTTGTGTTTACCGGATGATTCGCGCATTTTACGATGTGAGTGTATGTACAGGTATATGCCATATACCTGTACATACAGTCTACTGATATGCATGCACTCCCACATGTGAGCACTCAATAAGCATGCCTTTCATCGATTCTGTTAAACATATTATTCAATCTAAATAGTCTTCTAACTAGGATTTTTCCCAGCAAGCGTGACTGCTCAGGTAATATTAATGTGGAACCAGAAACTATTAGTAATCTCCTGGTATTACTGCACCAATATTATATTTCTTTGCTGGGGAGGATGGATAATTGTGTACCCTGTTTTAATAAAGCTCTTATTTACGAATTACTTTTGGATACCGTTACTGCTTTTTGCGTGGATGCTGATCGACGATTCTCAGAATCAAGGCGGACGATCATGGCGACCGCTACGCAATTGCAGTTTTACTAACTATTGGTATCAGTACTTCTCCACCGCTTTACATGTAACCACGCCGCAGACCATCACTCCGGATAACAACTACATTTTCGCATGTCATCCGCACGGGATTCTGGCCACCGGTGTCAGTGGTGCGTTAATCTCCGAAGGTCTGGGGATCAGCCAACGATTGCCAGGAATGCGGTTGCATATTCTGGTCTCACGGCTCGTGTTCTGGTTTCCTCTGTTCCGTGAAATGTTTCTATGGGGCGGCTGCTCCAGTGCGTCAAAGCGGAACATTAAGCGTATCGCGGAGAAAAGCACCGGCAATGTACTGGTCTTAATTCCCGGAGGAGCGGCGGAAATGTTCGAAGCTTGGCCTGGACGAAATACCCTTGTTTTGGAAAATCGGAAAGGATTTATCCGCATGGCATTAGAAACTGGGTAAAGTATGTTGATGTTACCGAATGTTACGTATAACATACACCGCGTCGAAAGCCAAAAAGCTTACAGAGTATATGTTGCAGATGTCATTTGGTTCCCGTTTACTCTTTCGGCGAGACCGACATCTTCCACCAGGTTTTTGATAATCCAACTGGCTCGCGATTACGAAATGTGCAATCATGGTTTGCATCATTAACTGGTTTTCCTCTGGTGATCTTTTATGGTTGCTCCAAAATTTTCTTTTGGCAGCCTCTCAAAAGGCCGATCAACGTAGTAGGTAAGTGTTATCCAATATTTACTAAAAAATTCACCAACTGGAAAATCTCTAATTAGGTTCTGGTATATTTAGTTGGAAAATCCATTGAGGTCCAAAAAATTGCTCAACCTTCGCAAGAAGAAATTGATGATCTCCATGGAAGATACAAAGAAGCTTTATGGAATCTATTTGAGGAACATAAAGCTTTTTATGGTTTCAGTAATAGCCACTTAGAATTCATCTAATCTTCTTCGGCGCGGACCAACTGATATACTTAAGTGCAGCTTTTTTAACGTATTGATTTTGCTATGGATGTTAAGTATTTCATCCATGCGCATGTAGCGCCATTTTTCTTCGAGGTGTGAATTGCTGGATACTTCGCATAGCTGCATACAACCAATAGCGTACAACTTTTAAATTTTTTACTTTAATATCACACGGTAACTTTTAAATTTTTGACTCAAGGTACTTACAGTATTATCAAACGGTTGTTTTCCGCGTTTTTTTTTGTGGTGATGTCCGTGCACGTATAATGTGTTTATAATATTCTTGCATGTTTGCAAGGCTCCTTCGATGTTGTTGGTTGCCGCAGTACTGAGTCGATCTTGTGGTACCTTTGTGGTTGCATTTATGTACTACAGAGTACATCGTACGTTAACGTAACCATTTACTTAAACAAAGCTGGAAGATGGTGACCGCACCCAGGTTCCAGTCATGGAATTTTAGAGTTCACAGATTAAAGATATCATGAAAAGTAATAACTGCAGGTACGGAAAATAATGAACCGCACCCACCAGACAGTGTTCGACAATGAGGTATCGGTAGATTTTGAAATAGCGTTACTCATGAATAATATGGTTTATCGCACTCAGTTGCTATATTTACGGCATACTTTACACAAATGTCCACAGTAATAGTCTGTACTGGGACATCCACATGGGCAGGAAGACCACGGAAAGCAGTTCGGATCTCCAAACACCCCAATGCTTCGTTTAGTGCGTAGGGCTTCCATCCCCTCCGCGGTCAGAGAAGCCGTCGCTACGATTAATAATATTATAAAAGCAGTCCAATACGCATCAGTGAATAAGTTATTTAACAAAGTATTATGCTGCCGAATCGTACAACTAGGTACCGTTTTCTTCCGTTTTCTTCCACGGTTATTATTAGCATGGCAAACAGCATAAAAAAAGTAAGGCCAGCGTTTGGCAGCATTGTGGAAGGCTTAAAGTAGGTGTAAAGTAGTGCAAATAATTTAGCAGACTAACTGGTTTTTTGGCGTCAACGGCGTAGTCGTGGTTTAAACTATATATACTCTTTCTTGCATAAAAATCTTCCCGCATATTTACGCCATTCTTTGTGTTTGTCAGGGTGCATGTAATGTTTGACTCAAACGCAAATAAACATATTGCTTAAAAATGGCATTGTCAGCAAGAATGGCGCAAAATATGTTTTGGTTTTTTAAGTGGGATTTTCTGTGCTATTTTATCCGCTCCGTTGGATCGTTATCCGCTCTGCTGTGCACACTCATTGTGACTCATATAATATTGCTCAAACAGCAGAGTCCACAAAGGTTTATGAAGGGCTCTACTCAAAGCTCTGCTCTGGTGGGGAAAGCCCAGCCGACAGCTGTGGTTGGGAAAGCCTGGAAAGGAAGGAAATGTGTTTGATTTTTTATCAGGCAAGAATTAGCCGGGCAGGAATACGTATTGAAGTCCATCACCCTTCGTTCCTTAATAGTGAGTCGGCGAAGTCCGCCTGGGCAGGCGACCGGGCGCCGTAAAACGCATTTAATCAAGGGAGCAGACAGAAATTCGTTAGACACACGCTCTGTCTAACTCTGTACTCTTGATTAAAAGCGGTGCCCGTTTTACGGTTTACGGCGGACTTCGCCGACTCACTAATATAACGAAAGAGCTGATTGTTGTAGATTTTTCTGTTCTATGTTGGTTCAGTGCTAGCACTGATAAAAGTGCTTAAAGGTCCACGCGGATTTTTTTTATATTATGTAAACGAGTAACAGCGTTGCGCTGCTATGATTGCACAATAATTTGATGTGATCGAAGATTGGTAAAGTAAGCATCAAACTAAAATCGGTAATAAAAATCGGCTGCATTAAAACCGGTATTACCGTCTCGTGCAACAATGTAGGCGAGTTACAGCCAACTACCGAAAACCGGCCGACCACCGTGCCGTTGCTCACGAACTGATACGGTTTAACGAAGATGACAAATTTAATAACCATTACTTTACATGTGTTAAAACGCATTTAGCAGAACCAAAGCTCATTAAACATTTCGGATTTCTCCACAGTGCCCATGACAGAAACGGCATTACCACGCTGTATCTCTAAAGACAGTCGCTGTCGTAGAAATTCATGTGAGCGGGCTTCTCCAGAATGAGCCCGTAATCTCTTTCCTTATTCTTTGATGATAGCAATGGCCGATGGGCCCCACGGGACCATTGTCTCGAAACCGATAGGTGCGAAAATATAACGGCCGTCAAAGTAAGAATATAAACTAGACTTTCTATCTTCTGCTTGCACGGCGGCCAATCCTACGTTAACCGATGTGGATTTAATGTGGGAAGCGGCGACAGTATCCAAACAGGTGACTTCCCATGCCAGACCCATTCCTCTTTGCCATGCAAAAGTTGTGCATCCATCCGGACGACGTTTGCTAGTGTGGGAAGTGCCCCGAGGTTCAAGTTTTGCTGGAATTCCGGCCGACACAAGAGCGCGACATATAATGCTGTTAAGGCCACCATGCTGAGGATGTCTGCCGGCGGAGAAAGGGCAAGAAAGGCTGTGATGTCCATAAGCGTCGACGGGCTTTAAGCATTTCGTGCAAATGTGCGGTTCACAAACTTGGCGCCGTGTCTGAGGCCAACTGATATCTTTATTGTGTCATCGTCGAGGAAATTGCCGATGTGAGTGGAGGGTAAAGCGTTGAGCCAAACACCGGCTTCTGGTTTCGACTGAGCGAGGAGGCGCGCCTTGTTGACTTCATCGTTTCGGTACTTCCAGCAATGTAGCCAAAGACACATTGCACAAAGGCAGGCCCCAAGCTTTCTGTGAATTGCGGAAGTCTGGTGCCGGAAGCTCCGTCAAACAAGCATTTGTTTTCCAAGTTTCAAGTGTCGCAGAGACGTCCACAGCGGTTATACCAGGAAGCAGTTGTGACACTATGCCGCTGACGGAGTGAATCGAAGCCAAAAGAAGAATGTCATAAACTGAGTGGCATGGAGTGCCTCACTGAAACATTAAGAAACGGGGTTGTGTAGAAAATGTGATCTCGTATTTTCATCATATCCGAGAACGTCGCTGCAGGTTCAGCGATTGCTGTTTCTTTGCGATCTTATGGATGTTTTTCGTACAATTCGAACAGATCCTACTACATATAAGCAGTTCGGCGCCACTCCTTAGGGCGATGGATACCGCACCGAATCCGACTTCACCTTTTGTGTGCTGCGGCTTCGGCCAGATATTGGCATTGCCGAGACTTTTCGATTTCCATTCTGTTAGATTTTGAGTCGGTTGAATTTTTTGGGCTCCACAGTATGGAGACGTCCTGCTGTGCGAGATGGCCCTTTATGATGGCGCATTATTAGACTGACCCTTCGGGAATTTGTTCGGATATTGTGGGTTCCGTCCCTTTATTAATATCTCCGATATTAATAAAGCTATCGGTTTGGGGCGTTGGTGTTTTCCGTTGCATTTCTGTGCAGTGCAGGCATCGCGCTAACATTACTTCAAACGACTTTTACCATGCCGCTTTTTGCAAACTACTAAGCGTATTATCGGGAACAACAACATCGTTCTATGCTCCACCATTGGATAAAATTCCTTGGTCGACACTTTAGAAAATACAGCAAGAGCGCGTAAACAAGAAGATAGTCATTGTGCTCGTAACTGTCCATCCTGTTTCGGCTAACTGTTACCATTATGCAGCCATGTAAACATGTTTAAATTTAACTGTTTACTCTACAACTTCCTGGTTCTGGGGTTATTCAGTAATTCAGTAGTCTGTGGCGGTAACTGTACAGTAGTGACAACAATGTCATAATAATAATCAAATAATCATAATAATCATAATAATCATAATAATAATCAAATAATCATAGTCATAATAATAATCAAATAATAATAATCAAATATGTCACAATAATAATCAAATATTTAATGTTAATTGCCTAGCCTGGTGGTAGTACGTCTGGCTTTAAGATTGTATGTCCTGGGTTCGATTCCCAGGTGGGTAACTTTATCTCATAAAATCAAACCAAAAAAAAGTATAAAATTTTCAAAATTCACAAAAAAATTTTCCAATAGCCTGGTTTGCCCAACGGTTTTCACCTGAGGGTAATAAGTCTCCGTAATGGAGTTTGGCTACTGTAGTACGATAATAATAATAATAATAATAATAATAATAATAATAATAATCTAGTTTGACGTATAGAGGCGTGCGTGCAGAAGTTCGACCTCTGTCATACGCAATTTCAAACTTTCCAGCTATGCAGGATTTCTACAGAGCTATCAGCTTGACCTTTTTACCATATGTACTGGAACTTTCTCGAGAGATTTAAAGCACAATTTGACAACGCAATGCTATGATGAGATCTGTACAAAACAACTAATGCTCCCAAATCCTAATGCAAAGGCACTACCTTTGCCACACCACTTTTAATTCCGTATACCACCAGTGCTGCATTACCACAATTAATTTTGCAATTTTTTAGTTGACGTAATATGTAGTCTTTATATGCAAAGTGATATCTGGATAGGATACTTAAATGGTTCGCCTTCGCAGCCAGCACTAACACCATCGGACTAGGATATCAAATCAAAACTCTGATTCATAATTTACTGCCTATCGTCCGTTGTGTTTTAGGGAAGTAGGTATGATGTACTTACGTATGTAGCGGTGTATTCTTTATTACGATTAATACGACTGCTCGCTACCGAGCCAACCATACGACCAAACTCTGAAGTATAAACACAAGTTACACAACAACAACACCGGACATTACAATCCCGTTGCTACGGCACATTATCCGTAGGACAAGATCCAGATTCACGATATACTCGTACAACCTTTGTACAAGTACGTAATCAGAAATCCAGAGCATGATAAAAGTTGTTTTGGTGCTCGCGCTCGTAGGTGGTCGATACTAGCGCACTAAAATTTAATGCTGACGCAGGAATACGGTATTGTCTGCTTAATGGGGAAACCGCTTCATATCAGGATATTTCATGATATGTAAAAAGCAGTGCTGATAAACATACGGCATTGCAAACATCCTGAAAGCATAATTTGTAAACACCGCTATTTAGAGGTATAAAACGTTTATGAAGTCCGAAACATCTTGCTGCACAATTCACTCTCTTTCCCTAAAAACTTCTGGTGTTTCCCGCTCATCATGGAATTTAGAAACGTCTTAAGCGTTTTGCTGGTCAGTAGCGTCGTCTTCTTATTACTGGCAGTGGCAGAACGAGGTAAGAAAAGAATCGCAACCGATATCGCTCTACAGAGTACATACTAATCAATCTCATATTTACTATAAATTTAATGTTTTTGTTAGGAGTCGGCGCAGTGGAAGGCAGTGAAATGACCTTATCCCGCGCCAAGCGTGCCGGTGGATTCGCCTGTCTGCCCAAATCCTGTCAGCAGTATGGATGCAAATCCGGCAACTGTGGCTACTGGTGTAAAGTGTGCGCCATCGAGTCTATTATTGGAACGGGATGCGTGCCCACGTCCTGTTTGGTCTCTGGATGTAATTCCGGAGACTGTCGAAAGTGGTGCAACATGTGTGGTTACAGTTAAAACCCAGCTGAAGCTGTCCTCACAACTGTTATGCAGACAGGACTGCACGATGTAAAAATTGGCTTTGCACATAACTGCTTTTGCTGTGTAACCAAAATTTAATACTAACCATAAGATTATTATGAAAAGCTGTGCTGCTTGATATCAAGCTGCACATACTGTACATAATTTAAATGATATTGTATGTGGTTTTATCTAATGTAATTTCATTCTAAATTAGGTATTTTAAATCAATTTTAATAGCTTTTAAAAAGTTCAGACTCGTTGCTTCCAAGTTTTTTCGGAAAAACCAACAATTTTGCAAACAGCACCATTTTGTTAAAGCACCTATCAATCAATCAATGAATCAATGTGCGTGCACCTATCAATCTTGCTGTCTTGTGATTAACTTTTTCTTGCAACCACTTCGAAGTTGCCCAACGTTTAGTGAAGTAAATTTGCATCGCTTATTACATTTGTACATGCAGTATTACCGTGTATCCATCTTGTGTAATATAAAACGCAGTTGTCCCACCGGTGTTTTGTTTGCATTAACTTACAATTACTTACTATCCGATTATTTGTCTCTGGGGATACAAAACATACTGAATGAGTGGTAGTTCGTTTCGGTTGAAGCCTGAATAACACGGCACCAATTTCATCCAACAACTCTACAACAAATTTTTACATCTAACAGGAATACAGGGAATGACAGTAAAACATACAGACCTAATTAACTTTTATCGTCATTTTCTCACCTTTTTAAAGATTAGCGTATCCTCCATCCAATCACCAGTGAGACTTGAAAAATCTGCTATTTGATTCCCTAATTATAATACACTTTTGTGCTTGAAATCACGATGACTCAGTTTATTAAGAAAACCATAATTCCTGTTCTGATGCTCTTGAGCGTTTTTGGAGCATTACCCATTCAATATTCAAAATGTGGCTGGATATCAAAAGTCTTCTCAAAAATTTTCATATTTCTGCAGATAACGGCTGTTTTGTTTTTCTGTTATGACCACATTACCGACATGGTACCGGTATTCACCCATTTCGCCTCTTACATCGTACTTAGCGTGCACGTATTGGACGCTGTGACATTACCCATCGGCGTGGTTTTGCTGCGTAAAGCGGGCGCACCAATTCAGTCACTGTTGCAGCGAATCAGCGCAAAGTTTTCTGAACTATTTACCTTTTCTGACAAAGCTGTGATTGTTTCTCTTTCTCTACTGTGGATCCTCTTCTGTATTCCGCCCTTGTGCTATCTCCTCTACAGTGACCTTTTCAAGTTTCTTATCAGTGATTCGGAATATTATCAAGAAAAATATGGCGGTTGTTTATCTAAAGCTGCACTGCATGGTGTGGTGGCCGCTTATGATATTATCTTCAGAATATGCACGTTGAGTAAAGAGATCATTCAGCTGCTGATCGTGTCTATTGCGCTAAGCCTGGCTATGATCTTTCGGCGTTTGACGAAATGCGCACAAGAAACGTTAAATGAGGAAGAAAAAATCCGCGGCAAACGAATCGCACAGCTACGTGACGATCACCAATACCTACGAGACTGCGTGACGCAAGTGGACGAATTACTGAAATGGATGAATTTTCTCCGCTGTTTGGAGTTGTGGGGATGGTTATTATCGGCTGGCTATTCCGTTAGCAGCTGTTTTAAACCGGGCTTGGATGCCGAGTCAATAAGAATGGCAATTCACTCGGGCATTGAGTTAACGCAGTATTCCGCACTGCTGATTCTGCATATTGGTGTGCTTGTATATTTAGCGGAGCAGGTATGTAAATATTAAACGCACGAATGTTGCGATAACTTAATCTTTTTAATTAATTTTTTCCTATTACTGCAGAGCCAATCCATTTTTTCGGTTTTGTGTGATGGAAGAGAAAACGACAGTAAAATGAAGGAATACCTTCAGATTGTTCTAGACGAACCAGCATCTATTACGTTAGGTGGCGTGATATTTAGCCGAGAATCGGCTATGGCGGTACGTAATCAGTTTTTCAATGCTCCAGTTGTCCGTCGTTAAACAAGAACTGATTTATAGACTGCCGGAAGCACCTTGGGATACATTTTGTTGTTCTCGGAATTAGCGGACACGGCAAAGGATTTTGATAAAAAGGTTTTTGTCGACGAGCTGCAACGTTTGGTTCAGAATAGTTCTGTTCGAATGCTTCCTGTCAAAAACTTTACCGCTTAGGTTAGATAGAGATTATTGCGAGCTGTAAGTTTGTAGAACTTATTCAATGTGCTTATTACGTAGTAAAGTGAAAGAGTGGATATTAATTTTTATACTTTCCAACCTGTAAGCTTTGGCAGTCGACTTGGTTTTTGCTACTCCTGACAGACTGCAACAGTGTACAGTTTCTTTATACGTACGTACAGACTGTACTCGTATGTATAATGAAAAACGTATGATTGTATAACTATATTATTTGTATGCACTCGCACAATTTAAGGAAGTTATTATTTGTTTTGATAAGGTATACCAAACTGAAATCCCTTCCTTCTGGAATCCTGCTACAAGGTACACTCAATTTTCCGTGAGTGCCAATTGTCAAGTTTGCCATAAGTGGCACACGTGATCATCAAGGAATCGGGTCTTAACGGCAGAATTCTTGGTATGAAATACATATCAGATTGAAGGTGTATTATTGAATTACGAGTACATATTTGACCCAGATCATAATACGGGTGCGTTGAGTGCGTTCGTCTATGTTCGACTTTTTCTGACAACAAAAAAGGTTTCGGAAATTCGAAGCAATGCACGGTGTACCCAGGATGACTGCAGTAGTCACCTCCTACCGTAGAGTCTCGTTACAATGCGTGTGTTTACAAGTTTGTTCCATGTGCTTTCTTCGCCTACGCCAAAATATACTAATAAACTACCAGTAGCGTTCCGTTCCTTTGAAAATTTAATACCAAGCCTATTGCAGCAAGTAATTTTAAACTCGCAATATCGTTTAAATACAGCCATTAATTAGTTAGGTAACAGTATTACAGACATTTACAGTACAAGCTAGTTCGAAGTATGGTAAAATTTGTATACAATACAAAAATTTTATAGTAATGCTGAAAACAGAACACGCACCAGGACCAACACTGCCACGTGACAGGTAACATTACTGGCATCTGCTGCCGTAATACCCAAGGGCATTTTAAAGCTGGCATTACTTTGATGAAACTCCTCTGACGTGCATGCGTCTCAAGGTTACCGGGATCGATTACCGCACAAAAGCCGAAAAAGATAAAACTATGGTAGAGATATCAAATACATAACGTGTAATACGCATTTGTTCCGGTAATCCTTCAACAGCTGATCCTCAGAGTTAATTAATAAATACCATGGTCTAACTCCGGGGTACCTAACTCCGGGGTTGCACTTAAACAGATAAATTTTGTAATGCCACCAGAAATTAATACCAGCAACATTACACTAATTGTAATCAGCTAGCTGCATACACCCACTGCTCACTGCTCATTCTTACCAGATCACATGTTATCGGCACGCGGAAGTTATGAAACATGGCTCACACACACCTTATACCTGTGCACCTCCAAGCCTTTGTAAACACTGCACTACTTTCCAGCCATTCCTGTAACTTCAGAAATGTACTTCGTTAACAATGAAAGGCCGTAAAAAGAAGACAGAGCTACTGCTGTGATTCAAGAGTTTATTGACTCGCCTAGCGGGAACGTCAGAAAGATCTGAATCACCTATAAATACACGCCTCTCCTGATAGATTCTGCCATTTAAAGTCGTGTGTCCGCAAAGTTTTGCATACCGTCAAAAACATAATATATAAGTACTAGTTCTACAGTAGATCAGCGCTTCCTTGTATAGTATGTAAAGGTTGTACAATGGCTATATCTTCGTATGCAAACGTTTCTGTTGTCGAGAGCATTCCTACAAATACAACCACACCAGTGTGGATTACGTATTCCAAAGAAGTGCAGATATGGTACGTTATAATGGTAATATTAAGCATTATCGGCGCCGTGAGCAGTATCTCCTTGATAACCACCATAGCTTCATCCAAATCCTTACGCTCCCGATCGGGGGTCCTAATCGTTACTTTATTGGTGCAAGTGACCTTTCAGTGCGGCATCGGCATGCCACTTGTTGTATTATCCTACCATGCCGTACCGCTCAGCCAGTCCGCTAACCGGGACTTTTGCTCTCAATCTTTTATGATATACCAAGCACTGACCATGTCCATCGACTGGACCGAAGTGACGATCAGTCTCAACCGCTTCATAGCCGTCTGCTTTCCACATATCTATCCACGCTGGACGCAAAAAAGGATCCTCGCTATTATGGTCATCGTTCCATATGTTATTGGTTTCGGAGCCGCCGCGCTACCGCAGTTCAAAATCGCTGGTGTTTTGATGAGATTCTCCGCTTGGGACTCTTGCACTGTAATATACAGTACCCCAACAGTGACTACCATCTACACAGTCGCTGGGATAGGATTTCCTTTAGTGTTGGCTTTTACTCTGTACCTCCTAATTTTCATGATCCTCTTGTGCCGGCGATATTTTTCTAAACGCATCGTTCAGCCTGGAACAGAGCAGGAATCGGCGAAATCATTGCGACGCTACCGCAGTGTACGCATGTTTTTCATCGTTTTCATCTGTTACGCCAGTTGCTTGCTACCGGCACCAATTGCAGCTGGACCGTTTCTGAAGGGTTACAATGCACTACCCATGTTACAACTGATATTCCGCGCGATAGTTCTGTTTGGCTTAGCTTCAATACCGGTAAGTGCTACAGTACTGGTATGTACTGTTTTCTTATACGTTAAAATTTAAAACTCCTGACGACAGTAATTATTCTGTACGTATACGTAACGGTCTTGGTTTTCGCATCGGTACTTCCATTGCAAAACATTTTCACTTGATACACTTGTCTTACAATATTTCTATCAACACTACGTATTGCAGGCGCACTTTTAAATTCACAAGTACGGATTCATTATAATTTTTACATTCAGGTAATTTACTACGCTTTGAGCGTTCAATACCGCCACCGGACCAAGTACCTAATTACGGCCTGCTTTAGCAGCCTCGCTCGTCGCCCTGTGGATTCAAATACTGGAATACGCGGGGAGGCGTCTAACACTCGTGCCACATCGCGCAATAACAATGGCCCCTCGGTATCCGGACGAACCGATTAGAAGACCAATTCGTGGAATTTCAGCCATTCTTTTAAATTAAATTCCTTTTATTTCCCCCATATAGTCCGCGGGCGTCTTAGTTTGTATTCAACCAGAGTGCTCGTGCGCTGGATTTCCTTTTTATGTTGGTCGTTATGAAACTTTACACACGTATCGTTGCCCATAGAAATCCTCTTATATGCACATATACAGTACTATACACGATCCAATTACGGTACGAAGAAACTGCCTGATCGTTGATTGTGAGATGCACTAAAATATCATGTATCGCCGTATCGGTACAAATTACTCACAACTAGTTCTTATCATTTTTCACTAACAAACTACAAAAGAACAATCTTGGTCGAATTTGTTGTGAACTGCACATAATGACATAATCAGCTGATCACCAGGTTCGTGTTTGTGTGTTTTAATTTACTTTTATTTTTTTTGCGGAATCTCTCGATATACCCGGTTCGGTGCGATTACGGCGAATATGCCGCACGTTCGCACACTGTCTGATTCTCATGAAAGCTGTAAATCGGACAAAATCGGAAATTTTACCGGTCTTTGGTTTCCAATGGTGCGAAACCGTTATGATTCGTCACAATTCGCCTTAGTTTGCAATATATCGTACTTCAAAATTTATGACGAACGTGAAACAGCGCTATTGCACGCTCGTAAGTTCGTCATGTCTACGAGTTCATGGCATGTTTCTGGTTTTGAAACAGATTCTGCAAAGTCAATGCTCGTGCATCGCTGTCATGTTCTTGTCAACGTTTGCGTTACTAATCCGAATACATATTAATAGTAGAAATTACAAGTGCTTCGCACTGCTGGCGCTGATCCACAGGAACAGCTAATTACTTTCACTGCATTGAATATATATACACTAGAAGTACTCGTATAAATACTCGAAGTAGCTCTCTTTTGGCTGTTGACTGCAGACTTCAAGGGTACATGCACATATCTTTTCGTTTCAAAAATGGGTCTTCTGATAACATTTTTGAGCATCGGTAAGATAACTTCTAGAACCCTTTGTTTCCGTACGAACACCCGTACAATTACGAAATTAGGAAAATTCAGCATTTTATTTTAACGTTATTTAGTTGCATTATGCATTACAAGAAATGTGGCTCAGCAGTGCTCACCGTCTCTCCCCACAACTCTGCAAGGCTTAGGCGGAGACAATCCTCTACAGGTTTGCAGGAATTAAGAAAAACGTTGTCCGAAGATAGTGCCAAAGATTGTGCTACTTTACTTGAGTGTTCAGTACTATTACGCATACATCATGTAAAACTGTACACACATTTCTAGGCTGACGGTGTATGGTACACGTATCGCCAAATGGGTAGAAATTATTCCACCGCAGCACAAATTCAAATCACTAGCGTAGCGCCTTATCCCGATCCAGTCACGAGTCAGCCAGGATATCTCCAATGGTGGCAGATCTTCCCAGATACATCCGCCACACCTTGTTTGCATCAGTTTTGGACAGAATCATACACCACGGGCGGACTACAAATCGGTGACTTGGGCGGATCGGATGACAATTACATTATGCGTGAGCTTGAAATGACAAACAGTAGACTCAAGCATTATGTAGATGACAGTACATATGGTGAATGGTACGTAACGTTTTGTCAGTCATAACCGGGAGAATGCCGTAGGTCCAACGGATTTCGTGGTTATGTACCACGATTACCAGAACCTTATGATAAGCTATGGATGCAGCAAGCCACAGGCGGACGGTGTCCATTGCGCCACGCGCACCATCGTCGCTCAAACTCGCAAGCGACCAGACCAGTTATCAACGTCCGAAATGGATAATTTGGACAGCATCATCAATTCCGCATTCTCCAAATACTGCGTTACAGTGCAGAATGTACCAAAAGATGTATACGGACCAAAGGGCTCTTGTGCTGCTATGGAACCACCGTTTTGCATTGGGCAGGATACTCAAGGAATGAGGAACACCATTAGAAACACCACAAGTAAGCCAAGACCCAAGTTGCTATGAATTTGCAAGGCTTACTGTACTCGAAACTGCCTTATGAAAATAAAACAGTAGTCCATTTTTTTTATTTTAACGTCTAGCTTCAACGGCAACCACTGCGCCATCTGGAAGTGGAAGTACTGTTACGACGTCAGGGTGTAAATGGCCGAATTCGATGCCTTCCCCGGGTCAAATTGACAATAGTTTGGTAAAATGGTACTTCGTAGCTTAACAAATTCACTGCCTAATGCCAGACCACATAAAGCCGTTAGTACTAAAAGTAACAAATAGTATTTTTCTGCATTTCTGCACAGTAAAATGGTTGGTTAGGTCAATGGGACTTTCTTTGTCTATCGACGAGTTTTCTCCATTGAACCAAATCCAGTGAATATGATGGCTGACTTTCACATCGTGGGACCATCCGCTTCTCCTCTGATTAACGCTTCAGCACAGACGTTCTGGGCGGAATACTCCAGTTATCACGACTTTAGCTCATACGACTGCGTGCACGGTTTCTTCGTGGGGCAAATCCAGGGCACCGGCTTCACATTCGGTCTGATCCTGCCATATACCACCGCACCACGTACGCCAAAATTATTCTCACAGCTACATTTCAATGTTATTGTTAATTCTATTAACAACAACATTGATTTAGTTACCTTCCATTAGTTTATTTACAGAACCGTATTCGAACATGTACCTGGTTGTGGACGCCACCCAAAACTTGTTCTATGGATGTGGTTCGCAAAATCTGCAGACCGGTGTCTGTGATTAGCCAATATTTGTGCACCTTATTCGGACCAATCCGTTGCAGCTATCTCAGGCTGATAAAGCTGCTCTGGACGCTGTGGAAGATCGCTTCCTTAATCAATACGGCTGCAGTGCTGCTAAGGATGTTACGCTGATTTCTCACACAGCGGACAAGCCGTTATGTAAAGCGATACCTGCGACCGACTGCATGCAGAATCACATCACAGGATATGAGCAAGTTCTGACCTTCCTAAATGGTTGATCCTAAATGGGTGATAACTTTGAGGTCTTTATAGAGACTGCCATGAGACATGGCGTGGTTATTTTCTTTCGCGAACTGCGATCACGGCTAACCGTGAGATAAGAAGTACTGTATGTTAAATCTCTTAGTAATAATTTTTTGTCGCCATGCGGTGCTGAAGTGGAATGTTGTTCAAAATGCCAGAGTACTGCATTTTTATTGACCTTTGAAGGTTTCACTCGTTTATACGCTGTCACGATTAAAATTACCCTACCGACTACTTTGTTTTTCTGTGCAAATGTGATCGCATCCGAACAGCATCTACTGCATCTTCCAAAAGCTTCGTTGTAAAATTGTGAAACGTTGCTCTTGGAATCAACGGCGCATTCAACACCACTTGTAGCACCGGCCATGCTTTAAAAGTTCAAAACCTATACTCTTGTCTGATGGTATTAATAAAAGTTCATTTCTAGGCAAGCGATATAATCGTCAATCAAGTACTTTAACCGTTTATTACTGTACATTCTGTGAGAAACTGAGCTACTGCAAAAGCCGATCCCACACATTACAGACTGTACTTATTTTCGTTCAATTAGGAACAAGGCTCAGCGCAATTATATTGGTATCGTTATTGCGGCTCCATAGTAAAATAACAGGAGGAGCGCGATACGCGGGACGACTTTGCAAACTGCAGGAATCGTCCCATGATTGCTAACCCTGCACACGTAGAACGATTGCGCTGCTATCTATTAATGCAGGCAATGGGAGACAGTGACGAGATACTGTAAGCGGTATTGCGGCCGAGGTGATGTTGATGTACGGTACTTCCTCTTTCGATTGATAGACCGCAGCACCGGCACCTTTCCGGAACTTGGTAAGAAAGCGTACTGAACGCTTTAGAATATGAAAAAGATGTTAGAACGGGTTAGTCTGAACTGTGGCCTCGGTCTTTCATTGGGCATTCCCAAGGTTAGGTATGCGACACGGGAATCAGCATACAGATTCCGTCGTTCGAATGGTTCATCGAACAATCTGAAGTATAAGCTCGGAGAACAGATTTACAATACAAAAATTAAGTCGCGAACCATTAACACAACGCCGTGTAAAGTTGAAGTGAGACAGATATTTTGATTTCTGGCATGTTAAATTTGCATACAGGAACAGCAATAAATCCATCTTTAGTTTCAAAGTGGATGCAAGGTTAACCAGTACGGCATTGTAACTTACCATTGTCTTTGATCAACATTATTACAATAGCACATTTTGCGCTACAATTACTGCATAGCATTACATTTACAGTAAATACATTGTTTATTTACAGTATATACAGTAATTTTATTTTAGTGTAGCAGCCAATGAGCTGTTACGCGTACTTCCAGCTTGTTTGGTGCTGTATTGTACACTTGGTGCCTTTGCTTGCACTGTCCGGCGTAAGTATTAACGAGTTGAAAAACTCTGTACGAAAGTTATGATGGTGCTGGAGAACAGTAAGAATGCCTTCAAGGCAAAAGCGCCTTCCTGCCTCGCATATTTTTACCGTACGAGGTTAACGCTCGCCAGACTGCGGCATCTATAGATACGCCAGACCTCATTGTGCGCGTTCATGATGTACGTACAGTATCTTTCTCGAAAGCGCGACTGTAATTAATACAGTAAATTCTGTCAAGCACAAATTCGCATTTCACATAATAAATTTTACTAAATCGACATGATTCTCACCTTTCTCTTCTACTTTGGTAAGAGTTGCCATAAAGGCTGTATTTAGAAACGGTTCTACAATGGGTATGTTTGTTTTCAGCTGCATTGGGCATCGTCGCAAATTCAGCTCAACAATGTTCTCCGTCCCTTCCAACCACTCTACAAGGCGTAGGCGGGGACACACCTAAACAGGTCTCAAAAACGTGAACAGGCTTAGACCTACTTAGGTAGTTGTCTCATTTACATATCGGCAACTCTCAGCAGAACGCTGTTATTTGATTTCGATTTTTTCGAATGCTTTTAATTGGCTGTCAAACAATGAACTGCCGAGCATGCTCTTTAGGCTGATGGTGTTTGGTATGTCTACCGAAAAATGGGAGGAAACTATTCCACAGCAGCGCAGATTCAAATCACCAGCGTGGCGCCGTATCCCGATCCGGTCACCAGTCAACCAGGATATCTGCAATGGTGGCAGATCGTTTCTGATACAGCCGGTGCACCGTGTCAACATCAGTTCTGGACAGGGTCGTATACGAATGGGGGGATGCAAATCGGTGATCTGGGTGGATCTGATGATAACTATATTATGCGTACGTTCGTTGTAGTAGTTTAGGTATACTTCGTACTCCAGATCGCAGTAAATACAGCAAATTTAACAGAATGTGGCTAACCAGAAGAATATTGAATTATGCAGGTCCAACTGATTTCGTGGTCTTGTATCATGATTATCAGAACCTTATGGTGACTTACGGGTGCAGTAAGTCCCAAGCGGATAATGTCCACTGTGCCACAGCCACCATCATAGCTCAAACCCGAAAACGTCCAGACCAACTGTCGGCATCGGAAATGGACAATTTTGATAGCATTATCAACTCCGTCTTCTCCAAATACTGCGTGACGGTGCAGACTATACCGAAGGACGTATATGGGCCAAAGGGCACCTGCACTGCGATCGACCCGCCGTTCTGCGTTGCTCAGGATATTCAAGGAATGAAGAACACCATAATAAACGCCACAAGTACTGTAAAAATATTTAAAACCACGCTTTTGGCCATGATGAGTTGTCACACAGATACTTACTTTGAATTAAATCGAACGTTTTGCAAGTACACAGTGAATATATTATGTATATGTTGGCTAGGTCCACCGGCAACCACGAGTTCGCCAAACTATGGGAGCAATACTCCGACGACTACGGGCTGTAAATGGCCAAATGCGTTTCCCTCACAAGGCGTAGTGAACAACAAGCTGGTAATACTTTGACTGCAGTCATTATGTTTAATAAATTTAGTTGTTCTGGTTAAAATCGTTTACCAAAAGATGCCGGTTATCGATTTGAGGCCATTTTTTGGTAATACCTAGCGCCTTTTTATTTTTCACAATGTTCCTTAGATGGACGGGAGGTTCTATATATGGCGAAGAATGTTTGCACCCGAAGCAAGTCCAGTAAATCAACAAGTTGATTTCCACGATGTGGGAGCCTCCGCTTCTCCTCTGATCAATGCTACAGCTCGCACTATCTGGGCCGAATACGCTAACTATGCCAGTGCTAATTCTAGCCAATGTGTCAACGGTTTATTTGTGGGACAGATTCAAGATACCGGGCTTTTAACCGGACTCGTCATCCCGTACACAGCTGATGGAGCTCCGCGTAAGCCGAACTAGCACTTCTTGTTTTGTGCGACCTTTGTCAGTAAAAGCACTGCCAACGATTACAGGCACTACGTTATCGACTTTAACGAAATTCGGCGAAAGGAACTGCACAAATCTGATGCTACAGCTGCTACGAAAACATAATTTTTTTAATGCGATTCTTGCAGAGCCTCTCACCGCGATGTTTTTGTATGCTGACACCACGCAGCTCTTGTTTTACGGTTGCGGCGCGCAGAATCTGCAGACCGGCATCTGCGATGCGCCGGTTGTTGCGCACTGCACTAAGGCCAACCCGTTGCAAATGACCCAGACTGAGAAAGATGCCTTGGACGCCCTAGAGGATCGCTTCCTGAGTCAATACGGATGCAGCGCTGCCAAAGATGTTCCGTTGATTTTTCATACATCGGACAAGCCGCTGTGCCCGATGACACCACCGACAGATTGCATGCAAAATCACATCACAGGATACCAACAAGTCCTAGCGTCCATGAACGCGGGCAGCGGTTATTCTTATTGATGCGCAATAAAACGATATTCCAATTTTTGTACAGCCCAGAAAAGTTTTAACATAGATATGCTGGCCGGGCGACAAAGTGTGGAAGTTTACTGCCATAACGATATGCTACGGCACTTGTACTGTGGTCATGCTGCCTTCAGAAACTGTCCAACAGACCCTGTTTATACAAACCTACGGTCTGTGCAAGACCCACAGCATATTTCTAGACTTTTTGGAAAACATTTTTGCTAATATCTTACCTATTTGTGGGCTTGAATTTGTCAGTTTTGTTATTTCTTTTGACTTACATATTTTAGATGCAGTAAAAATTGCAGGATTAGAATATATAACCTACAGTATATAATTCACTTTCGACAACATTTTTTGCTGCGACAGATATTTAACGGAAGTTTTGAAATTAACAGTATTCCATAAAATGTAGTGTTTCAAAATAATTTACAATTTAACTATAAAATAACACAATTAATTGTCTTCATATTTTATACCATCAGTACTACGGCTCCCTTGCTGCAACCTTGTGCAAAACAATAATATACTCGTGCAATACCACGACCGGAGTCGGTATAGAATTGGAGCCGATAATATATACTTGTAGTAATATTTTTGTGATCTGTAGACAAACATTTTTCGTCATCCAAACGTTACACCTTTTAAATTAACCTCTAAATATCACACCGTAATTTAAGCGATACACTACTACGTACGTGGGACTGATTCCCATATCTAGCCAGCTGACTAAACGCAAAAATGGCATATTTAAAAATGAGTGAATTGCCGCCCAACAACAGAAATACGGCCGGCTTATACTCGCTATCACCAACCGGCTTATACTCGCTGTCACCTAATGGTAAAGAAAACGTGATACATTACTTACATGTACACGGAGTACCACGAAGGTGAACAACCGCAAAATTAATAAAGCAAGCCACTTTTGTACATGTACTATGCAGTAAACAAAGAAATTAAGTTTATCATGACAGGTACTTAATTATGGTTATATTGATTCTTCAGGCAAGTTTTGACATGGTTACTCTTCTCATACGTACAACTAAATTCTCGTGTCGAATTATTAATTCAATACTGTAAATTTTGTTAGCAGTTCAGACGTTTCGGCTACAGCTTGATAACACTGCCGTTACTATCAAATTTCAAAGTTTGACGGTTAATAATTTACTTCGTTTTTAAAAATTTAAAAATGATTCTGACTTTTATCGTTTTTTCTTCCGGTAAGAAAGAATTAATTGGTGAAATAATCGTACGTAATTTATGTTTCTGCATTGCGATATAAGGGATTCGTACTTTAATAGTCTGTATAATCATCAACACCTCCGCTCAGCAATGTTCGCCAGCTCTTCCCACGGTCCTGCTCGGAAACGGCGGCGATTCTCCTCAACAAGTCAGTGTACAAGAAAATAGTTTACTGAATTAAGAAACCGTATATTGCGGCAATTATATACTGTCGCAGTTTACGTTATTGCAAACATGGATCCTATTATGCGGATTGTAGATACATTTTGTTTTTTTGTAGGCTGATGGCGTATGGTACGTGTATAGAAAAATGGGTGGCAGTTATCCCAGTGCAGCACAGATACAAATCACCAGCGTGGCACCGTATCCCGACCCTGTGACGAGTGAACCGGCATATCTGCAGTGGTGGCAGATATTTTCCGACACAGCCACCACGTCCTGTCCGCACCAGTTCTGGACCGGGACTTACGCCGGCAAAGGACAGCAGATTGGTGACTTGGGTGGATCGGATGATAATTACATAAGGCGTAAGGACCATATTTTATTCGTGACGCAAGGGTGGTATTTAATTATCAACGGTTTGACCTTTAATATCACTACAGATAGTGCGAGTTTTACTTATAGAGCAGGTGTTTTTTGCCAAGAACAAACTAAACTTTAAACGTTTTTACCTTAAACAGCATTAAAAAAATTAATAATAAATAGTCGGTATACGTAGCATAACTAACCTGCATGGATCAAACCTTAAACAATTTATTTTATATTAATCGTTTTCTATATTTTAGTTTTATTGCTGCTCATCACATCCTTATATGTACATTTATGTTAAGTCGTTATGGCTGCATGGTTTTTCAGGCCCAACGGATTTTGTCGTGCTGTATCACGACTACCAAAACCTTTTGGTGACGTATGGCTGCAGTAAGTCACAAACGGATGGCGTCCATTGTGCCACGCCCACCATCATCGCTCAAACGCGGAAGCGGCCAGACCAGCTATCGGCAGCGGATATGGACAGTTTTGACAATATAATCAATTCCGCTTTTTCGAAATATTGTGTATCCGTGCAAAATATACCGAAGGAAACATATGGAGCAAAAGGAACTTGCGCTGCTATCGACCCGCCGAACTGTGTGGCCTTAGATATCCAGGGAATGAAGAACACCCTCGTCAACCCTACTGGTACTTACGAAGTGTTAAGAAAATAATTATGACAAAACGTTTTGGAGAATTTGTAATAATGACGCTGAGGTATAATACGTATTTTGTGAGACGCATTTGTGAGAGAAAATTCTTGGGGCTGTCATCCATTCAAATCTAATATCAGAATGCTGTATTTCTGCACGCAGTTTCAACCGCCCACACTTGCATAAATAAATATAATTAATACAGGTTCAGCAGCATCCACCAGCCCATCATCCTATGGAAGCAATACCGGCACGACGCTCTCGGGATGCAAATGGCCAAATACAATCCCATCTCAAGGTCAAATCGACCTTAAGCAGGTAATAACCCAAAATGTGATGCTGCAATTTATTACGTATAAGGTTTAAAAAATTAGCAGTAAAATTAGCAGCAGTAAATAGATACGCACTTCTACACAAACACCATAGAGGTCATGTGTGAGTTGCTGCGCGCTCGAGCGTTATGACCTAGGCACAATTCGCATCTGAGTCCCAATACGTGGTAAATTTGACAGATAACAATATACGTATGAACATATAGAGTCAGCGACTTATCTGAATTTTGACAGATTGACGGAACATTTTTTGTCTATCGAAGAATTTTCCCACCTGAAGCCAGCCCAGTGAACCAACAAGGCGCTTGGCATGATGTCGGTTTGTCCGCGTCACCCCTGATCAACGCTTCAGCTCACACGTACTGGGCGGAATATGTTAACTATGCTAACGCCACTTCTTCTCAGTGCGTCACTGGTTTCTTTGTCGGTGAAATCCAAACCACCGGTCTCATAACGGGTTTGATCCTTCCCTACACTACCGCAGGCGCTATACGTAAGACTCAAGAATATGTATAGTAATTATATGCACTAATACAAAACAACGTTTTATAAGTTAGGTTTCATAAATTTTATTATCAATTCCCCTAGCAGCCTATTATCTTTGCAGAACCCTACTCATCAACGTTTCTGCTTGTCGACTCCACACAGCTCTTCTTCTACGGATGCGGGGCACAAAATCTGCAGACCGGCATCTGTGATGCGCCAGTCGTGGTACACTTTATCCGGACCAATCCGCTGCAGCTGTCCCAGACGGAAAAAGATGCCCTGGATGCGGTGGAGGATCGTTATCTGAATAAATACGGATGCAGTGCCGCCAAAGATGTCCCGCTTATTCTTCACACCGCTGATAAACCATTGTGCCCGATGGTGGCGCCGACCGACTGTATGCAGAACCACATAACCGGGTACCAGCAAGTCCTGGCGGCTATGAAGACCGACAGCTCCTATTAAGTCAGGCGAAGCGCTTGCAAATATTCATTTTCTTGTACTGGATGAGCTTCCTGTGACAACTCGCATTGCTGTAATGGGCGGTGACTTGAGCGAAATGCTTTTTGGTTCCATTTTGTGTATTTTGCTTTTTTGGTAATTTCGTCTATTAAAGTTTCGATACCATTAGTGCTTCAGTCTTGTAACTGGCAGATGTTTGAGCAGTACATGAACAACGTTCGTTGTGAATTAGTGCTGTGAGCGGAGAAGCGGCTCACGTACAGCGATAAAGTCTTTCACAGGATTTCAACGTATTGCGCCGTGGTGCAGTGGTACTGCCTACGCGGATCTAACGACGTAGCCGGGGTTCGATTCCCCCATCGGCGCCTTTTTCAGCCGTTTCTCGGTTTCCCTCGGATTGCGCCCTGCTTAGAGTGCTTAACGTTAAGGCTATTAAATTATTAATAATTATTTTTTTCGCAAATGGTTTTCTGTTACGTTTACGAATTACAAACCTTAAGTTTTGCTGGTACTGGGAGAATTATCATTACCGCGGGATTAAAGCTCATCAAAATGGTAGCTACCTGAAATTTTACAAATGAATATTCTATGAAATCCCCTGGGGGCGTATTGCAGTGCCCAGTGGATTTCGTGGGCCTGCACGAACGATTGTTTGCAGCAAAGCTGTATTCATCCCCCACAGTCGCTGACTCATAAGGTTGGTACTGTCATCGACTCCTCGTAATTCGAAAGACCGACATTATGACCTGCTCTTTGTTTCTTTCTGTGGATCCATCTGTATAGGTTCTAATGTCATCCATTCATGGTTCTTCCTAGAATGACAACAGCAACGTCACGCACAGCCGGCACATGGTGGGAATTTATGTCGCCTTGGTAAAAGACGCTTCCATTTTGGCTGATTTAACCGATTTTAATTAGACTTTAAACCGCTTTAGTTTCGGATGCGTGTTCCTACAGGCTACGGCTGTATTTGGTTACAACAAAGTACGGAAAAGGTGGACGTCCTTTTTAACAACCAATCATGTCTAGCTTAGTTTTATTTTTGATCTTTGTTGTTATTGTGGACTTTGTGGGTCCCCGACCGCTGCTATCGTCCCATACTGACAATAGTCTTCAGAGTGCCGTGCTGAATGTCAGCTTGGTAGTAATAGGTGATAACTCCACTCAAGGGTTTCAGGATCTGCCGTATGTTGGGCCGGCCTTTATCATAGCCGCTGAGCAACAGGAAGTATAATGGGACGCTTTATTTTCGTTTGCACTTTATTGGACAACAAGGATGTATTGAAGTGGCTAGCAATGCAACTGCGATGTTATCTGACTGGCATTATCGCAAAAGGAATGATCGCGAACTCACCATTTATAACATACTAGGTAATCTACATTTGGTTGTAGTTTCATAATGACATCGCTTGTAAGTTATGTATCAATTTGAATGGATTTTTCAGCATGTGCTGAAAATACGGAGACTCCCTGTTTTCTGACTCAATGGGATACGTTATGGATATCAACGTAAGCAAAGGAGCAAATTTCCTTACCAAGGAAACAGTCTTCTTATTCTATAGCGGCTCGCCTGGCTCTAACATACTCAACCGCGATTTTTATAAAACCCGGATATCCACAAACGCTTTTTTGTTGTACGAATTTGCCGAACTGTTCCTGGAGATATTGAATAAGTATAACTGGACTTCCATAACTGTGATTACCGACAAGAATTCTCCTCCGTTTCATGCTTAGCTGGCATCAACATTCCTAAATATTGTCCAAAGCCAGAAAATTACAGTTAAGAATTAGCGGTAGTTAAATTACCGCTGAATTCGTTTGTTTCCCTGTACTCTCATCCCTGTACTTTCCGGCACCCGTTTCGCGCCGTGTGCAGTTGCCTGCGCACAACGCTTCTTGCTGTTCATCTCTCATAACGACTTTTACCTGTTGCTAGCTTGAGAATTGTTTGCTAATTTCGAGCTCCCCGCAATTTTCTTCCCCTTTTTCTCAAGTCAAGTGAGTTGAAGTGACTATTAAATCCTCTCACCGGTAAAATTATGGCTGGGAAAAAGAAAACCGCGCCATGCAGCCGCGCTGCAAGCCCCAGGAGAACACGTTCTCCCCGGGATATCGCCAGCAGCAGTACCGCGGAGCAGCCAAAAACGAGACCCGGTCGAAAGCGCCGTCGATTACAATCACCCATTCCCGCCGTCCGGTCTGAAGTGGTCGTCGTGGACCAAGTACAGCCCGACTGGAAGACGCTGGTGGATCGCCAGAGCCAGCAGATACAACAGCTGATCGACATCGTGACGCCGATAGCAGCCAAGAAACCTGGGGAACCTCGAACAATTTCACCAGCATCCGCAGACGCTGGCCTGGAAATTGAATGTCTGGCAGATGGTAAACGAAATGTTCGTTACCGGGTAGACAGCTCATCTCGCGAACGCCGTCACCGAAGAGGTAAGCACAGCAGCCGCAGCCGCTCATCGTCTTCTCGCAGTCGGTCTCCGGTCCGCCGCCCCGTTCACGAGCGCCTAGGCACGCATCCTCATCGGCGGCGACTGGGAGACGGCCAAGCAGCGTCGATGTCAGCCGGAAAAACGTCCAGCGCTCAAACGAAGCACCTGCCAGCCGTTCCCAGCCGCGTCCGCAGACGGCTGCTCGACCCGTCGCGCTACGTTGACTTCGACGGGCTGCTCCCCAAAAACCGCGTGGAAAGGCCCAAGCACGGCGGCTCTAAACTGGTATACTCAAAGGGTAATGTACTTCTAAAGCCCAATGAGACCAGATCAGTGGTTGATTCATTTCCTTCCTGGATTCGCGCATTCTCCGTCTTCCTGGCCTAACCGCGTCACGGTAGCCCCACAAGTAGCAACCGCCCTGGCCAAGTATCAGAACCTGATTGCGGCGTATGTCGAGCGGGGGGTTCCGACCGCCCACTGGCTCGAATACGACCGGCAGTTTCGGTCCCTCATGACGAGCCATCCGCGCGAATATGACATGTGGGCCCGCCAGCACGACGACACGTACGCAGATTACATCTAGAACGCCGCCCCGGAGGAGGGCGCAAGCGACGGCGGCGGCGATCAACGGACCAAGAAGAATCCCGCCCCGACGGACAAATGTCGCAACTGCGGGGAGATGGGGCATTTCATCGCACACTGCCCGCATCCCCGGAAAGGACAGGCCGGATACAATCAGCCCTCTCGACCTGCCCCAGAAGTGGGGGGCGAAGTCTGCCGCAACTGGAACCAGTTCCGGTGTAGCGACCCATGCAGCGAAGGACGCTTGCACGCTTGCGGAAAGTGCCGCGTCAAGGACCATCGGGCACCGCAGTGCAAGTCCGAGTCTCGCTGAAAGTATAGCAGTGCCTGCAAACGCTCAGACGCCTCTGCGTGCTGATGCGTTTGAGAAATTGCTTGCCGATCAACCCGACGCCAGTTTGTGTCGCTTCACCACCACAACCATACGGACTGGCGCCGATATCCGGTACAGAGGACCTCAGTTCGCACGTCATACAAAGAATTCATTATCCGCACGGATCCACCACGACGCCCTGCAGCGGAGCATACAGAAGGAAGTTGCCGCAGGACACTCTGTGGGACCGTCTCCAAGACCTCCGCTGCCGTTCTTCGTGGTAAACGCACTCGGATGCCGACCAAAGAAGGACGGAGGCCACCGCACGATCCTGGATTTGTCGCAACCAGCCGGACTAAGCGTGAACGACCACATAGACGGCCGGGAAATGCCTCTTCAGTACTGCTCTGTTGACGATTCAGTAAAGCTGCTGACGATCGCTGGTAAGGGAGCGCCAATGGGCAAGTGGACATCAAGTCCGCGTTCCGAATGATCCCTGTCAGGAAAGCAGACTGGAACCTCCTCGGATATCAGCTCGACGGTAAGTACTACTTCGACGTAGTATTACCGTTTGGCTGCCGCTCAGCCTCTTATATCTTCGAGTTCTTTTCAACGGCGGTGCATTGGTGCGTACAAAGACGCGCCCTCCTCAGCTCGCTACTCCACTACGTCGACGACTTTCTGTTCGTTGGCAAACCCGGGAGCGGAGAGTGCGAGTTACTGATGGTCTCCATGCAGGAAGTGTGCAGCGAGCTCGGGGTTCCCCTAGCAGTCGACAAGACCGTAGGGCCCGCGACCCGGCTGACATTCCTGGGAATTTAACTTGACTCATTTGAGCAGACGCTGAGCCTCCCAGCCGGCAAGCTGGCGGAAATCCTGACCACCCTCAAGAGCTGGCGTGACAAGACCACCTGCACACTCGCGGAGCTACAGAGCCTCATCGGCACCCTGACATTCGCGTCCAAATGCGTACCTTCCAGCCGGCTGTTCACCCGCGGAATGATACGCTTAATGGCAGAATCCCACGGGCGGCCTCGTGTGTCCATCAACACGGACTTCCGGCTCGACCTCGACTGGTGGAGGGACATCCTGCCCCAATGGAACGGAACGGCCTCCTTCCTACAGCCAGATTGGACCACTTCCGATGTGCTGCACCTCTACACAGACGCGTCCGCCACGCTGGGCTTGGGAGCCTACCTCAACGGCGAGTGGTTCCAATCCAGGTGGCCGGAGTGGCTGTTGCAAGTCTCCCCTTCAATCGAGTACATGGAAATGGTTCCCATCCTGCTCGCCGTTATTGTTTGGCGGCAAAAGTTGCGCCGGAAGAAAGTTATCTTCCACACCGACAACGCCGGCGCTGTGGAGGCATGGGCACGCTTGCGCTCCAGCAGCCCGGGTGTGCTCGATCTAATGCGGAGAATGACGTGGGCGGCGGCCGCTAATAACCTAACGCTGACGCTCAAGCACGTACCGGGCGTTGATAACGGTATAGCTGACGCCCTATCTCGGTTTCAGATGTCTCGGTTCAGAACACTCGCGCCGGCAGCACTCAACACGCCTACGCCCCATCCGGACATCTTTCCCAGCCTGCAGGAAACATATCGCGCAGCGGTACCCTGCAGCAGCTCCTCAGCGCCCACATCTCCGGATCCTCCAGAGCCACATACAAGGTCTCGATGACCCGCTTCGTACAGTTCTGCGCCGCCAATAGCTTTGCGTCACTGCCAGCCATCCCGTCTACTGTTGCCGCGTACGTAGCCTCCCTGTACGAGGAGAACGCAGCCTACCGAACCATGAAAGTATACCTCGCAGCGATACACAACAGTCATCGGGAAGCCGGTCTGCTTAACCCTACCGCCGACGACTTGGTCGTGCGCGCGGTAAGCGGCTTCAAGAGACTGCGCGGACCGAACCCCGACACGCGGCTGCCCATTACGCTGAACACGATGCGCTTGCTAAAATCCCGCCTTACGACGCATGACAACGCCGAAGAAGCCATCATGATCTGGTGTGCCTTCTGTGTGGCGTTTTTCGGATTCCTACGTATCAGCGAGATCGCTTCGAAGTCTAGCTGCACGTTCGACGCCACCTCCACCCTTCTCCTACGAGACGTGACGATTGCAGGCAACACTGCTGTCGTCTCCTTGAAACGCACCAAAACCGATCAGAGCGCTACAGGGACAAAGATAACGCTAACCGCCACCAATCGGTCCATCTGCCCAGTACGCGCCATTGCGGACTTCCACCGCCTTCGGATCAAGCAGGGCGGCATCACCACTCCCTTCTTCTGTTACCAGAACGGGAAGTTCCTAACACGTGCGACTGTCGACCGGATCCTGAAGACCCTGCTGTACGATCACCCGGACCGCGCGCGAATCAGCATACACAGCTTTCGCATCGGGGCGGCAACCGAGGCTGCGTCACAACAGCTACCGAAGGAGATGATTCAGCGCGCCGGGAGATGAAGAGCGACTGCGTCGAGCGTTATATCCAAACTGCTACCCTAACCGGACCGAATTTCTACGCAAAGAGGGTTTGTTTGGGGGCGAAAAAATCGGGCAGTGGCGGAGGGTGCGGGCAGTGAGCTGTCTGTACCGGCAGGTAAGACTCTCAGCTGGAATTGCGCACCTCCGGCCATGCCGGTGACTTTCAACTCCACAAACCGCACGCCGAGTCGCCTCACACACCGATACTGCACTTCAGAATTCGCGGATAATTTAACACCTTGTTATCATTGTGAGGAGCATAGAGACAAAAGCAAGCAATTTCACTGGATTTCGCCCGATTCTTCAAAGCATCCGTGCAACAAACCGAGGTATGCCACTGACTCGCACACCCTGTTCTTTTTAAAAATTATACTATACCCTTTGATTCTTCATATATTTTGTCAGTGGTACTATACTTTGGCGGCGAACCGGCCTTGCGGGACTTCTTGGTAAAACCCATGCTGTCAGCCATTTTATTGTTTTTCGACAAGTTGTGATCTTTTGCAGTTGGCTGCGTATTTATTAAACATGACTAATGGAGAATACGTAAGGTGGTATTAATGCATACTGTCTAAAAATCATATTTTTCGCACTTTTCTGTCGGATGCGATGGAAGATCATTGTAGGTGTACATAATGGAAGAAAATAACCTGTTTTGTCCAGTAACCTGGCGAAATGGCGATATAAACGATCCGGTAAGCAGCATTGCTGCAAGAAAAACCTTTAGACTTGGATGCGACACATTTCGCTTTGCGATAAAGATTTTTGAATACATTTTTAGGAGAAATATTGTTCTGTGTCTAGGTGTTCCTGCAAGCGTTCCACTCTGTCTTAATTGTGAATCCAAGTGAGAGCACTGAGAACGCTAGTGTGAAGGTGCAGCTTGGGAAGGAATTTCTCCAGCGAACTAAGCAAGATTTCAATTACACGTATCCAATAGCAAGCCAGGTAAGTCCACACTCCAATCTATTCAACAGTTTCGCTAACGGGAGTTTCGCTAACCCTAACGGGAGCCGCGAGGTACACTCGCTTTTTGCAGAGCACGCTTGTCTGAAAACACTTATTCGTCCTTTCGTATTTGCACAGCCGTTGTTGTACAAATTCGGCCAAACTGGGGCTTTAATAGAAGTGACACAATTAATCGCGCGTGTGGGTAAACAGCTCATTTCCTCCTTCCAACGAACCGTATTGTGGATACCTAAATCAAAAGCTGCGCTGCCTTACATCAAGTAAAATACAATTCTCGGGAAGTTCAAAGATGTACTGCATGCACTTAACTTTAACTTTATTTCACGAAGAAATGGACTAGAGTTATGTCTGATATTCTACACAAATTTTAGGAGACGACCGTTCTTCGGACTTGCTAACAGCTCTTTCCACAAGTCTATGCCTGGCTGTCGGCGTCCAGATTATAGGATGGGTTTCGTGAGTACTGCATTATTTTCGACCTCAAAAGCAGTTTCCCAATCAGTTTCGCTCTGGTCGCCGTTGGTGTCGCAAAAGCGTAAATGCTTCTGTAGCTCTGTACCAAACTGACTTTGTGTCTATAAACGGAATCGTGAAAATGCAGGAACACTGTAACATAACTCCGTCTTAACATAAATGTTAAGACGAAGTTATGTTAAGACGAAAGACGAGACGGAAAATGTTAAGACGAAGTTATGTTACAGTAGATACCATTAGTAGGTGTGTGGAGATATTGCGTACTATCTAGAACCGGCTTCGGAAACGGGTAAATAATTAACACAGTGCTTAAGCGCACTATGGCTCGTATAATAACGTGTGAGCGACGCATGCACTCTGCTCTTTTGAGTTTTTGTTTGACCACGCCCTATTTACAACCGCAGGTAGAGGACCCAGTGAGGTTTTTGCGACCAAAACCAAGACGTAGTTCACGTTGCAAGTTATACAAAACGAGATATTTATAACGAAATGCTCTATTAATTTAGATTTAGCAAACTCAAAGCCAAATATCAGCTTCTCCGCGATCCATGGTGGCAGATCCAGCTGCAAGTACCAACTAATCGACTCATAGCATCCTGCCGTTCTCTGCTATCGAGAATCTACGCCGACCAAAATTCACAAGAATCTCTTGAACTCCCTACAGTTTTCAGCTGGACACGAGTACAACCAGTCGAAAACGCGCCCTTTTGGCACTTTTGTCAAGCAGTCTGTTTTGGTTACAGAGCTTCTGCACGGCCATCGTTTTTGGTACATATAAAAGCAAACCAGTTATGGGCTGGAAACTTTCCAACCGGAATCGCCCAGTCAATTTTCCCGATATTTCGCGGCGCAGTAACGATCTGCTGGTCTTGCTTCAAAAGGTATTAAAATGTATGCAATCCCAGATTTTAACTTAATGATTGTAGAAATACGTACATTGCTTTGATGCAGATAAACAGAATGGAGCACATCAATATTTGCCAGTTTGTTGGACTTGCCATAACAAATTCTAAGGGAATCTACTGGATTTCAGCGGTAATGGAATGCCCATCACGGGGCGCGCTGCCGGATACATTCGACAGTTACGCGTGCAGGGATGCGGCACTGCTAACTTCGCTGGCTCATGATTTTGTCCAAGTTCTATTATCTGTACAATGTCCACATTATAACGATTCACTTTTCTAAATGCGAAACCGTTACGACCATTTGGCTCTTGCAGGCAGTACGGTATATCCATACTTACTTGGGAATCCTTCTGTTGGTTACCACCCGAAAAAAGGAGTACGGTCGACAGCAGTTCCTTGCGAATGGTTGACATTTACTCCTGTGGTCTAATCTTGTTTGACATACTGACAATGGGAAAGCTTTTAGAGAAAATTAGATCATATGCCCAAGGTAAGGCAACTTACGAATGTGTGGGCGTTTCGATAACATTAGCCTCTCAACGTTCTGTGTAGCTGAAGAAAGTCTGTACGAAATTTTTTCTGGGACAACAATTTTCTCGTGTTTGCCTGAATTCGAAGTGATACTGCGGTCGTGCATCGCTCAGGATCCGCTACAGCGACCAGACATAAAAAGTCTAATCCGTGCTCTGGACACTATCAATCCGCTGCTGGCTGCACAGGACAGGAATACTACGCTCTTTGACCAAATCTGTGCAGGGATGGAAAACTGTTCAACCGAACTGGAATATCAAGTTACAAAGAGGACCGCCGAACTGATAGAAGAAACAGATAGATGCGACGCAATTATAAATCGAATCTTACCACGGTACAAGTGAACCGAACTCTTAATACAGGATTAATTTGTTCAGAGTGGCTTTTTGGCGCAGTATGGTCGGCAAATAACCTGCCGATTATTTTGCCGCACACTGCGGTTACATGCTTTGTGGCTATTTTGTACTGCCAGCCAGCACCCACTACGCCATTTTCATCAGTAAATTTAAACCACTATTCTACTACTATACACTACCGCTTGTCTTGGGATTTCTGAGTTAGATTTGTAGCACTTCTTAGATTTTCTTAGGGTCCTCGTCTTCTGCAAAGAAATTTAGAACACTACAAAACCATCGTTAATTTGTAATGCACTGCGGGAAAATAGCCAAGCAATTTCGTCGGCGAGTCGCCGCGCAAATTGAGACAAAGAGTGTAATACCTCTTCCTACCGAGTGTGCGGCAAAATAGCCTGATTATTATTCCAGCTACTCGTATAGGCAAAATAGCCATAGCCCTTGTTTTTATATAAAACAAGTTGGGTTACCGTTCCCTTTGCTTGTAGATCTATCGCCAAACAGCTTCGGGCAGGTGATAAAGTTCTACCTGAATATTTCGAATGCGCCACCATTCTGTTTACCGATTTACATGGATTCGCTGACTTCGTTGAGATCAACCTACCTGAGATGACGATTGCTGTTACATCAGCAGCGGAAGTCTGCATTGATAAGTTGACAAACGAGTGCAACGTTTATAAAGTGGAAGCAGTCACTGCTTCGTTTGTGGTAATGTGAGACGAAATTATACTTGTGCCCAGTTTTTATTGCAGAATTCGCAGACTCATGCATTTGTAGAAAGGCGCGTATAGCCAGTTTCCTATAGGTAGCTAGCGGAATCCCGGAACGAATCGGATTAAACCATATCGAGCGCATTGCAGCCTTTGCCTGCAGACTTATGGAACTTCAGCCGAAACTGACCTTTCTGCAAAATCTGCGGTTTAAAACGGGGATTCATTCGGGTAGCACGCCACCATGGCAATCACTTGGGTGTGAGTTGTGGAATAATATTATTGTAGGTCCCTGTGCTGCAGGATTAATGGGGCTGAAACGACCCCGTTATTGCTTGTAAGTGGGCGCCCGTTGTGCACGCTTTGAAAGCAGTGATACTCTCTTACTTCTCCGATAATGCGTATTTGACTCGTATCAGTTGTCCTCAGGTGACACAAAAAACTTTAATATTGTTTTTGATTACACTAGCTACAGCCCAGAACATGTATCGTTTGTTTTAGATTTGGTGACACAGTTAACATGGCTTCCCGAATGTGCAGCCACGGTACACCCGGCCGTATTCATCTCAGCCCCGAAAGCCAACTTCTGCTGGAACAATTTCCCCAGTTCGTTGTCAAAGCAAGAGGCGTGCTTGCTATTAAGGGAAAACATGAAATAGCAACTTACTGGCTTCTTCCATCGCCCCAAAAATAAGATTATTTCGAAATATTGTACTGTTGTTGAAATACTGTCATAGCCTAAAGCAAAAAAAAGATATTTTTCCTGCCTGATCCGCTCAATCTGCGTTAAGGTGTGCCGCACTAGAGACGACCCTACCTGGCTAACATAACAACATCTACCGAGCAAGCTTCAGCCTAGTTCGCATAAAAATACATTCGACTAATTATTAGTAATAACGTATGGACATTTGACTGTGTGTTAACGGTAAACATTTAAGTGCACTAAACATTATTTTATAAGTGATAAACTGTTGCTAAGTACAGTTTTCCAACGCTGCAAAACCAAAACAGGCATAATTAATAATATTCCGGCTGTTCGAGGGGATTATGGCTGAGGTTCAGTTTTTTGTCTAATATGTTAATAGCGCAGAAGAAGACAGCCCAATGCAGCCAGCGATTGCGAACAGTACAGAGTTCACACCTATCTCTTTTCGCATCGCTTAAATGCCTACATTATGCAAAACTTGTGAGAAATATCAAAATTGTAGTTTATTGATGCAGGGAGTATGTCGAGCTTATTGTAACACTGTTAGAATTGAAACAATATCATTATTATTATGCTTAAGCGATTGTTGCTTAAAGTGGCCTTTACACCGTTTCGCCTCAGACCATTGCTTTTTAATAAGAACTTCCTGGATTTCTGATGGACCTATCACGATAATAATCCGAAGCAACTGGTTATACAAGTAAACTGAGCTCCGAGATGCCTGAGAGATGTGGTGCGTATTGGAAGTGTTTTGGTTGTGTTATGTTTTGCTACTTTGTGGCTGCAGTATATCCGGTAAGTAGTACTGTATTTACACGATATTAAGGGACAGAGAAATCCCCAGGACCGCCCGCACTGGCTGTCGGTTCCTTTGATATCAATGGAGCCGACGCCTATATTGCGAGCGGTCCAGGGGATTTCTCTGTCCCATAATATCGTGTAAATACGGTACCTACATAACTGTATTTAAGATATCTTATCGTTACCGTCTGGTTGTATTCATACATGAGGTTCTTAGGTTTCTTAGTTCGTCGGAGTTTACTACCTTAACGAAAGCACGAAATTTCAAGCAAGAGAGATATCCGTCAATAGCAATAGATAAATGACTTAGAACTGCATCGTACGTTTGGAATAAAATTAATAGCAGCGAGCATTTATCAACAGTGACCTTTAACAAAATCGCAATCATATATCTTTTAGCTAAACAGACGGTGCCCTTTGGTCCTACTGGAAGTATCAATGCCACGAACGGCAACCGCCTAGCGGTTAACTTTATCGTCAACTTTAACCTGACCGGATACGCGATGAATTCTACGATTTCCACAGCCGTTCAGGACTGGGCGAAAAACTGCAAATGGGACGACATCGACACGTATTTGAAAACTGTTGATATCAGCATGAACAACAACAGCCAACGGACGTTCGGGAATGTAACTCTATACAATTCGGATGACGTGGAATTCATCGCCGGATTGTGGCTGAAAGCCCTGATCAGTGACAAACAGAAGCGGCTAGACTGTATAAACAGCGCTATGCAGATCATTGTCCAGGATTTTGCCCAGCAGGTGCTCAACGTCACAGTCATGCTGAACACGTCCATTGAGAATACGCTACGCGATTGGATGGTACGGCGCATAACAGCCAGTGTACGGTTTATGGCCTGGGAACGCAATGTTACCATGAGCGCTGGCGACCAGTTCATTCAAGGCCTGACCGGCAACGGCATCAGCGACCTGGCGGCGCTGAGCACCAACCTGACGGTCAACAACATCACGGACGTAACGCATGTGTTGGCAGTGTGCGCGAACTACACCGCGTATTATGCAACAGCGGCGGTATTGACTGACCCCAATAACCGCACGGCCGCTTTTGCTGCGGTGGTCAATCGGGTACTGCGCACTTGTTGTGATCATCTGTTTGTTAATACGGCGGTGGCCGAGCTGCTGCAGGACATTTACAATATGACAGCAGTACAAGCCAAACAGAATTGGACTACGGCCTGGACAGCGGACACCGAGGGTGACTTTTCGCGGTACTTTATCTGGGGCTTGGTTACCGATGGATGGATGAGGCAGATACAGGATTTTATTCACTTGCTAGCCAATAATTACTCGGTCTCGGTGGGTAGTGACTTTTGGGCGACTCACGCACCGTCGGAGCCGCCGATGAGCACATGTACGAACACTTCCAGATTTCTGTAATTTTGTCGTTTTTATGAATGTTTGTCGTTGACAGCGGTCGTTATTGTGTCCCTGGCCATCGTGACATCAGGGATTAACACCGACGAATTTATGACGACGTTGCGCTACCAGAATCTTTTGCAAAACATCACGTTGATATTTAACAATGCCAGTCACATTTTATGGCTCTATGGCAAGTGGCCTATGTCCTAACTTCTGATTAAATTCTCATGTTCTATTCTAGTCGACAGTAAAAAATACATTAATTACAGTATTTTTCAAGTACGTACAGCAAAATTTTCTTGAAATGCAGAAGACCCCGTGGATACTAGCCATTACGAGGCGGCCTTAGCGTCCACTATCGTCGGCGTACTGAATTTTGTTACCGCTCTTGGCGTTACTGCGTACTTTGTGCGTCAACTGCGCAAGTCGGAGCGGTACCAACTTCCCGTTCCGAAAGAACCAGAGCCCGATGATGATTTTGATACCACCTATAATTAACCACCGAAGCAAAACACAAAACTGGAATTCAGTTCAGGAAGCCAGAGTGGACGGGATTGTGCAGCCTGTAGTTCCTACACGCTGAGACCGAAATTTCGTGGATTTAAAATTTTACAAAGTATCTTTGGGGGTGTTACGGTAATATTAAATTGCTGTAAAATTAAGCATAACCGCAGTAATCATCGTAATCCGTCTTCTTTGGTTTATTTGCTCTCCTAACTGTGGTTTATTTGGTGCTGTACGCGATTAGCGTATTAGGTGTGACGACGCGTCGTCTCGGATGAAGTTCAGAGTGTTCCCTGTGAGCTTAATCTTCGATGAAGTGCAATATGAGCTAAAGTTTGTGCATCATAGGTGTTCGCCTGTTGCTATGCAACGCTTTAATACGATGTACAAAATTACTATACTTATTTTGTATAATTCACTTTTATTATATTTCCGTTGAGCATTTCCGGAGAAACCGGCCGGCGATTAGAGTAAATTAATTCTTAAAGTGATCGTGTGTGGGCCGTTCTGCTTTCGACTATTTCGCTTGACAAAACAGGAAATCCCCGCAGAATATGTACAATCCCTTATCCTTGCAATCTGTTAAGCACTCTTGCACAGGGTCGGGCGCAGTGGCGATTACGTGTGTCAGAGGATCGAACGCGGTTAGGCAAAGCAATTGGCGCCATGACATTTGTGCCACCTGACACTTGGGCAACCTGACATTTGGGCCACCTGACACTTGGGCCACCGTACGTTTGGGCCACCAATACTTTCAAATACAGGAAAACGTAATAAAATATTTGAATGATAGCTTCTTTAAATATTGGCTTAATAATAAAAGTTCTGCAACTTGCAGCAATAACAACGTACGAGTAAGTACACAAGATTCGAAAACGAGCGTGCATTAATATTATGGAGTATTTGTAGGCATATAAGCGGATACACGGGCTGCATGGGTTCGATCACTGCACTCTGCAAGTAAATCGAACTCACGCACTGACGATGTCAGCAGTTGCCGTTGAATTTACTCCGCCTCCTTTTACTTATCAAACATCTTCCTGATCAGATTTCTATTTGATCAAAATTGCAATTAATACATGGAGCTAAAAACCTAAGAAACCTAAGAAAACTGAGAAACATAAAAACTACAGGGGAAGAAGAGTTACAAGAGACCGTAATGTGCGGTGGCCCAAGTGTCAGGTGGCCAAAATGTCAGGTGGCCCAAATGTCAGGTGGCCCAAGTGGCAGGACACCAAGCAATTTACGCACTGCAATGTGAAATATGTGGTGAGCTGCATGATTGCTCTATTTGCCGAACGACTCTTCGCTCACAGTTAGTATGCATGCGAGGAAGCAGCGTACTGGAGTTTACTGCTTTAAAAACTTCATGGTACTTTAGATGTCAGTTAAATCTCCATAACGGAATAATCTCAGTATTCAATTACCGGCATGAAAATCAGTCTGCAAATAAACGCTGCAACAGCTTTGCGAATGTCTCGCGAGTAAACAGTGGACGATACCACCAAAATAAAATGTCTCACAGAGGCGTTCTTGAAACGTTTTCCTTTCTTTTGGGGGTTTTCGTCTCAGTATTATACGGTACGTTTCCTGCAAGTTTAAAATAATAAACTTAAGATAAACTGCAGGCATGCAGATAAACTTCAGGCATATTAAAGAGAATACGTACAGTAATAAATCAACCATATTATATATAGAACATGCCAAGGCTCTGGGGTGACGATGTTCAGCCTTACATTATTGTGCAGCGAATCAGAAGTTGCCCTTTGGTCCAACCGGGTTCGTCAACAAAACTGGCCGTTACGAATGGCTGATGGTCAACTTCTTCGTCAACTTCAACCTTAGTGGTCACATTGAGAATTCCACAGTGGCATCCGCCGCCAGCGACTGGGCAACGGACTGCAAATACGATCCGCTAGACAGCTACATGCACGTCGTGGACTGGAGTGCCAACAACGCCAGCCAAAAGGACATTAAGAATTTGTCATCCTACACCGTGGACGACATGGAAGTCGTTGCAGAACAGTGGCATAGTGCGCTGGAGGAGGATCTTACCAATAAAATTCAATGTATCGAAGCGGCCACGATGACCAGTCTGTACGACTACGGACAGGATGCGCAGCAGCTGGGGATAGTGACCTTTCTCACCGTACAGGAAGTCATTAACAACACCGCGCATGCCTGGTTCTTACGGCGCATGACAGAGGTTATCCAGAATATGGCGACTGTAAGTCGTCAGAATATCTCAACCATCCAACAGCGCCTGTCAACCAGCTTGATTGATTTTGGAAGCAATGCGAAGGATTACGAGAGCTTCATCGCGCGCATCAATTCTACTGTCAGAATTACCAATACAAGCGATTTGGCTATGGTTATGGCGTGGTGCTCCAATTACACGGCGCGGTATGCCACCGCCGCGTTGATGTTCGAGCTGCAGAATCGAACGGGAGTGTTTGCTTGGTGCTTGTATAACGTTTTGTCCACGTGTTGTCCGGAATGGTTTGCGCGCACTACCTTTGTCGATTTGGTACAAGAGATCTACGATACCTCGTTGATGTTGATGCCCACTGTGGCGAACTGGACCAATGACAAACAAACAGCCTTCCATAATCGCTTTATCTTTGGTATAGTTACGGACGGGTGGCTGCAGCAGATTCAGCGCTTCATTCACGCCATTAACAATCGGTATGATATGGGGAACAATCTGTTAGCGGTCCATTCAAATGCCGAACCGCCCATAAGCAAATGTGAGTGAGCCCATTCGTCTCTTCATATCAGAGGGTTACTTGCAGAATAACAATATTAGCGTTATTCTCAGAGAAAAGATTTCGTGGTTTGTTAAACACATTTATAAATTTTTTACACATGTGACCTAAAAGCAGACAGCCGTTTTAATCTTGCAGCTGTGGTAATTGTGTCGATCGGCATCAACGTGACCTCACTCAATGCTGATGATATGTTGGCGACCCTTCGGTATCAAAATCTCCTACAGAATATCACGCTGGATGTCAAAGGCACCAAGATGAATATGTGGATTTACGGTCAGTATGCTTTTCGTAAATAATAAAAGAATTTCGTACAGTACAGAAATATGGATATCGTGCTGCAAGAGGGAGCTCCCAAGCAGTTTTAGCGATCGGGACAGCATGGCTTGTAGAAGATGTAAACACAGAGGCGGCCTTTGAGAATTATCTGGATTTACAGGCCGGCACCAACTCCCCTCGCATTCAGGAAATACGCCGGCTGTTCGATCGGCGCCGAAACGAGATTCAGCGTCTGCAGGAGGCCGAAGCCATGAAGCGTCACCCGCCCACGGTGGTAGCCAAGAAGCAGCCTGAACTTATGCCCGTACTGGCAGCGAGTCTACCGCTGCAGAGTGCCGGAACCGTGTTCAATCCACCCCGCGCGTTGGAAGCGAGGGGGCGGTTTGATCCTGTAGCTTTTCAAGATTATGTTCATAAACAGATGTTTGGTTGTAACACGCCTGTATACCGCTGCTAACACGACAGACGTGGTAGCCAATGTTTCTTCGTTGGCAGATGGTCTTACTTGGAAATTCTCAGACGAATATTGCTGTTATTTTCGACCGGAGCGTAGCGAAGGTCCTCTATATTCAAGACCAATGCAATGGTTGATTTCTGTCCGTTACGAAAATCCGTTACGGAAGTTCGTTACGGAAGTTTGTTACGGAAGTGTGTTACGGAAGTGCGTTACGGAAGTTGGATATGGAAGTGAGACTGCGGCATCATGCAGCTGACCGGTGTGATGCAGTCGCAGCCAGTGGTCTACGACATCGTGGTTCGCTGCCGTTGCCCATGGCGTCTCGGCTACAGAATACGCAGCGGCACTGCAACCCTTGAATTGTTTCCGTTACAAAAGACTTTTACGGGATAACGCTATGACCTCAGGATATTTAACCTAATGCCACTTGTGGTGCCTGTTGCTGGGGGTCTGTACGAAATCTAGAAGCTCACCGCTTTGTCGTCATTTTTGACTGCCGTGATCCAGCGCAGCTTCACTACATAAATACTCGTAATATTCTTTGCTTCTCAACAATTCACATCGGTCTGATCAACTGTAATAAATGGCTCCCGACAAAAATTTCCTTCTGAAAATTTTACTCCTGTTCCCTATGCTACCGTCGCTGAAATAGTAGGTCATAATGGTCATGATGGCGAAACCCAGGACTGGCATGGGTTTTCGTTTAATTTATGGTTAAAATAGTAACCTTGGGCCGCGTACTTGTACGCTCATCCTCGTCCGTGCGTCCCCTACCTCGTGCATCTTGTGGAAACCTACTTACTTAAAAAAAACTACGTAAAAAAATTATTTTCGTCGGCCATGGTTAAGAGGGCGTGGCTAAACTCGATTCCATTGCACAATACATGCAACAGTATGTATCGGGAACACCGTAATAGTGGCAACAGATACGTGTTGTCAGTAGTCCGATCCTTCTAAAAATTCTTCTGAAAATTACTGCTATTAATAATCGCGAACAACTTAACAAAACTTGTAAAGCTAGTGATTAGTGATAACGCGTTTTGTATTTGCGCCAACACTCATGACGTATGATACTACGTATATCGCGGGGCGCATTCTTATATTCCAATACAAACTAGCACTGTACTACATAATTCTTCTCGATAATTTCCATAGTAATTTTTAGAAGGATCTGACTTTGATCACACGTATTGGTCACAAACCTCTGACATTGTACGGTACACTATTTCGGTATTCCCAGTACATAGTGCTGTATGTATTAATGCACTGGAATTAAATTTTGCCACGCCCACTTAACCGTCGCCGATGAAAATACCTTTTTGAGTATACCAAAAAATTACTCTGTCTTCCTGCAAAAAACCAAATTTTTCGGGGCCGGTGACCGGGGCTTGGTAAGTCACGCTCCGGTCTGCCAATGCACGCTAACGTGCATTTTTCTAGTATATTACAGAATTAAATTCTGTAATATAAAATAACAGCAATATTCGTACCTACGTGCGTTATTCTGAAATATGTGTTCAACTCCGTGTCCCGTTTTTGGCAGGATGATGTCATGCCCAGTTCTTTTTTGAACCAGTTTTCAGCTGGTTTCACGGAGAACTCGTGGTAATTTTAAGCGAGCTAGAAATTTAATTAAAGAACCAGAACGACGTTGTTGTTATTTCGTAAATAAGGAATATGAACTTTCAGTGCGATGACCAAACATACACTATGCAGTGCACAGATATCATCATAGTACTTTGTATGTGTGTGCATTCTTGGCTTAAAATGATTTTATTCCAACACAGAGGAACCTGTCCGTATCAGCCATTACGAGACTGCTGTAACGGCTACTGTAGTTGGGGTGCTGAATTTCGCGATTGTTCTCTGTGTAACCGGATACTTTGTGCGGCAACTTCACAAATCAGAGCGGTATCAAACACCGGTGCCAAGAGAGCAAGACAACGAGGATATGGATAGCACGTACAACATTTAACGGACAAAATTAAAATCGCTGCCGTAGAGTAGCGTTTGTGTAATCGCCATAATTTCTATGTGACAACGGTCTGGTGGCGTTGATATCGAAATAATTTTGACAAGAATTCGTAAAATATTACTGTGTTTTAAGTATTTCCCATAATCATGATCTTTGACTTAATGTATTGCTGGTTATGGTATTTGTTACTTGTTATCTGTTGTTTCAACTCATATACTGTACACTGTACGTTTCACGAAAAAGCAGCTTTTGGGTTAGCGCCGTATGTTTGACGGAGTAGTGTTTTATTAGCATGTTGTACTAATAAAATTTTGCAATTTAAAAAAAAACAGTGCTTTTTCGCATGTTAGCCATTCATTTTCGATAGAGCATTTCAGCCATCCAACAACGCCTAAGAACGGTGTCGAGGCAAAGATATTGTCTGGCGGTCATCAATGGAAACGCTGCTGCTGACCGCGTTTCCATTGATGCAACCCAAACAAAACTTTAAAAATTTCGGCTGGTCCAACAATCTTTTGATGAAACAATATACGTAATCGCAAAGCTGGATGCGTGGCATCTTTCACAGTTTGCGGATATCTATCCCCTTCCTTTGCACAATCGCCGCCTCGTAACTCAACTATAAATATGTAGCTTGCGACAGAATAATCATGAAAAACCTATGGTGTTTTTCTCTTAATCTCTGCTTAACTTAGAACATCGGTAACATAACCGCGTGCCCAGTTTACGGTTTATTTGAAACATTGGCCGCTAAGGCAGATTCTTAATTGGGACAAGATGAGTAAACTTAGCATAGTACTCATCCTGGCCATCGAGCTATTTGCAACGCTTAATCAAGTGTGGAGTGCATCCATTGAGAAAGATGCAACCTTCGCCAGTGACCTTTCCGATGTCTTTGACAAAGCGGCTTTAAAGGCCAATCCGTTCTCTACGGAAACCATGCTGTATTGGTACTTGACCGGCCCCATTCCTCGGTTCAGTTTTTCATCGCAACAACTGCATAAGAGCCGTGACAACATTGCCCGTGACCTCGCCAAGGAGAAAGAAAGCTAGGATATCGCGGCCCTCCAGAGGCAGATGAAAGTCGAGGCGGACTTTCAGTCCTATCTGGACTCTCAGGCCGAAGCCGGCACGGATTCCTCTCGCATTCAGAAACTACGCCGGTTGTTCGATCAACGACGGAACGAAATTCAACGGCAGCAGGAGGCCGAAGCCATGAAACGCAGCCCTCCCGCAGTAGAAGCGCGGACGGTGATAGATCATGTACAGGTCGTAACAAGTCAGACGCTGGAAAACATTTTAAGACCTGTGAAAATGTTAAGACCTATGAGCTATAGTGGAAATGCTGTGTAACGCCTTCTTCCTGGCAGCATCGATGATGTAAAGGGTACGAGGCAAGCGACAACTCTTTCCCATCGCTTTAGAAAATCACCTCACTTTCCCTGCTGCATTTTTCTCGTATGCAGGCGCTCACGTGATACTTGATTTCAGCCGTTTCACGTCTAAACCGGTTTGCAGCTACAGTTGATTGCGCAACTGATAACGAGTACAGAGAAGAGCGCGGCAGGTGAGATTTTATCGCCGGCTCAGTAAGCTCTCATTACAATGGATACGATTAGCATGCGCTCATTGATTGTCACTTTCATTGATTCACTGACTATCCTTCTGATAGATAAGTGCGAATTTTTTATATTTTGTCTTTTGCCTTTGTGTTTATCCTTTATTTCCTTTCATGGCTCAAAATACTGGCAGCTATAGTGACGAAAGCGTACCTTCTGGATCAGTCGGGTATCCTGAAAATGATTACTATTTGCCATCGGAGTGCGACTTAGATTTACCCGGTTTGCCACCTGTAGAATCTCGAGATCAGAATGCGGACCTACCAGAACAATTAGGGGGCATGGAAGCAGCTATACGTGCATGCAGAAGCGGAGTGCCAATAACAACGGCAGCGCGGCAGTGTGGGGTTGAAAGGACCACTTTGCGCTACAAGCTGAAAGGGGAGCATGCTGGTATTCTTGGATACCAGTCGAGGAAGTTTTCTGATTCGGAGGAAAAATATTTTGCTGATCTCCTTATGGCATTAGCAAAAGCTGGGGTCCCGCTGGACAAGCCATTATTTAAGAAAGTTGTGGAAGTGGCAGCGATAAATAAAGGTATTAATTCTAAAACTAGTGTCACTTTAATCTATTGAAAATGGCTGAAAAGTCAACTCAGTTCAGTAAATATTTTCACGCATTAGAGACTATGCATAAACTATGTATGTACGCACGTTTTCTGCAAAATTTGACCCCTCCCCCTCTGTTTGTTACGGGTTTTCGTATGTCGAGTCTACGAGGCCGTCACTTTTGGCACCCCTTAACCCACCGATGCGTTGTTAACGTAATTCAGGGACGATTCCTTATGAAAATATTTGCGCGTGCAGCCGAATGTTAAGTGCATTATAATCATATATTTATTGACGCTTTCTTTATTTTATGTTTTCAGGCTATCCACAAGAAGGCGCGCATGACGGACACCTGGCATCGGGCTTTTCTACACCGGCACCCGGAAATCTCCATACGAATAACGCACGCAAGAGATCGGAAAAAGGCGAGAGAGTGGACAGTGGAGAACTGCACAGAATGGGTAACGACGCTCAGTGAACTGCACGCTTTTGGATATCTCTCCGATCCGAGGGACTTTTAATTTGGATGAGAGCGGATTCACATTGGCAGAGAAAGTTAAAAGTGTATGCTCCGCGAGGTCAGAAAGAGATTCTTTCTTATGCTGATGGTTCGGACCGAGATGTTGTTTCGACGCTGTTTTGTGGAAGAGCGGATGGATTAATTTGCGGCCACTTGTGCTTTTGCTGGTATGCAGCATTTACATTCACGCATAGCTGGTACTGCGGACCGCTGCTATATCTCGTACAACCATTCTGGAAGTATGGACGAAGAAATTTTTGCCGACTATGTCCGAAAAGAAATCTTTCCCAACATGATAATCGAAAAGGCGAGTGCAACAGTGAAGTAAAGCATTCAGAATAATGGCGGGTAATCTTTGTTGTCATTACTTTCGTAGATTGAGTTAAACGGATAGCTACGTAAATGAGTTAAGAGTTTTTTACTCAATCCGGTTATTGTGATTTCGAATGTACCTATTGATAAGCAATGCTTACTAATTTTATTTTACACTTTTAGAATGTTATTTTTGTCGATGGGCATTTTTCTCATCTGAACAACCTGCGGTTTCTAATGGATTGCACCGAGAACTGTAAGGACATCAAGGTGATCTGCTTGCCAGCTGGCCAAACTAGCCACTTACAACCCCTTGACGTTAGCGGATTTGGGCCTGTTAAAAAGCGATGGCGCAACTATTTGCGGTCTGTGTCCATGCAAGTTTCCACGAAGGTAGGTCACACAAGCATTCGAATGTTTTTATGGTTAATTCTGTGCCTGAACATTATTCTCCCAAACCGCCTCAAAATTTGAAAATTGTCAGTATTGCTCATGTTATTTATGGATTTTAGGTAGATAAGCAGTGCTTCGCGCTTCACCTCGTGGAGATCCTTCCTCTGTTCAACTTAGAAAAGAATATTATTTCGGGCTTTCGGCGTGCGGGTATTTTTCCTTTTGAACCGAGTGAAGTTTGCAAATTGCTGAACACAAAGGAAGTAGCACCAGCTGTCACAGTTGTCCCTTCTGCCGACGAAATGTTCAAAAAACAATTTGATAATATCGAAAAAAACTTGAAAGAGATCTACTCGTTATCTCGGGCAGATGTGCAGTGGTATATGAAATCGATGCGAGAGAGGGCGGCTGGATACATTCCAACGGAAAGCGCGGCAGAAACAGCATTAAATGTCGGAAACGCTTTGCTTGCATCTCGACCGCCCAAAGTGCGCCTTCCCAAAGATGCCCGCCTTTCCACTGCGGGAGGACGCGTGCTCACCGAGTCTTCTTTTATGGATGCATTGCGTGACCGCGAGAAGGAACGGGTGCAGAAGAGAAGAATGAAGAAATCAAATAATTCTTGAGAATCAGTGGCCGAAAGCATCAGTCGGGGTTATCTCATTTTTTTTGCCAAATTTTGGAAGTTTTCGGTTCGAGTTCGTGAAAGCGCTTATTAACGATTAATGAATACTTGCCTTGTAAATTTATTTCCTGTACAGGTTAGTTTTTATGAAGTTTAGGTTTTTGATTTTTTTAGAGATCTATATGCAGAGATTTATGTGTGGTTTCTGTAGAGATTTATGAATGTAGCAGTCATCAGTGATCCCGGAACTCATAAATTCATATCGTTTTTTACTGCTTTAAAGTGCTTATCAGTCTATTACCGATTAAGCAACAAACGTTTTTACTGCAACTTCAGCAACACTAAAACCTTATATTCACCGGAAGACAAATTTTGGGAAAAAACTGACCAGATTTGTTACTGACGGCACTACTACTTACTAATGAATTTTAAAATTTTGTGTATCCGATCATGAACGGAATACCGTAGTCAGTGAGTGCATGCTGTCGTATCCATTGTAATGAGAGCTTACTGAGCCGGCGATAAAATCTCACCTGCCGCGCTCTTCTCTGTACTCGTTATCAGTTGCGCAATCAACTGTAGCTGCAAACCGGTTTAGACGTGAAACGGCTGAAATCAAGTATCACGTGAGCGCCTGCATACGGGAAAAATGCAGCAGGGAAAGTGAGGTGATTTTCTAAAGCGATGGGAAAGAGTTGTCGCTTGCCTCGTACATTTGTTAGCCGATATTTTACGAATATTTGTTAGCCGATATTTTACGAGTAAAGTGTAACTGCCATATTTGACAGATTTGGTCATGAAAACTTTTGTTGAAGTACTTTGTTCAAATTCAATATATCACTGTAATATTTGAATGGCTTTGTCTAGAAGACTGTGCTGAAGTACAGTAATTAAATACAAGCTGCTTTGGGTACCCGTCTAGCTTTTCACAGAACGATCTACCGCTTGGCTCTTATTTTCGCATCGATTCACAGAAAATTTTCGCGAAAAGCCGGTAACAATTGTCTTACGCGGCTATGAATTTAATTAGAGAACCATTAGTCTAGACGCGAAGCAAATGCTATTTTGCAATGGAAGAATAAAATTCTACTGGAAGTAGGCAAACAGACGTAGATATTATGAGTACAACACGCGGTACCAATGAGGATATGAATATGGTACCAGTACATGGATAATGTGGAGGGCGATAGCGCGCGTATAGTGGATAGCGCGTACAACAATTAAGACAAAGAATGTTAGAGCCGTGTTTGTGTAATAGTCATATCTCTGATAATGGCCAGCTGGGGTTAATATTGCACTTTGGTAATAATTCGTAAAATATTAATATTACTTTGAACGATTTTCCCATTCATGATGTTTGGCTCGTCGCAAGTCCTGATTATTGTATTCGTTATTCTGTTGTTTTTAATGATGATAGGCATCATAGGCCGTGTAAGATTTGCGTGAAAACTGCTTTTGGGGATATTTATTGCCCGGTATAAAGATAATTATGCCCAACGTCCTAAGGAAAACAATCAAAATAAATAATTTTTAGTCCCGCGGTAAAAAAGGAACGGCTACAAATACTTCTGTCGTAGTTGTCTCAGTTTCAAAGCATGTTGCATGCCGGTCGTCACATTAATTAGCCGCCTCCCGTTGGCGACGGCCGAAGCAAGCGATGGGATTGATGTAGCACAGTTTCCCTCCGGCGCGGCGCTTCAGTGGTGGAAGGAAGTGCTCCCAGTTGCCGATGGCACTATAACGGCCGTCCGGGTCCGTGTTGGCGTTGAACGGCTTGCCGGGGGTTTTGTCTTTCTTCTGAGCAATCACTCCCGGCATATCGACATCCAGCACCTCGCCATCAGGGTCGTGATTGGCCATTAGGAATTGGTCGGTGTCGACGTGGTGCTAAAAAAAACCGGCGTATTATTAAATTAACCACGCGACTTATTTTTACGAATATTTGGCAGCACGACAAACTGAAACAAGCCATTAGAATGGGACCAGGCAATACAGATACAAGACACAGTATCGAAAACGATTCGGTTTTAATACGAAAAATTATTCTGCGGCACCCGTACATGCACACATACTCGTTTCACAATTAAGCGAATTATCCAAACACTAACAAATGTCCTAAATGAATATTACAGGCCCAACAAAATACAGTATCCAGTGGCAGGCCATAATTATTATAATCGTACTGCAGGCAAAGGCCATACCTATAATTAAATCTAAGTCGCTCATGAAATTAACAAAACTACCTACGCATAAATAATCGTCATTGAAAACTGTGAGGTAAACATAATTGTGCTTTATAAAATTTGTACTATTCGGAAAACACTTCCAGGCATTAGTTCTTAAAACCAAATAATACCATAATAAAAACCGCGGATAATATGTCTACAAAGCAAAACGGCTAGCACGCTTTAATTCATATGCACGTGTATTTTTAAACGCGCAGTACATACCGGCATGCACGTGACCAAACTTAACGTCAGTGACTCAATACTACCACGCATATGTTACGGTAAATGATTAATATTAATTTTTCACCAAAGCATTACAACTCACCATTTTCAACCGATCACCCAGCACCTTCAACACCGACAATTGATCCGGCGCCAGCAGGATAACACTGGGCACCTCGTGCACCGGGATGCCCTCGGCCGCCGCCACCGCCATATCCTTCTGCTCGAGACTGTACACTCCGCACACCGCGTACGCCACAATGGCCATCACACTGTGCCATGTCGCCATCTTGTCTCGCAACTTGTGCACCCCGCTCGTGCCGTCTGCGGCCGGATCTTGCAGCCGCCGTGATCCGGTGACCTTTTCCACGGAAAGGTCACACTTTGGTGGTTAGTTGTTCTGAGTATATAGATGCAGGTAACGTAAGCCGAGAGCTGTAATAGCTGTGTGAATTGCAAATGACAAGTGGCTTTGTTGTGCGTGCCGGCTCTTATAGGGCTTTATGTCGAACATTAATAGGAGAGGAGGATCGTTTGCGGGACTAAGTGACTGCGCATCATCCAGGGCCGGAAATGCGTTGGTTCTGCGGGTATGGTTATTTACCGGTCATTAGTGCGGGATACCGTCGTCTAATTAGGACACGATGCGGGTTGGGAATTCGTGGAACGGTCGGTGTGTTGTCAGGCAAGACAGCTTTTGTCAATACGGATGCTGAAAAGTATCGTTTTTGTGCAAAGGTAGATGAAATGTGGTATTCCCGACGCAGGCTAATTTGGGATGCAGGTAATGCAGGGACCGGCGCGGAAGCACTGCCGACGCAATACAACTTAGCGGTCTGTAATTAATGCGGTTAAAGAGTAATGTCGGTGAATTCAATCTCGTGATGCACCGGTGTGTTAAAGGTCAACAGCGCTTATGAGATCTGAAATTATAGAGGGTGCTGGATGCGATTCTTTGTAGTTTTGCCACATTAAATTATTTTTAAGACTTTTGGATCGAAAGATCGAGTATTAAAATGTAACATCAGGCAGTAGTCACAGTATCCGTATCGCACATATTCTTCATATAATATTAAATAAATTGCGCTACGTCATTCGTAATATCTGTATTTTGCCATAACCCTCAAAATGTGGGCTGAATAAATCTACGTCAAGATTAATGGATGCATGGTTAATGGTTTTCTTCGCCTGAAACGATTATATTTTCGGCGAATTTTAAAATATTCACACAAATCTTTCGTTGTCAGATATGTTTGAAGAACAGTGTTTAGGAATACCAACACGCCTATAAATAGGAACAGCGCGGTATACGTAATACAGTAATACGTAATACAGCATGGTATAATATTGCATCAATACTTGTATACGTACTCTTAGGTTACAATTTACAACATAATACGAGTACAGTACTGTACTTCTCCCTAAAAACTGCTACAGAAATAACAATAACTAAAGTAGATTAATTTAATAATCTACTTTGCGTTTCCGTTTGCTTAAGGTAGCATGTCCACCTATGAAAAAGATGTTAAACACAGCGAAATTTCCTAAGAAATTTATACGGCCAAATACTAACAAATTGTGCAAGAGTTGATTACAGGTTCTTTGTGTATCTGTATATTAAATTTGCTGTATACGGTATATATGGTAACACGCATGGCCCCTTTAATCAATCAAGAATGCGGTTTAAGAATATAGATATTTGACTTTTACTAGGTTAGAATACTGAAGATATTAAATAATTTCCTTATCAAACACAAGGAAAACCGACTCAAAACGAAACACTAGGTAAGTAGCAGATCAAAACAAACCATCTAGCTGATGCTGCTTCTCGACCGTTCCTTACTCAAGCAGCATTACCGCGCTGAATTTCTACACTAAAACGTTGTAACAGAAAATGCATTGCGCGGATTCCACCAGTCTGCTCTCTGATACGCCTGGCCAGCTCATTAAAAAAAATCCATAATCGGCTTAATAGTTAATATGTCTTACTCATATCTGATGCGAATGAGTCGTTTCTTAACCGTTACGCGTGTAAAAATAATTGCCTAATTACCGGCTTAAGTGGACCATTTCCGGTGTATCGTATCTAAAATTATCTTTTGAAATTTAAGGCGCACAATGGACGGCATCTCCCAGCCTACGAGTACAGTTGCGTGCCACTATGCGTGTTAGGAACTTTCCTTGTCGGTGAATTGTTGAGAACAGATTCGAGCCGACCAAATCAATCCAAGGTGTACACCTTGGATTGATTTGGTCGGCTCGAATCTATAGCACGGAAATGCTGACGATAAACATGCATGTTTATCGTCAGCATTTCCGTGCTATATTCCGGCTATTATGCGAAATATTGTCAGAAAATCAGAACAGCAACCACACGAGCGACTAAACACCACGATCAAACAATTAATATTATATGAGCCATAACTCCTAAGAAATCTGGGGAATAATAAAAACAGGTGATTTCTGCTACAAATAAACTGCTAAAAATGATTTATAGGAAGTAAAATTTAATAATCTGTGTTAAAGCCTGGTTCTCGACAAAAACATTACAAATTATCGAAATATCCGACTTTGCCCTTAACATATCTGCCGTTGTTCTACGAACTTACTGCAGTGTAAATATCGGGATACACGTTTTCACGTTTCCTACAACAAACGTTAACATCACTTCTGACAAATAAAAAGTTTGTACCGGTATAAGCCATGCTTTCTCACCAAAAAACGATTCAACACCATGGTAAATTAAAATCCATGGCGAAAATAAAATCGTATTAAAAAGCGAAATACATCAGCATTTCTTGGCAGCATTATCGAGCAAGCACGATTAACGCAACTCAACTATTTACTTCCGCCCACAGCTCGCGCCACATCCGTCCGGGCCACATCCTGACAAGTTTCCCGATATTCCTACGACAGCGACAACAAACTCAAATTGCGGTTATTTCGAAACGACAATTGTAAAATCAAAAATATTTGCTAATATTCCGCCGTTATACCCATAGTTTATTGTCTCTGTTGTGTTAGCTTTGTAAAGCTGATAACGAAATCACGTGCCGCTGTTCTACCACTTTTATTCAAAAAGTGCGTAAGCTATGCAGATGGTAACTAATACTTACATTTCAGAATTAATTGAGGAAAAATGCTAGCAAGTTTAGATAAATGTCCGTTAACGAAGTTTTCTACTAGACCTGAGAAATAAAACAAATTATTTTATTTACGCAAGGAAACGAATTACATATTTTAGCAATATTTATTTTCTTTTTCCATTGACAAAACACATAAAATTAACCAGGTATTGCGACAAATTTTCGGCAATGGTGCATCATACCTCCATGGTTATGGTGTACCGGCCAATCAACCGCTTAAACCGGTCCAGCGCAATCAACTCCGCACCGCCGTTCCCCGGCAGGCGCTGCGCCGCTCCCTGATACACCACGCGCACCCAGGCGTCCCCGTTCTTATCCTCGTATGTCTCGAACACCAGATCCGCGCCGAACGGCGGCCATTTATCGTCGAAGATGTCCAGTGCCACTAGGAGAGCCATTAGCATGGAATCATGACAGGCGTAGAGTTGCAGCCGGAAGTAGTCCTCTTGTTCCAGGGAGTAGTCGATATTGTCGCGGATCAGGTGCAGCACCGGCCCGCAGAACAGACGCATGATATTGGGTCGGATTTTGGCTGTGGCATCCGATACCATGAAGGTTAGCATCTTGACGGCGTAGGATTCAATTTGTGCCATGCGGCTGGCGATGATGTCGGGCAACTTCAGACCATGCGCCTTCAAAATTAATTATACAGCACCATGCTAGCATGCTCAAATAAGGTTAAATACGGAAGATATAAACCGGAATTCCTAAAAGTTTCATAAAATATTACGGGTATTTTGACGTAGTGTACTTCGTAAAATGTTTAACGATAATGGGATAAGAAGCAAGTTTACAGTCAGTGGATGTTGTGGAACGCTGCCTACATCAGTCATTATACTGTAAAAAAATATTTTAAAATCTGCTTACCAGGTAAGCGTGTATCAAAAATTCAAAATCCTCGTAATACTATTTAGGAAAACATTAAGTCTGATATTCATATTAATTCTAATACATCAATTTTGATTTGGCGGGTGCAGTATTTTATTAAAGTCGCACTAAGAACATTTGAAGCATAGTACTCGTATATCCTTGCGAGCAACCCACAGCTGCCCATATACTACAAAAATTATTGACATTCAACAACATACACAATGCCGTTGTTTATCGTGGAACGTCTAGCTAATAAAATTCAGAACAAATCAAGGACAGAAATTGGTCACCAGTTTATTAGCTAATAATAGTTTAGTAACTTTTACTAACAATAATTCAACTTGCAACAAATAGTTAGCAATTCAATTAATATCAATGAATATATTAAAAATCTTCACTACCGGCTTTGTAGATGCACTGTAATTAGTAAAAAATTCATACAGTAACTATAAGAAAATCAGGAGATCAATAAAGCGGCATATGCAGGGTATGTACAGCACATTGCTCCATACTTCCATACCTCTCTCGCAATTAGTTCATCTCGTAAATCCACAAAATTTAAATTTTTCTTGCTGTTCTCCTCTGCATAATCTGTAAAAGAAACGCTCCCACTGACCGATACGAGCTACCCAGGTATCAAATCAACACAGGAAACACTGCGACCGATAACCGAAACGACGTCAGTACGTACTAAACAGTTTCTGCATTTCCAGTCTATCCTTTTTCAGTCCCGGAAGATCATCCAGTGCTTTAAAGGCTTTCTTGTTCAGCGTTTTCAGCTGCAGGCAAAATGTGTGGTTGGGATAAAGAATTTCCCGCTCAGCCGGTTCGGTATATATTATAATCGCGTCTGCAATAATAAGGAACATGCATCCTTCTGAATTATCGTTGATGCTGTCGAAATGGATTCGCACATGAATTATTATCCAAACGAATAACTTACCGCCGCGGCGAATGTTGTTGCCGAACATTCCGCTTAACACCCAGCGACAGGATTCAATCGTTCTCGTCATGTTTGTAGAACGAATACTAGATCGAACAAACAATTCCATACAAAATTCCGGCATGTAAGAATAAACGTGAACAAGCATGTTGCATTAGTGTTAGAAACTTGTACAAAGCCGTAAATACGTACCGAATACCGAAGCCTAATCATACCTATTCAAAACTAACTTTGTACGTTTAATAAGGAACATAGAACTGCCCACAGGAAGAAAAATTCAAAAATATTTTACGCTCAGTAGTATTATCGATTAATCCATGTTTAAACCAAATGCACAAATGAGCCATGGACGGCATTAAACTTCGGCTCAATGCTGCCATTATCCTACGAAACTACTTATACTCGTACGGAACATAACTTTGCCGTAGCATTTACTATACCTACACGTGTACATTTACATTATTTTTACTCGATAAGTGTATTCTGCACTAATTTTCTACACTGTAGTCACAAAATAGTGTGATAGCACTTGCTTCTTGTTTGTTTCACTTAGCTATTGCTCAGTAAAATTTCTAGGCAGTGTATTTTCAATTTTCTTAAGTAACAGACACATTCAGTTAAAGGCCTACTATACTTGAGTGGCGTCAAATATCGGTCGCACCAGCCGGCGATCTTCGATGTACTGCTTCCGGTATCGCTGACCCAGTTCGTACATTTGCAGCTTTCCTATAAACAGCAACCAATAAAAACTTACAATATGATGCTGATTTAGTTAGAACGATTTTTTGGCATTTTAAATTTTCGGACCTGTTTTAGTCAGCTGTCCGGCTGGAGAACCGCCCTGCCACAAAAAAAACAATATCTGGTCAGAAATTAACACTGCTTAAAGATCATTTCTTCACTATTTCCATATTTCGGAACTGCGGGAGAAAAAATCTGGTATAAATTGTGACTATTAAACATTACCAGAACCATATTACTTGTACCAGCACCGTAACTGGAAAAAGTATATGAAACACCGTATTTGGCGAGCACATCAAAAAGTTATCTTACGGCAATACAGACATTGATTTAATGCACACTGTATATGTACTCTGTACAATGTAAAGTATCAACTAAAAATATTTACATTTTACCTTAAACAGTATTTTTTGATACATGGTTTCGTAAGGTCCAACCGGAACCTGCTGCCCGTGTAGATCCAGTACAGTGTACGTTACCGCCGGAAATAGAGGATCGGCTAACATCTTTTCCTTCGGCCATTCAGGCTACAGATTAAAGACATTAGATTAAAGCATTTTAAAATCTGCCAAAAATTAATTGATTTTAATCTATCAATAGGAAATGCCAGAGTGTATGTGCACAGACATTCATAGTGCATGTGGCCAAACATTAACATTCGTGCTACCTTCAACCATATACCGAGCCACTACGCTACAATCTAACGAAATATTTTTCAGATTTTTGTTGCGATCGCATATTTCCTCAGTCTGCTGGCACGAAATAAGCATAATCAATTTAAGTTCGAATTATTTTGATTTTTTTGATTTATCAGTTCATGGAGAGTTGTTTTACAAACGTAAAAGCTGTTGTCAAAGCAGAGTATATAAAAAATCAATTAATATTTCTAGAATTTTAGTAACCCAGTAATAGATCTTAAAGTAATATAATGCACAAACCACGAACAATTTGTTGGTAATAAATTGAACAAGTTTCAACGGCATTCACCTGATCCAGGAATTTCAGAATTCTCAACGGGGTACGCGCTCCATGCCGGAAGAAGGCCTGGACATTGCGCAGCTGGAGCTCCTCCGACCGCGGAATGTTGTCCTCGTTGATGTCGCGGATTTCCGATCCATCCGTATCGAACACGGGCGTCTGCGGACGTTCCCGACTGACGCCGTGCGGCTGGGAGGGATCAGTGGGCACGGATGCGGCGTCCGCATGCACCGTGCGCTTCCAGGGAGGCGAGAATAATCCGGAGGAGCCAGTGATCACGGCGCCCACCACACCGATCCGCCGCCAATTCCACATTCAACACAAAATATATCAGAAATCAGTTTAAGAATCCAGTGCTGAAAAGTAGAGTGAATAATGAAAATGTGCCACTCATGAAAGTCTTAATATCGCATTGCGCGTGATGCTAAAAACTGCAAATATGAAGTGTGAACTGTCGCAATAAATTTTAGACTGGTGATTGTGGGAACCGATTGGAGAAGGCGATAAAAAGAAACGCGCGATATGGATCAGACGTGTTCCACATCACTACCGCACGGCGAACGGTGCACTAAACAACCGGAACTCCAGCGCCAGTTGTAAGTGGAATTGGAAGTGAACCGCTGATGTTCTCACTTCTGGGTTTCCAGCGCAGCGGTTTGGAATTGGATACCTAAGCCAGATGGTTGTTCGCTAGATTGCCGCAGTCGCAGATTGCGCAAAGTCAAAAATTCAAAATACTTTTAACATTTTCCAGAACTTTTGATGACCGTTTCACTTTTCTCGCTTTTGATGCTGAATTTGCTTCCGGTTTCCGGAAATGTGAATTTTTAATTAAAGAGACCAGCTTCTTTTCTTTATGGCGTGTCTGGAAACATCTACGGTTTTCCTCTGAAGTCGGTGCGCGATGATTGCGACTTGCTAATTGCAGTTTGCTTCTTATTAGTTGCTTCTTCGACTTTGTAAGTTTACACAGATTGCCGGACTAATTTATTTTTATTATCGTTGTTAACGATCTCATCGCTTGGTTGATTGATATTGGAATATAATGGCGGAAAAGTGTTTTCCGCGTGGTGGCGGCGAGTCTGCGGACGGGAATGCCAGCGGAAAGCGAAAAGGATCGCAGGGAACCAGCGCGGGTCCGCGACGCATTCACAAGAAATTCTCCGAGACTGGCGAAGCTGGGGACGCAGGAGCGGATGTTTCCCATACTGAGCGAGTAGTTGACCGCGAATCCAACATTTTCACGAAATTGAAAAAGCAGAAGTTGTCGCGAGAACGGCGTAAAGCGGCCGTGAAAGAACAGAAGAAAAACAGGCCTAAACCCGAACAGCTGGTTCGCGATGAAGAGAAAATCATTGAGCACCTGTCCTACACGGTAAATTACTGAGCACTGTAACTTAAAAAAAAAACTGTTCTAAATAAAATTTGTATTTATATTTGTTTTCGAGTGTTCGGGTAAGAGATCATTTGTAAATTTTTTTTAAATATTGATAAATTAATTCTGGTACTATTTTTTGTTTTTATTTTGCTTGAAGACTTTGGTGCCGGGCATGGTGCTGCTGGGACGGATAAAAGAATTCCTGGGCTCGGAATTGCTGCTGACACTCCCGGGAGGCCTTCGTGGATTTGTTAATCCGTTTGACATTTCCGATGCGTTTTCGCAGCGTTTGCGAAGCCTGGAACATGGAACCAAATCGGAAGACGGCGAAGTAAGTTGGAAAAATTCATCTTTATTTTATGTTCTTCTGATGCGGCTTTTTTCCGCATTTTTGAATATTCATTGAGTCAGTGTTAATCTCAGTTAGCGGATTGTTAGAGGCACCATGACTGGTTCTACATTTTGTCAGTTTCTAAAAGTTTGCGTTCCATATCAGCGTTTTGTTGGTAGTGGTTTAAGTAGGAATTTTTTTCGTAGGAAATTTTTTTCGGTAATTTTGTAAAGTGTTTGAAGCAAACGTTAACAACCAGTTGAAAACAATTAGGTATTCAGTGATTTGCTACTCATGATTAATGATGATTTTGCCAGACAGCATGGTGGATCGTAGATAAGTGACATCTTATTGAGTGAGAATCCTGAAACTTTGCAAGACGCATGCGTTACATAATTTATTAACTTACATGAATATATAACTAATATCAGTTTGTATTTTTTGTGCGTGCAAATGTCAACAGTATCGTATCACTTTCGGAAATTTTTTGGAATCTCTGAAATTGCAAATTTAAAATGTTGCTGCCAAGGCTGTGTCGGTTCACTTCTATGGAAATTATTCCAGATTCAGAAACTGTTGGGCTTTTTTCCGCCCGGTCGCATGATGATCTGCAAGATCAAATCCATCGCCAAAGACCCCACAAAATCCGCCCACAACCACGAGCGCATCACCGTCCATCTGACGCTGAACCCGCGTGACATCCTGGCCGAAATGAGCCAGCACCTCTTCAACGGCACCGTCATCCCCGCCGCCATCGCCAGCGTGGAGGAGCACGGTTACGCGATGGATGTGGGACTGGAGGCGCAGTCCATCCGCGCCTTTTTACCCCGTGCGAAGGGGGTTGTGGAGGATGAGGTGAATGCTCCGGTGATGGAGGCCGGGCAGGTGGTGATGTGCTGCGTGGAAGCGGGCGGGTTAAGCAATAAAAACAACACGGTGCGGGCGCTGCAGCTGAATCGCAATGTGACGGCGGTGGAGTTTGCCGGGAAGAATATCAGCCCGGCGAATCTGCTGCCGGGGGCCATTGTGGATGTGGTCGTGGAGAAAGTTATGGAGACGGGCTTGCGGGTGGCGTGTGGATCGGTTCAGGTGAGCTGTTCGGTTGTCGAGCTATTTAATTCTTTCGCTGGCTACAGCCTACAGGATATATTCATGAAAGAATTACGTATTACAAAACACTTTGTGATACTCGTTTACAGCGTGGAATATGTAGTGAAGAATTTTAATATGAGCATATCTTTGTCAGCGTTAATCGTGGCACGCGCCGGCCAAATTTCAGTGATAGGTTAAATGTACTGGATATATTTTCATTTTACGCCTCTTTTTACGCATTCAGACTTTCCAGTGATAATGTTTTGTGAAAAAAACGGCAAATGAATTTCCTACTGGAAAACATCTTCTGTTTGAATGTATGCCTTCATTGTTCTAGCCATTAGGACTGCTTTTATAACCGTTTGGTGAAGTTTTTATTAATTTTAATTTGCACGTCATGGCGTCAGTAAATGTAGGCGATTTGTTTTGTTAATCTCGATTCTCGCATATCTGTTAATTTTTGCTATCATGCTGGATTAATGCCAGTTTGTATCGTGGTGGAGTGTAGAAAAGTGGCCTTGTACGAGTACATTCGAGGTTTGTCTCAGTGTTGTCCTACTGGTATCGAGAAATGTGCGTGGGTGATGTTTTCTTAGTTTAATAGTAGTATAGCTTTTTTATAGCCGACAATACAGTTGGGTCTTATTTTATTTAGGGCTTCGTTTCCCGTTTCCATTTGATCGGTCCCATCGATTCCCTGGAAAACCACAATGAAAAGGAAAAAATGGCCGCCCGCGTTCTCTACAGCAATCCAGTGACCAAACAGACCGCTTTCTCGCTGAAAACATCGTTGTGGAACGCCCAGACATGGAATCAAATCTCCCACGGAGACCTGTACGAAGGGGTGGTTATACAGGAAGCCACTGTGCTAGCTGCTGTGGAAAATGTGGGCGTGTACTTCACTCTCAACGAGACCCGCGTGGCGTTCGCGTCGCGCAAGAATCTCGGCATTCCGCCCACCGACAGCGTCAAGATGCGCTTCAAAGCCGGTACGCAGCATCCATGCGTGGTGGTGGGCTTCAACGATCTGGATGAGATTGTTCTGGTCAGTTTGAAGCATTCCCTGATCAGCCAACCGCTCTTATCGTATCATGACGTCAAAGTGGGACAAGTGCTGGAGTGTAAAGTGCGCGGATTGGTGCCGGGTGGGGTTGTGGTGGTGATTGGCGAGCGCATACAGGGTGAGTGATAGAACAGGTTAATAAATTTTTGTAGATTAAAACAGTCTGCAGCGCGCTGATTTTTAGAAAGTTTACCCAGTAGGTGTCAGATTAGATTGAAGCGTACTCATTGTTCACTTTTCTGTTAAGTGGTTCTGAACTTGTGAAAATAACGTGTATGTCGTAGAACGATGGCGTCACATGAAATAAACTTCCCGCGAAGATATTTCGGCGCGGTCATCAGTGTGTTACGAATTGTAGTGTTTTCGTTTTTTTTAAAATTCGTATGTCGTATTTCAAGTGTTGCATGCAATACATACTTTATTCAGTTTACTGGGCACTTGTAATACATTGACTATACGGGCGCACAAGTAAACGGTTTATTGCTACAGAAAATAATCGAAACTGGTGTCTGCGCATGTACGTAATACGGAAGCTTTGTTAGTTATTTAAATTATACCAAAGTCAGAATTTATCTTTCGTTACATCATTGAAATTTGAAACTGTTTATCAAAAATGGACACAGATAAGAAAGCAATAAATATGCCGTTTGCTCTGTTGATTGGATTTTTGATATTCTTCTAGGATTTGTTCCGGCTGCTCATTTAACCGAGGTCCCATTGAAGCAGTGGGAGAAGAAATTCCGCGATAACATGCAGCTGACTTGTCGGGTGATGGATGTGGATCCGGAACGGCGCAGTTTAGTGTTGACGCACAAGAAAAGTCTTCTGGACTCCAAGGAGCCCGTGCTGCAGTCGTACGAGGACGCCGATGCGGGGAAGGTGTTCACGGGAGTCATTGGGAAGATCCGGGATAGCGGGATGTTGATCCGCTTCTTCCAGCGGGTGCACGGCTGGGTGCCGGCCACGGAGTTTGTGGAGGGGATCAGTCTGGAGAATCTGTACTATGAAGGACAGACGGTGCGGTGTAAAGTGCTACGTTGTGATAAAAAGACCAGCAATCTGCAGTTGTCGCTGAGACTGATTAAAGCGGACGCGCAGGCTAAAATGCAGGTGAGTTCAGCTCGGTTGGTAAGTGGAATTGTAGGCTGATTCAATATACGAGGTAGAAAGCGGTTTGCCAGTAGTGGAGGTAATTTGTCGTCAGTAATTCATTTTATCAACAAGCGAAAAAAACAATATTATTCGTGTTATCATTAGAGAAATTTGAAATGATTAGCTTGACCAAATTGTATCACGGGACACGGATGTAGCCGTCAAAGTGTTCAGTAACGATTTCTGATTCGCCAGTTCACTACAGTCATGACCGTTGATCAAGATGAAATCTGTAGTACAATATGGACGTCTTATGTTCCAACTGTACTAGTAGTTTCTATGTGGTATCGTCAGCACAAATTTAGAACTTACCAGTATTTGGGAAGAAAATCTTGCGCTTTAAATATTTGATTTATTGGAATCGGCATTTGATTACTTCAAAGCTCACACTGTTTTCATAATAGAAACGGCTGCCAAATAGAAATGTGACGGATTTCTGTTCCGCGCTGCTTGTGCGACCTGGCGACGAAACAGTGAAAGAAGAATCTAATAAATATGTTGTATTGTATTACGGATGTTACATTTTTTGTAAATTGATTTTTTTTCCAGGAGTCCTCTGGCTTGGCTTCCATCGTCCAGTGTCGCGTGAATAAAATCACGCCAACCGGATTAGAAGTTCGTTTGATCACGTCCGAAGCCAATGGATTTATTCCACTGGTTCATCTGAGCGACACGCCGTCTTCCGCTCCACCATCGCTGTCCACTTTTCAAGTGAACCAGTTGATCAAAACAGCTGTTGTGATCAAACTGGTTCCCCTGACCTTCTCCATCAAACCCTCGTACATCGAAGCCGCCGAGCATCACGATGTACCGACGGCCTTTGAGGACTTCCATTTGGGACGTGAGACCGTGGCCACGGTGAACAACATCAAGAACTACGGGGTGTTTGTGGAGGTGGCCAATGGAGTAGGCGGATTGCTGCCGAAACGCTTAATGACTGATTCGGCGATGGAGCTGCATCTGGGCGACAGTGTGCTTGTGAAAACGGAGCAGATTGATGAGGAAAAGAGAAGGGTGCTGTTTCGAATGGTGAAGAAAATTGGCGATGATGCCAGCGGCGCCAGTAAGGCCGAGAAGGTACGGATTTTAACTGAAAATTAATATTTCGACATTTCTGGTAAAGAAATGTTTGAAATTGCTGATCAGGCCGATTTTGTTGTGTTTTCGCAAATTAATTATGTGTATGGATCGACGCACTGTTTTTTTGTGTGTGGAATAATGGAGGTTTCGATCGCGGAACTCCCGTTTTTTATACGAGATTGTTTTGTTAGTTAATATGGCTAATGAAAATAAGTCATCAGTTTGTGTTGTAAAGAGGGAATTTTCGTTTCTTTAAAACTACGTAGTGCATCAATTTTGCTATATTTGGCACGTCTTGTTGGAAGTCCAACCCGTTGATCGACGGCCATTGTTCTACAAATTTTCCACATACCTATTTTGCTGTTTTGTTTGAATGAATTACAGCAGTAATTTTACCTTTATTTTCATTATTTTACAGCAGAAGAGCATGTTTCTTCGTGTATGTCGCACCTGTTTATTCAGAAATAAAACAGAAGTTTTAATACGAATAGTATTGTAATAAAAGTTGCCAGGAATTCCATTTATTATTTCTGTTGCTGCAGCCGAATAGTAAAAGCGCTGCTAAGCCTTCAGCGGACGAGAAACCACCAGTCAATTTGGGAAAGCATTCCTACGGCGACATAGTTTCCGCTAAAATAATCGCCGTGGAAAAGACCCGGCTAAAAATCCGCACCACCGCCAAAATGGTGGGATATATCCGGCAGACGGAACTCTGTGATCAAGCTAATAATAAGAAAGCCAAACTGGAATTTTACCACGTCAATCAGATTGTCATAGCCCGGGTTATCGGGATGAAGATGCTGCCGGTGCGGATGGCCAAGGGAAAGCGAATATTAACTAAGAAAGTGATTCCGAAACCACCGGTGTATGACTTCTCCATCCGGCACACGGTGCTGGCCGCTAAAGACGTGGAAGAGCTGCGACAGATTGTGAAAGAGGAGAAGACCGGAAGTGGTGTGGAGATCAAGGTGGAACCGGATGCGGAATTTGTGGGATTGACTGTGACGGATAGGAGCATCGTGGAACTGAAGAATACCAGGAAAACAAAGGTAGATACCGGTTTACTGGGCCAGACGGGTGGTATTCGATATAATTAATCAAGTTAACATTCTTAATTTGTATCTTTATTCGACAACTTATTACACGTAGAAATGTGCAGGCTGCGCCGGTGCAAATTTACATTACGTAAAAATTATCGCAATTTAAACGTTGAATCTTAGTTTTAACGTCGGAATTTGAACGTTCTTTATTGATGTAGTAGGATAAGAGTCGGTTGATTTAATTCAGTAATGTTTGGTCGATTATTTTATTATTTCAGTTTCAGGATATTCGTCATTGTAGCCAGTTGTATTAAAAGTTATGTCGTAGTCAGCTACATATTTTTAGAAACTTCTTTGCCGTTTCTACAGAAGCAGCAAGTTGTGCCGAGCACGAATGTTACTTCATTATTGGCGCCAACGTCCTTGCCAGCGTTTTCTTGGGATGAAGAGAACACCGCAGAAGTCGACAGTGGTGTGGATTTTGGCTTTAATACTGGCAGCGAGGTTAGTGAATTGGGCGTGCCCCTAGCATTGACCACCATTGGTTCACCAATAAAAAAATTTAATCTACTTGCATGTTCTTATAAGTTGAAGTGCTTCTATGCTGTATTTCTTCCGTATGCTGAGTCTGTACTATGGGTACGGACTGCTCTCAGCCACTCATCTACGTTTCTCTTGACTACAAAGTAATTTTGTCATATGGGGCTTAAATAGTTCCTTTTTCGTCAGGCTGCTTTCTTAACGTTTTAAACACAAATATCTCGTACCCTAGACAATGGAACAACTTTTTATTGATTTGATTAGAGATTAGTTATTTTGTCAGATTAATTAGATTTGTTTTGTGTTTGGCTTGAGTCCATAATTTTTTTTGCCAAGGAAAAAATAGCACATACCGTTCAAATATCTGGAGTATCGATCAAATAGCAAATGCATTGCGTACTTCGTAGAAAACTCCAAGGCTGTTGGCATTTGGAAGATGACTCACTGATCAGTTGTGTTTTTTTAGGATGAATCATCAAGAAAACGAAGAAAGCTGAGTAGAACGGAAGAGCGGAAGACCTACGATGTTAGTGTTAAGCGCTGGGTATGCGGTGCGGTGCTATGCGATCCTTAACTTTTTTTGACCATAGAATGAACGCATCAGGGACGTTAACGGGAATCCCTTGGAAACAGTTGATGATTTTGAGAAACTTGTATTAACTACGCCTAATGATTCCATGGCCTGGATTCGGTTTATGGCGTTTTACCTGGAGAAACGGCAAATTCCTGAGGCCAAGGCTGTGGGACAGCGCGCACTAAAAGCCGTATCGTTCCGGTAAAGGAGAGCACACTTTTTGATTTATTATGTGATTTATTCTGTTTTTGATTTATTATGATTTCTTTATTATTTACCTACTTCAGTTCTCAGTAAAGTTTATGTGGAAGGTTTTGATTAATCTTTCTTCACATTAATACAAATTTTAAGTAGTGTGATTTTAAAGAGAATGGATTGTGAGCAATTTTATTTCTGTTTTACGTACGGTTACATTAATAATAAAACAAACTGCTTTGGAATTTGGACGATTTGTCTGCGAAGCGTTTAAATACTTTCTCTCAAAATTTTCAATAACGAAGTTGTTTCATCGAAATTAAACGCATGACTGAAAGGAAATTTGCTCCATTGCAATGACAGCATGGTTGCAGTGATGAGACAGAGAAATTCAACATATGGATCGCGTTGTTAAATCTGGAGAATCTCCACGGCACCAAAGATTCCCTGGAAGACGTTTTGCAGAATGCCATTCAGCATAACGATCCTCTCAAGATCTATCGGCAGATGGCGGCTATTTTTGTCAACACTGGAAAACACGAGGTGGGTTTCTGTGGTGTTTGGTTAACCCATATTGTATTTTTGTTTGTGATACCAGTCTGTGCCATCATTGTGTTCTATGTTTTACTTTGTACGATAAGTAATTTCGTACATTTATCCTTCTATTGTTTTATAACTAAAAAAATATTCGTAATTTATTTGCGAAATTTTTTTCACAGCAAGCCGAGGCGACGTACAAGAAAATGACCGGTCGTTTCAAAGATGTGAAGGAAGTCTGGATGGATTACGGTGGATATCTGATGAAGACGGGGAAGAACGATGAAGCGCACCAGTTGATGCAGAGAAGCTTAAAAATCCTGGATGCTAAAAGTCGTAAGTACAGATAGACAAGAAAGAGAAATATTTTCCCTTTTTTATTTTGATCCTGAATTTTTTTCGGGATTTTAGAGGTGGATGTTATCGTAAAATTTGCCCTGCTGGAACTGCAGCACGGATCGAAAGAGCGAGCGAAAACCATGTTTGAGAATCTGGTTGCCAATTATCCGAGAAGAACAGATTTGCTACACATGTATTTGAGTCAGCTGATCAAAGCACAAGAAAGCCCACCTGTTATCAGGTACGCAGTGCAAGAAGTATAAAATACTTACGTGTACACTGCACAGCACAAAGTACTTCTACTAGAAAACACTTAGTTTAATAAAAAAATCATATTTAGTGGTTTATGTTTTCCAAAAACGCAAGCAATATTAAACGTAAGTCTTTTCTGTTATATTAAAATAAAAATATCTTTTCTGTTTGTTATCGATGTAATTATTTGTGATGGTTTGTTTGTCTCTATTTTCCATGAGTCTCTACAAACAGAGTCTGCCAGTTGTCCCGGTTTTCCGAATACCGACAAATAGCGTATTTGTTAAAAAAGTGATGATAACTATTATACGAAAGTAAACACAACCAAGTCAAAATTGTTACATTTTCACACGTTTTTCAAAATTGTTACATTTTCACACTACACTACCCAGTTCTCCCTACCCGCGTAGTGCATTGTCCACCGCACAGCGGTATATTCATTATGCGCAGCAGATTAAAATTAAGGGTACCCTTATAGGCACTCCCTAAAACCCCCGTTTATTATAGGCACCCCTTTTCACACCCCGTTTATTATAGGCACCCTTTTTGAATTGAAATTTATAATAATATTATGTGAAAGGAATATAATTCACATATTCCAAAAATTATTTTACCATTTTGTACAGTTGCTATGACCGTAAAAACTTACTTTGGACAAAAGTTCAGTGTAATAGGGTTATACGTACATATTACATATGTGTCAATAATTTTGTTCTCAATACCGGCAAATATCGTATTATGGCGGGTTCAAGCAGCCCTCTGGCGTTGGGGCCATCGGAAGCCCTAACTGATTTAATATTCCCCCTACTCGACAACGTTGCCGACCTGAAGGACGGTTTACCGGTCTCGCAGATTCAGGCGACCTTGCCGTCTGCAATCCCGACGCGGAGGAGGTCCGGCGCATACAGAATGATCTGGCGGCAGGAATGGAATGCATCCAGGCCCTGTATGGCTCAAACCATTTTGTACTGTCACACAAAAGGCCATCCGAGAATACAGTTCGCTTGTATAACAGTATGAATGCTCCACTGTCGCCGCACGTCCCACTGCAGCTGTCCATGTTGTACGGTGGCGAACAGAATCCGGTCACCGTAGTATTTCCGATTGTCCAGCTTCAGTTATCGGGTCCAATCAGTACGGCCCGATGGTGTGTTCCTACATTGCTGAACTAATCTGTGGAGTATCGCCAGCGAGTACTGTATTCGCGAAAGCCTCTTCTCAAAGGGAATGGTTGGACGAAGTGTTACAGGCTGAGAAAATAACACGAAACACGATGTCCTAAACGGCTTGGAAGGAAGGCAGTGAATGAGCTGACTACCGCGAAAGATGACCTTCTAGCGACAGTAGAAGACGCGATACTACTTCGTTCTAGGCTGGCTGATTTGCGTTCCTTTCACATAATATTGTTATGTGAATTATGTTCCTTTCACATAATATTATTATAACTTTTAATTCAAAAAAGGGTGCCTATAATAAGCGGGGTGTGAAAAGGGGTGCCTATAATAAACGGGGGTTTTAGGGGGTGCCTATAACGGTTTCCTAAAATTAATTTGAGAATATTTTGGCTGGTTATACATTATACGTTGTACATAATTAAACGTTATACATATTTAAAGTTATACGTTATATATAATTGATTTCATTTGATAAATATTGCTGTTTTTGTGTTACATTAATCGGATCAGTACTGAAGTGATTTTTATTTTAAGGCTAGCCACGTCTGTAGTCTGCATCTCGGGGTTGACTCGTGGACTTTGCTTGTGAATTTTGACATTAGATTTCTTTGCTAAGTTGCAAACTTGTTGTTTTGAGAGCAACACTGAGTAACTCTGTTATTTGCGTATCTTGTTCAGTCGTTTATCGCAGATATTGGTCTCTAGGAATTTGTTTGAACGGATCATCGTGATGAAATTCCCTGCCAAGAAAATGAAGACTTTCTTCAAGCGCTACATGGAATACGAAGAGCAGCACGGAAATGCCGCCACGCTCGAACATGCCAAAGCCGAAGCGCAGCGCTGGGTGCAGGAACACACGGAATCGGTTTAGATACTAATCCAAAAATTAGTGACTCTAGTTATATTTTGTGGAAATTTTTAACATGTTTTTTGCTGGAAGTTTTACCCTTGAGTTGCGTGACTAGTTAAAGAAAAATTCAAGAATTTATATACTGCAGAATTATTGTTACTGTATTTCGCTGAAAATTCGTGCGTTGATGCGCTCAAGATCGCAATTATGCACGGTATATTTCTTGTGAATTTGCCAGACGGCGTTTCGGCATTCACATCACACGAGAACACAACACTTCTGTCGCTTTCGTGGATTATAATCTACCCGGCGATATTGACGAGCGCAAATGCCACCGTGCCATTTGTAGGCTACAAAAAGCAAGCGAATTTTATTTTTTGATGTTTTCATATTGTCAAGATATGCTTACGATGGTTAGGCCATCGTCACGGAATTCGTGATCAATGGTAGCAGTGAATCCGCTCTCCAGGGTCTGCTTCTGGATCAGATGATCCCCGTTCAAGGAGTAAGTGGCCTTGATGGTCTTGCCACTGGGTGTCTTTCCCTTGACTTCTTCGTTCAGCTTGAACTTGACATCCTTGCTGATGACCTCACTGGTGATACGCATGGTGTACTCATCACCAAATTTGATGAATTCGAGGATGGGGCAAAGTTGTTTCCCGATCTCTGAACGCCCGGAGAAAAAAATATTCAAACAAAGTATATTTTCGGCAACGCGATCGCAGATGTCATAGTGCACTGAGTGCAGTAGCGGTACACAGGCAAATTTTATAACACGAAGAAAAAGCTGCTAAATAGTACAGATAAATACTGGCTTCATGCTATGTTAAAAGCAATACATATTAATTTTTATAACCTGTAGGGTACTGTACCGATATGTTCTTCGCTCAGCCCGGTGACACGGAGATACCGTCCAAAATTACCATCATCGCGCAAGTATTTGTATTTTCCAGAAATTTTTGCCATTTTTTCTACAGATTTGTTTGCTAAAATAGGAAATTTTAACAGGAATAATATTACAGCTGAACGGAACTGCACAAAGAATGTTTCACCCTTTAGTTCATGGTCATAATATGATGGACTAACGAAATTGACGAGTATGGCTGTTTATTTATTTAACAGAAAGCAGAAGCGGGTAGCGCACTTATTTGTTTAATATGTAAAATACTGAGAATTATATGCTTTTACCGATAAGCAGATCAAACAACCGTAGTTGAATCTTGATTATTACTGGTTTGAATAACTTCTTTTGTAAGTTAAAGCAAGTTAAGCTTGAATAGGCTGTACATACTAGTAATTTAAAATAATAATATATACGTACAAAACCAGATGTGACGTCTACATCTGTATTGTTATCGGAACAAGCTCACGAGGAAGAATTAATAATAGTATTACGCATTATTTAGCAATTAGGGATCGATGGCCTAATAATGAAATTATTCCGTCTAATCCGTAAGTTTTAAACCAAATTTTGTTCCTGTTTTTACTGCGCAGGCACGTTTCTGGTAGGTTACTTCGGTGCATCGCTTGCGCAACAGCCATATGGGTCCGACATAATTATTACTGTCACTTTAACGGCACGATACACGGCACGTGCCAGGTACGGTATCCGTAATTATGCAAATGTTGAAAAATGACGTACACGAGAATATCATGGTTTTAATTTGCATAATTAGGTTTTTGTTACGCACTGTAGTGTTTTCTCGACACGGAATAATTTTGCATGTACCATCAGACGCTTGAACAGATACATCTTTAATGTAAGATCCAACGCAACGAAGCACAGAATAGCAATTATGCATGCGAGTAAATAAATGTATACATAACATCACTATTTCAATTACATACGTATTATACGATAAAAACTTACTCGGATATGTATCTGTATCTCCGCACTTCTGAACAGCATTTTCCGTTACTACAGAAAGAAATTTTGTCGTTTCCATCTGCATGTTAAAAATAATTTGAATAACTGCAAGGTTTGGCCAATGTGCCGCACAAAGCAAAACTATGTATTTAAATCAATGTACTATGTAATGCATTGCGTAATCGAAGATTTACAGATTTACAGTAATTCTGGTTGGTCTAGTCTGCTTTTTGAAATGATCTTTTTACAATACCGGGGAATAGTATTACCGTTACTCACGATAATTCCTTCGTTACCATAAACGTTACATTATAATGCGTACTTCTTTTTAAAAAATTTTGTGACTCCAGAAATTAATACTCAAACAGCTGACTAAAAAAATAGAAAAAATGTTTTTCTGTGCAAGTTTATGTATAGATTATAAAGTGTCTTTTTCGCCGGGTAGTACAAAAATTGCTGGTCGAGCCTTCGCCATCATCCTCCTGATGAGCGTTAACATTCCAACGGCACAAAGTATTGCCTACTTTTTATTCGGCTTAGACGGTAGTGACAACAGCCGCTGCCTTCCGGTAGCATCGATGTCATCATATGGATGCCGGTGCCGGCAACCCGGAGCCGAATGTATGGACCCGGGAACGGTCTGCACGCAGTCCAGCGTCAACGTGGATCTGCCGGTCCTCGGACGCGCAGTTCCATTTCTGACGTGGATGATCGGTGAACAGCGCTGTCTGTGTTCCGCCCCGTGGAGGAAGGACGGCACACGGAATATCTGCGTCAGGGATCTCGATGTGCCCGTCACCACGGATATGCCGTTAACTACTGCTGTCACCACATTGCCAGAAACTACAACGGAAACATTATCTACCACGGGTAGCAGTGAACCCACAACGGACGCCGGTTCAACTGGTACTGGAACCGAAACTGTAATTACCGACACTACCACGAGTACTGCGTCTACATCACATACAACTACCGTTAGCGGGACCGAAATCAGTAGTACACCGACTGAGCCGGGAACCTCAACTGGGAACGTCATCACCGAAATCCCCTCCACTCCGACGGAAACCGTCACCGAAATCACTTCGACGCCAATGGAACCCGTAACTGACAGTAGTACTTCTACTAGTGCGGAATATGATACCACAAATACGATTACAGAGGCAACCAGTAGTCCTCCTACCGCGATTACAACAGTTTTCACAACGGAAGGCCCAACGGATACAACCGAAACCACCACCGATACCACTACCACTGATACGACAACCGTACCGCAATCTACAACTACAGCAAACAAGCGGCCAACGAAAAGTACGACAATGGGCAATACCGGTACAACGGGGATAACGGAGCATACGGTTAACAGTGCTGTAACTTCGGCAGACACGACAACTGAAGGTAGCACCAATTACCCCTCGGCCTCGACCGATACCACTACCGGAGCAATGGCAACAACAACCGCTGATACGACAACTGCTTCGACAACGCCACCAGATACATCTTCAGTCACATCCACGGAACCCAGTACTACTCTCAGTCCCAGTACAACGGAGACCAGCACGGCTTTGTTAACAAGCACAGTGGGACCAACGACCACCGTCAACAAGAGACCAACGAAGTCTACCACCGGAATCCCCGGTTAGGTAGCAATTCCTGGCAGGAAGTGTTGCCGGATAACATTCTTCCATGTAATCTTTCGCTATCAAATTTGATATTTGATGCTTTCTTAGGATATACGGTTGTATACTCTGTATATATATACTGTGCCTTTATTCATCTGTGGCAGTATATACTCGAATTATTCTGGGCGCCGTGATGAATTACCGGATTACTGCAATTTCACTACGCAGTTTCGAATATGTACTCGTATTGTATACAGGATTGCAAACTGTACATAACTTCCGGGTATGAGCACATTCATTTACCTTCATACCGAAAATTAAAATTAATAAAACGGAAATTCGAATAAAAACCGAACTACCGGCAACCGCGTTGATGGAAAATAGTGTGTTTGGTATTGCTGTTACAGTAGAACAAGCAAATAGTTTTTAACGATTTGATGAAACTGGAGTACGAGGCAATAATTATATATACGAATACCCACTTTGAGCTGAACATCAGCGACATCAGCATGATTGCGAGGAAAGAGCTTTGAACAGCCTTGAAGTCCTTTTTTTTCGTGGCATAGGTAGTACATTCCGAAATAAGAAAAGCTTTCACTGACCATAAGTAAATTTACTGCTCACATTAATCAGCACAGTTAATTGCAAGTACGAGTTACATTTAGTACGTTAAGTAGCGCTTTATGCAACATACTTCCCATTAAAATAAAATACATATTTAAATCCTGCCTCTGTGTCAAAAGTAGCGCCCGGTGCTTAGTTTATACGCATTCATTTATGTAAATACGGTTGCATGTTGCAATGGGCTAAGAGAATTATTCAGATCATGGACCTTAGACGTTTTTACTAGCAGAGTAACGCTCGACATCTCATTTTTTTCAGTCTGATGTCATACATCTCGTTGTTTTTAATAATTTACTTAAAGTAACTGCCTCGCAGAATTTTACTAGCTTAAAGTGTTAACTCCTTTCGTATGTTATTTAAATCAAATCTGCATTGGTAAATTGTTGTTGATTGATAGTGTGAAGATTTGTTAGTCGAAACCGTAACCAAACATTTGATCTGTACCAATAAAAAATCTGTTTTTGGATATGCGGATGCTTTCCGAGCCCAGAGCGTTCCCAGGCTGATTTCATACGCTGTGGTCAGAACCAACCGCCCATTGGAACAATGTTGGCCTTAAAGTGCGCTCTCCTAAGTATAAGCCTGACAAAGGTCAGTGCATTTCTTTTTGTCTACTCCGATCAAAATGGAGCCGGAAGTCAGTGTTCACCGCTGGCATCGTTATCCGCTTACGGATGTCCGTGTCCGCACCCTGGAGCACCATGCCAGGATCCCGGCACGATCTGTTCCCTGGCGGATGAGAATGGATACCTGAAAATTCAGAATCCATCAGCTGCCTTCATTTTGCTAATGGTCAACGAACTAAAGTGTCTGTGCGTGGCCCCTTGGGAAAAGTCGGAAGTACTTAATAAATGCGTAAACGATGCAGTTGTGTCGACTACACCCGATGCCTGTATTAATGCCGAGAAGACAACCATTGGAACCGCGTCGACCACTACCGGCACGACAGCTTCGGCTACGTCAACAACGACTGGGACAACAGCCACTGTTACCAACATAGGAACGGTAGCGTGGACCACAACCAGCAAGCCTACCACAACCGAACCATCTACAGAAACGAATACTGGCACGACTACCACTATAACATCAGCGGAAAGCAGTACAAGCGCTGCTGCTTTTCAAGTCATCCTCACTCCTACCAATGCAGGAGCTACCGCCAACCTCGATGTGATGAAGTGTTATCCACAAAAAAATTTCACCGTGGCCACTCTTAATGTCAGTAGTACTAAGTACACTGTAAACTAAACGAGTAGTGGAAAAGTAATAGTGTTGCGTAAATTAACATGTTCCAGAAACGGGTTTTCTGATAAGCAGATAACAGGCGGAACCGCGCCATACGTAATGTCTGGTTTCCACTCCAATAATGACTGCTACAGACTGGATGGTCAGACGTATATTATTTTCGAAGGCGGAAAGTTTACTTATGCTTCTGTAAGTGGCAATTTTCAGTACACTCAGCGGCAAGCCGTATAATCAGAATTTTGCAAGAGTTCAATTAAGTAATGTTTCAGCCTTTCCTTGTCATGCGATTATTAAAAGGATTCGCTTACTCGACATTGTTTCGCTTAAAATTCTATGGTACGCGTGTTAATTCGTTAAGCCTTTCAGAGCTTTTATCCTTGTTGGACTGGAGATTCCCAATTCTTCATGACTGGACAAAATGATACAGTGGATCTCACCGTGCAGGATTCGTCTGTTCCTCCGCAATTTTCTGTGGTGCAGTTAAAAGTATGGGAGCATACGCATACTACACGTACATGCTTGACCTTCAGATACGTTTGGGCTTGCATCTAGGTATAAATTTACCAGGTCGATGATCCGAAGTGGGATTTGGATCAATATAGATGCGATCCCAACACCGGTTACAATTTCGATGGTGTTGGAGAAGGAAAAAGCATTTCGGAGATGGGGAAGCTCAAGTATCGGATGACTTCCGGTTCGCGACTGCCCCGAAGAAAGATAAAAGATGGTTATAACACATATTTCACAAAAAAGCCTTGAACTGTTTCTAAGTGTTAAGTTTTGTACTAGTAACGTTATTACTGTAAGCAGATTTTTTTGCCATGTACTACTTACTAGCCATATCCATCCATATTTTGCGCACTTTAATGCATTATTACGCACTAAGGTATAACTACCGTACCGTACATAGAATCTGTTTTGCATGCAGACAACGTTGTGTTCTGCAATTTCTTTTTCTTGTTTTAACTGTCGCTATTCCATGCATTTGTGGAATTTGTCACCGGATTAACCTTGAAACCAAGGAATAGTGGGCTTTGAAAAATGCAACCGGAAGATTTTCTATAGCAATATTATGTAGTTAAGGAAGTGATAGTTTTGTGGCAGAACGTAGATCTCTTCACGAGTGTTCGGTTTCCATAATTTTTCTTAATATCAGCTTACGTGTTTATTTAATGGTCAAAGGGTACAGAGCAGCGGTTACTAGTTTTCACAGCTGCGAAAAAAAGTAGCCGATCCCTTACGCTGGTGTTGAAGTGTTGATGTCATCCTACGGTTGTCGAAATCATATCAAAATGATTGGATTCGGAAAAGCTTTGTGCACAGTCCAACGTCAACTTCGAAAGCGTCTGCGGGCTCATTCGGGAGAAGCCCGCTCACACGAATTTCTTCGGCAGCGTCTGTTTAGAGATACAGCAGGGTACGCCGCTTCTGTTTTGGGTACCGTTGAGAGTGCGGAAATTTTTAATGAGCTCTTGTTTCTTAACTGTTCTTAAAACGTGTAAAGTGAAGTTTCAATATATACGGGAACGTCAACTTGGATCTATCAAACATAAAGTCGGCCGAACCACTTTTTGTTGTATTTTTGTCATACGTATACGGAATAAAATTATTTTTAACCGCTAATAATGCAGCCGAGATTCAATCTACTCACATTCAAATTCGTTTGCCAAACCGAATTGCCTTAAAAGTCAAAGTAGATATGTATGGAACGTTTCGTACCAAAGAAAAAAACTGGAACGTTTTTTTCCTTCTTGTAGTTACTGTAGTCATCTGTAGACAACCAGTAGGCACCCTGTATACAATCTGTATACATCCTCAGAAAACCTAAGAAACCAGGTGACTACAGTATGTCTACAGTGGTGTCTACGCTACTCTACAGGCTGTCTACAGAAGACTACCGGTGTATACAGACAGAGTATCTAGCTGAACCTAAGAAGGGCTGCCTGTATACAGCGGTAGACATCCGTAGACAACCTGTAGACACGCTGTATACATCCTAAGAAACCTAGGTGACTACCGATAGTTCTACAGGGAGTCTACAGGCTGTATACATATGTCTACTGTGACTACAAGGAGAGAAAAAACGATTCACTTTTTTTCTTTGGTACGAAGCGTGCCACAGGTGTATGTATAAGTAGACGATACAAAGTTACAGATAATCTGAACTGCAATCTATGGATTAACGAAATTTGCAATTAACCGACGTCCTGTTATACTTCTCGTGCACAGCGTCAAACCTATAGGAGAAGCACATATTTTTTACTACAGATTTAGTACACAGCATATTTTGATTCAGAATAATAATATACTACTGTATTATTCATGTCTTTCGTCCGACTTCTGCATTCATTAAGCAACGAATTAATCAAACAGCACGCAGTGAGTTACTTCCGTAGTGTAGAAGATCGTGCAAACAAATTCTGATTGAACAAATCTAATACAAAACAATGCATTTGTGTCGAGAGAAGCGCCCGGTATACAAAAATGTAATTCATTTGTTGAGTGTACAAAAACTCTACCTAGATCTGTTGTAAACATCGAAGTTGTCAGAATTGGTGAATACCTAGTAAAACCGTTCGACATCTACTGTACTGGTGTTACAGACTTGTAGTCGTCGGTTCATTAATATTGTTTTTAGATCAGCAGATAATTTTTCTGATAAAAGCTTCTACAACAAATACTACTTTTGGGTGTGTTAAGAGGATATCTCCAAATTGATTGCATCTGCTCCGTTCAAAACTACAAATAATAATCCTTCAACACTATGCTGAGGTTGTTTTGTGCTCTCTTGAGCAGCATAAACTGTGCAGCGGTGAATGCCTTTGTTTTTGTCTATTCTGATCAGAATGGACCCGGAAGTCAGTGTTCGCCAATGGTATCTCTATCCGGCTACGGATGCCCGTGCCGGCACCCGGGAGCGGCATGCAGGGATCCCGGTACTATCTGTTCCCTTGCCGACGAAAATGGATACCTGAGAATTCAGAACCCATCCGCTGCTTTCATCTTGCTAATGGTCAACGAACTGAAATGTTTGTGTGTGACCCCATGGGAAAAGTCGGATGTCCTTAACAGATGCGTCAACGATGCAGTCGTGGCAACAACCCCCGGTGTATGCATTAATGCGGTTACGACAACCACTGGAATTTCGTCGACCACTACTGGCACAACCACTTCAGCTACGTCAACAAACACTGGCACCACAGCCGCGGTGACCGACACAGAAACTGCAGCGTGGACCACAACCAGTAAGCCTACCACAACGGCAACATCTGCAGGAACCACTACGGCTGCGATAACGGAATTTACCACGTCAGCGGAAACCACTACACCAACAACGGCTGGGGCTACAGCCACGGAAACTGAGGCGTGGACCACAATCACCTATCCTACTCCAACTCAACCTTCGTCGGAAACCTCGGTAACGGGTTCTACCACGTCAGCAGAAACCAGTACAAGCGGTGGCGTTCTTCGAGTCGTCCTTACTCCAACCAACCCGGGTGCTTCCACCAATCTGGGTGTGATGAAGTGTTATCCGCAAAAGAATTTCACTGTTGCCACCATTAATGTGAGCAATAACTAACATGCTAAACTGCGTTCATGCCAAACAGTAACAAAGCCGTGAAAAAGTTTGCACCATTTTCTGCGTGTGTATATTGGTATAATTATTTGCAAATTTCGCTATAATCGCTCTAGAAATGCCAGTTATCGGTGTTTTACTTAGCAGATTACAGGCGGAACCTTGCCATATACAATTTCTAGTTTTCACTCCAGCACTGGCTGCTACGGGCTTGATAGCCAGAAGGATATTGTGTTCGAGGGTGCCCTTCTGACGTCTGCTCAAGTAGGTTGTTATGCTTCACCGTAAAACAAGTCTCGTTCATGCCAAATAACTATGCTAGCTTCATTATAACCATAATTAAATAAACACGGCCCTCAAGCTGGTGATCGGCTACAGTTATAAGAGACGTTGTAACTTGTAATATACACTGATTTGTGAAAATGTTCAACTTTTAAGGCCTGGTATCCTTGCTGGACAGGAACCGGAGAGTACTTTATGGCTGGGCAAACCGACACTGTGGATTTTACTGTGCAAGATTCCTCTAATCCTCCTTTGACTTTTGTTTCCCAACTGAAAGTACAAACTACGTGCAGACGCCTAGACACCCACATATATTGGGCAGCGCTCTTACAGGTTTTGCTTTCCTGTTTTGCAGGTACAAATTTACGAAGTGGATGACCCGAGCGGGGAATTCAACTTCGACAACTACAGATGTGATCCAAACATTGGTTCCAATTTCAGTGGTGTTGGAGAGGGAAAGATCTTCCTGGAGGCAGGCACGATCAAATATCGCATAACGGCCGGCTTGCGGCTACCTCGAAGAAAAAGGAAAAGCGATTTTAAACGATATTATACAAGACGATCGTGAACTTTGAATCGAACTTGGAAGTGTTTTTACTAAATCTATTTATACGAGCACAATCTGCAAGCTTTACAATCATGGTAAGTTGTTTGAATGTCAAACGACTTCGAACCTGAATACAGCCAGCTGTAATCATATGTTATGGACTCATGAACCATATGTACCATATTGCAATTGAGAACACAAAACGAGCCGGTGCATCTTTACGTAGTGCACGATGCAGCAGACCAGTTAAACCTGCATGAACCGGAAATACCGTATCTTTGCTTAAGGTAATACGGCCACATGTACTCGTACAGATACATGTACCGCACACGTGATCTTTCCTAAGCGAACCAAGCGGCGACTTTGCTTCGCCAAACGGTTATTTATGCTACCAGCAAATGTATTGTTAAAACCACAACGCAAAAGACATAAACAGCATCGAACAACGGTTAATTATGATTTAGATAACTTTTATCATATTTTTATAAAACCGCACCTTCGAAGATATTTCAGTTCTCAGTGTTTGTGACAAAGTTATCAAAATGACTTCGTTCTATTAAATGGCGCGGTGGCTGTAATATTTATTTCCAACAGCTTAAGCAGTAGATAAGTCAGACTCAAGCAGCTTACTTTAACTGATAAGGGCTAATCAGTACTATGATGGGTAGTATGATAGCTGATTACAATATGAAATACTACATCTATCAAATTGTAGGTGGAATTACGGTTTACGATATTACAACGTTCTAAGACGAGCGTCAATTTTTACGATTTTTGCATAAGCTGGTTGCAAACCACAAATTATAATGTTTACGTGGCAATATGTAATTGGTCCTCCGGTAAAATTTCTTATCATTTTTGTGATAACGCGCATGTTATGGACGTCCCCTCCTAGCTTTCATGGAACTTACCGAGAACTACCCGAACAGGCACGAACAGGCAATAAATACTCGCAAGCACGAATTAAACACCTTTTCTCGCCTTCACTCACATTTTCCTTCTTGTTAGCCGCTTCGAAAGTAAGGCATCTTACCGATTCTTGTACAAACATCCTTTGCACCGTCTTCATCTCTTTTGCAGCAGAACCCCAGTCTTTGTGCTTTCTCTCTAGCGTCGAGTCCGTAATACAGTGTCCATGCCGGCGCGTGGGGTGATAATCGCTTCTTTCATTATTTCAGCCGCAATTTGCACCGTGGGCGGCTATTCTTACGAAGGCCGTTGTAATAAGAACATTTTGACTGTCTGCGCTGATGATAGTTCATATTTTCTTGTGAAATGTTGGGATGACCTTTTACCACGCCGTTTTGTGGACGACGAAGGGCGGCGGCACTTCGACGAGGAAGTACCCTCAAAACCTTTACGGCAACGCCTAGCCAACAACTACCGCGAAGACGATTTGTTTACGCAAAAATGCGTCGAAGATGAGAATGGGCAATGGATTCGTGTGCCACAATTCAATATCACGAGCTACGATCGACAGGAGGTAATATTCGGAGATCTACGTTGCACTTAATTATTGTGTTTTTCAAAATTGGTTGGCAAACTCCCGTATGGTATGACGCAAAGTTGCTCTGCTTTTAGACATTCTACGTTCGTCAGCGGCAACTAAAAGATTTGCTAAAAGACAAGGGATATTACTGCTGTTTTAATACAACATCCCGGCTCTGCCATGAAACATGGTTCCTCAGCGTACCAATCCTTATCCAGCAAAGTTACACTGCTGAGAACGGCGGAGATGTGCAGACTGCATTTACTTCTGTTCAACCGAGGGTTCAAAAAAGCGAATCGCCCTACTCAAGTCAATCTCTGAAACAAAACGCGTCAGCTGAAAACATGGCAGGTAGGTTTTGTTTTCACCCGGCAATTTTAACACGATAGTATCCTTTATTCAAGATGGCCATGGCAAATATCTATATTTATTATTTACATTAGGGCATAAATTAGGAGCTCATCGGTAACTGTGTAAGTGAGGCAAAGACAATCTAATCGTAAAGCGAAATAAACAGGTATACAGCTTCGTGTGTTGCGGTGAAGCTTACGCGGAGTATGTAATAAGCGAATATTGAATATCACAGTCATGTAAATTTTTAAAAATAGTGCAATTTCAAACGACAATTTCGATTTACTTACAGTAATTTCCGAAGGAAACGTTCTGATAATGATGGGTTTCCAGTAATGTTCTTTTGGTGTCAATGGCATTGTTACTATTGAGCTTTTTAAGTAAGATTAAGAAAAACTTCACGATCTCCTTGAATAGATTGGCGACTTTGCCGAACTATGATTATCTTGTTCCAGGAAATGTGGAAGTCAATTTTCATGCAAAGAAATCGCCCGCGGAAAGCTTGCCATCACAATGTAAGACAGAAGTGGTACTTATTTGAGTCGGAATGCTTTTCAGCTGAATCAGTAATGCAAAGTAATTAAGTGAGGCAAAGACAACTTTATGGATGGGTATTACCTATATTACCATAAACAGAAACATGAGATGTTTTTATAGAAGTCTTTAATTAATTTTATAAAATAATCTGATGTTAAGTTTCGTACAGATAGGCACAAAAAAAAATAATGAAGGCAATTCTTTATTAGCGTGTAAGTAGGTACCATATTTCTCCTGTTTTCTGCAGCTGCCATTACCCAGGACCACATGGGCGCCGGGGGTACAGTTGCCGTCGTCCTAGGCGTAACTGCAGCTATCGGTGTTGCAGCCGCTATTATATTTATTGTCTACCGCAAGCTCCGCCCAGGAACTCGAAACAACCGTGGCAACTATGGCCCGCCAGGCGCTCAAAATTGGGCTTTTGCCTAAGAAATCCAGGATAAAGATTAATTTTTCGAATCTGTGTAAATTAGTGGTTGAATATTTTACGGTTGAAAGGTGGTTTTTGTTTTAATGTCGGTGATGCGGGCTCGGCTCAGATCCTTTCCGGTGCTTTTAATTTCCTTGTTCTAATGCGGCCGATAAAGTACTGACAGTGCGTTTGACCGGTGTTTCTGATTGAATTTAGCTTTATCTGCATAGTTGTCTTTGAATTAGCTGTGTTCTGGGCGATTATTCTGCTTTGAAATTTTGCCAGAAATCTCCCATGGAACGTTTAAATACTCGTAGTTGCCTAATCGCCACAGCTTCCGCTTAGCATTTCTAGTTCATAAAAACAAAGCACGTAACATGTTTACACACTATGTATCAGTAAGCGAAAAGTAGTTCACGTTAATCAGTGCACTGAATGCCACTGATAAATACCAACCGTCAATGAATGCCGAAGATTTAGGCGTTCCAAGTTCTCAGTACCGTACAGTGCACGTACTAATTGGCAGACTAAGTGGAAAACTCATGAAAGTGCAAAATCATCAGTAATAATTGGCAGTTGGTCGTTGGCATATCGATAATTAATCATCACTCTTAAATGGGTACATGTTTTATAGTAATTACCTTTAAGTACAAAATTATCCCCAAAATGTCTGTGTAAGGCAACTGGAAACCGGGTATTGCTGTTAAGAATATATCGTACAGATAAATATATTGGCTAGAGTGGCTAGTATTGCGAACGACCAGCAATAAAAGTTCGTTAATTCATGATCTGTAGTCTGCAAGGCCAATTGTATGTGATCCGTTGTTTAAAATATTCTGTACAGTTAAAATGAAGCAGAGTTGAGAAAAATCGAAGTAATAATCTGTATGATCTCTGACCTTTTGGGTATCGTAATTAAAATATATTGACAGTTTGTTTAACAGTCGACGAATAAGATAAACTATCCGGTTCGATCCAACGTCATTGTTTCGAAAATTATTAAGAATTCTACTTGGTTTGTTCTTTGGGTTTGACGACATTGCTTTGTTCCGCGTACACCTACTGGCACTTCCGAAATCTCCACCGCTCAGTTACACTTTATGTGTTTACTCTGAAAACTGAAAAAAATATTGCACCAATCTGTATATGTATTGTCACTGATACGACTTTCAGCATTTACTTACCACTTTGGTTAGATTATTCCTCACTTAATCATAGCTACCAGTCACTCATGAAAATAAGACCTCTATTGTTGCCATCTGCATTTTATTTTAATTTCAACAGGTTAGTAATATGATGTACGGTACGTCGTCACTGAGGCGATCTGATAAAGGAAGACCTGAGCAGTACAGAAAGCTAACTGTATTAATTTTTGTACCAAAGTACGAGCATTTATCTACCTACATAGAAGTATACATGCTACGCCGCTAAGTAAGTAACCCATTCCGGTTTCTCGTAAATAGTGCGCATCGCTCTATGTTTGCAGGGAAACGGGAGAACGAATAAAATTATTATGTACAGACATAATAATACACTGTACAAGTACAAGCACTGATTGACGCTTCTTATCAAAGCTTGCAATCACCGCTTCTGTAACGGATGCACGGCATGCATCGAAAGTGGTCCGGCACTACAACAGTAAAGGTTTAATTTTTTCGAAGGCGCATAGCGTGCTCCTTGCTACGAACACACTTACCCGCTTAGCACTACTTGAATTTTTCTAATGTACCCCATTTCTTCCTTTCTGCTTAATCCCTATAACCGATTTGCAGAATATACCAATTCTGGCGTTCGAAACCTGACTGCTTATTGAAAATTATTGACCGTTCATGGATCGTTCAAGTATCCGTTTTCCATTGAGTTTGATTCTGATCGGTATTATACCGTATTTATGTGCCAGGCCAACCGAAAAACCGTTTCACGATTGTTCCTGCAATGTCGATGTGCCACAACTCCAACAGTATGAAACGGAGCCTTCGTATCTGGATTTTCGCTGCAAGCACGACGAACATCTCGTGAAATTCTCAGAGAACCGCACAATAGTGATTACTGCGGACAGTCCTCACGGATTCAGCATCATTCCCCACAAGCTGATACACGCAGCATCGTGCTACTTTACCGATGAACCGCAGCGTTTTATCTGCGAAGTTAAACCCGATAAGGAGGAAGTGATCAAGCTGCAGTTTAAGAAGGGCCAACAGGTGACCACAGCGGTGTATCGTAAACAGGTCTCCCTGTTAACCGAATCAGATGTTGGCATATATAAATGTGTCAGCCAAGACTTTACCCAGTGCTCGGCTTCATGGAATGTTAGTGTAATAGAATTATAGCATCGTGCTGCTCGTCTTGGGAAACTGATAGCCATCATGATGACTGATCGTTTTCGCCTTGGTCTTGTGTGTGTGGTAATTTTCTACTTACCCTGTAATCAGTTTAATATGATCTGGATCGGTGTTTTTGGCAGTTAGTTAAATTAGTTTGACGGTTGTATTATAAAAATCAAATTGCGGGGCAATAATAAAAAAAGCGATGATAAATAAATATGCCGTTAAATACGGTTGGCGTTTAATTAGGATCCTGCACGTATTTTACGGTTACGTTTTATAAGAGTAGTAATTATTGTAAGATTTGTTGATTTGAGTACTAGCTGCGATTCCGTTCTCGACTTTCTTTCCAGATTTTGTTTAAGTGCCTTATTTTTATCAAAGTTGTTGTTGCACATGTTGCGACGCGCCGATTAGCACAGGACGGATAATTACTGACATTCAGTACCTATCACGTATCAGTATACAAAAAACGCAATATTAAGTTTGCTAATCCCGAGGCAATGGGTTTATAGCGGTCTGCATACATAGTAAAATTTTAACACATGGACCTTTTGTGGACAAACCTTACCTGCGGCTGCGGTAAACTTTCAAAACTGAGACGACTGACACCTTTTGCCAGCGTCGCTCTGTATACATTTGTAACAATGACCAAATCGTATATAAATAGATAATTGTAATAGTTTTGCACGTACTTTATACGAGTATCTGCAGTTCTTGAAATATGGCGGTACACTAGCTATAGTACAAAGTACTAACCGACAATCTGTTCGCAAGCAAACCAGCGGTAGGTCAGTCAAAATCCAACTTCTCTGTGAAGGGAGTACTTACATTAGTACTTACCTACTGTCAGTATACCTATTGTGGTCGACCTGGTTTTCTTACAAACTGCGTCAGTAAAGAAACACGCCAAGTTGCCGTGATTCACGTTTATACGACTAGATGAATGCGTATGTCTTGTCAGCATCTGTGTAAACAACATCAAACGTCAACAGATGCCGCAATAATTGCACGTTTTGATGTTATGTCACACATCGGCATCTTTGACCACGATACATGCGTGTACGAACGAAAGGCATGAACATGTTTTTTGAAATAGTTAATTAATATGCGAATGTCTATACAGCACCATCAATCCATAATTGATTAGGCAGATCAAGAACAAAGGCTAGGAAAATTTATGCATATATGCGCAGCATCTTTCGACGTATGTGAAACCGAAACATCATTCTATCACAATGGCAGAAATATTACCCCTCTCAACACATCAATATGGTGTACATAGCGGTTAATATGCTGATTAAAATGCGGCTTCCGACAATGCAATGACAGGTACTGCATTGTTTATCAATTTAGCATATGCATAATTATTTCATGATACAGCCTCGCATGCTAAAAACCGTGTTTGTGCATACCCAGAATTCTTGCGTTTCTGGTTTCTACCACGATACTGTGTTATTATTTTTTGTTGTTTGGAAAGTGAAAACAATGGCTCTAATATCTGGTCTCTGTTAATGTGCGACACCCTTGCCTTCATTGTACCTTTGTTTACTTAAAACGATTTATTGTAGCAATACAAATTTTGTATTCGGAGCCCATTATGCTTCCTGTGCGACCGACGCCATGGATTTCCTTCCTAAAGATGGTTTGGTTACTTACTTCGTTCATAATCATTCTTGACCTTAATGTTCAACGTGTGTCTGCTCTGCGACCTTTCCACCGACTGGATCCGATCCCTCGTCGAGATGAAGTTGGCGGAAACTGTTATCCGCAGACCGAATTTTCTTCCTACGGCTGCCGGTGTCGTGACTTTGGAAAATCCTGCCAGGACATAGGAACCGCATGTATTTTGCCGGACATAATTGAACGCCAAAGGATGCAGAACTTCCGCATTGGTGCTCCGTCGAATTTACTCTGGTGGATGATCGATGAGCTACGTTGTCTCTGTGTTTTTCCATATCGAAAGCATGATAGATTTAATCGATGTATGGTTATAAACGGGATACTAGGAAACCGAGACCGCAATCCTCCAGCAACGATTTTAACTACAACTTTGTTGACCACAGCAACTACAGCGTAAGTACAACAACAAAAAAATGCTCGAAATGAAGAAATTTATTAAAGCTAAATTTAAAGATGTAACAAACATTATAGCGGTAGCTTTCTTTGACGTAAACCTGCAATACTCAAACGGCTTACGATGTGATCAAGCAGTTTAGAAATCCTGAATCCAAGCAACCGAACTTTCTGCAGCTCACAGAATACAACAATCCATATCACTTCCATTACACCCGAGACGACGACAACAGCAGCTAAAACAGCAAAAAGAACAGAAGCAACAACAAGCACAATTACTACGCCTAAACCAACCATTAAACCAAGCAACACAAATGCGACAACCACATGGGAAAGCAGCATCAGAACAGAAGCACCACCAGTAACTGTAACAAGCACCGAGACACCAGTGACCGGCAATCCCACCGAGACTCCAGTGACTGGCAATCCCACCGAGTCACCAGTGACCGGCAATCCCACCGAGACTCCAGTGACCGGCAATTCTACAGAGACACCAGTGACCGGCAATCCCACCGAGACTCCAGTGACCGGCAATCCCACCGAGACACCAGTGACTGGCAATCCCACCGAGACACCAGTGACCGGCAATCCCACCGAGACACCAGTGACCGGCAATCCCACCGAGACACCAGTGACCGGCAATTCTACAGAGACACCAGTGACCGGCAATCCCACCGAGACTCCAGTGACCGGCAATCCCACAGAGACACCAGTAACAGCCAATCCCACCGAGACTCCAGTGACTGGCAATCCCACCGAGACTCCAGTGACCGGCAATCCCACAGAGACCCCAGTAACAGCCAATCCCACCGAGACTCCAGTGACTGGCAATCCCACCGAGACACCGGTGACCGGCAATCCCACCGAGACTCCATTGACCGGCAATTCTACAGAGACACCAGTAACAGCCAATCCCACCGAGATTCCAGTGACTGGCAATCCCACCGAGACACCAGTGACCGGCAATCCCACCGAGACTCCAGTGACCGGCAATCCCACAGAGACACCAGTAACAGCCAATCCCACCGAGACTCCAGTGACTGGCAATCCCACCGAGACTCCAGTGACCGGCAATCCCACAGAGACACCAGTAACAGCCAATCCCACCGAGACTCCAGTGACTGGCAATCCCACCGAGACACCAGTGACCGGCAATCCCACCGAGACTCCATTGACCGGCAATTCTACAGAGACACCAGTAACAGCCAATCGCACCGAGACTCCAGTGACTGGCAATCCCACCGAGACACCAGTGACCGGCAATCCCACCGAGACTCCAGTGACCGGCAATCCCACAGAGACACCAGTAACAGCCAATCCCACCGAGACTGCAGTGACTGGCAATCCCACAGAGACCCCAGTAACAGCCAATCCCACCGAGACTCCAGTGACTGGCAATCCCACCGAGACTCCAGTGACTGCCAATCCCACCGAGACTCCAGTGACTGGCAATCCCACCGAGACACCAGTGACCAGCAATTCCACCGAGACTCCAGTGACTGGCAATCCCACCGAGACACCAGTGACCGGCAATCCCACCGAGACTCCAGTGACCGGCAATCCCACAGAGGCACCAGTAACAGCCAATCCCACCGAGACTCCAGTGACTGGCAATCCCACCGAGACACCAGTGACCGGCAATCCCACCGAGACTCCAGTGACCGGCAATCCCACAGAGACACCAGTAACAGCCAATCTCACCGAGACTCCAGTGACTGGCAATCCCACCGAGACACCAGTGACCGGCAATTCTACAGAGACACCAGTGACCGGCAATCCCACCGAGACTCCAGTGACCGGTATTCCCACCGAAACACCAATGACCGGCAATCCCACAGAGACACCAGTAACAGCCAATCCCACCGAGACTCCAGTGACTGGCAATCCCACCGAGACACCGGTGACCGGCAATCCCACCGAGACTCCATTGACCGGCAATTCTACAGAGACACCAGTAACAGCCAATCCCACCGAGATTCCAGTGACTGGCAATCCCACCGAGACTCCAGTGACTGGCAATCCCACCGAGACTCCAGTGACCGGCAATCCCACAGAGACCCCAGTAACAGCCAATCCCACCGAGACTCCAGTGACTGGCAATCCCACCGAGACTCCAGTGACTGGCAATCCCACCGAGACTCCAGTGACTGGCAATCCCACCGAGACACCAGTGACCGGCAATTCCACCGAGACTCCAGTGACTGGCAATCCCACCGAGACACCAGTGACCGGCAATCCCACCGAGACTCCAGTGACCGGCAATCCCACAGAGGCACCAGTAACAGCCAATCCCACCGAGACTCCAGTGACTGGCAATCCCACCGAGACACCAGTGACCGGCAATCCCACAGAGACACCAGTAACAGCCAATCTCACCGAGACTCCAGTGACTGGCAATCCCACCGAGACACCAGTGACCGGCAATCCCACCGAGACTCCAGTGACCGGCAATCCCACAGAGACACCAGTAACAGCCAGTCTCACCGAGACTCCAGTGACTGGCAATCCCACCGAGACTCCAGTGACCGGCAATCCTACAGAGACACCAGTGACCGGCAATCCCACCGAGACTCCAGTGACCGGCAATCCCACTGAGACTCCAGTAACCGGCAATCCCACCGAGACTCCAGTGACTGGCAATCCCACCGAGACACCAGTGACCGGCAATCCCACCCAGACTCCAGTGACCGGCAATCCCACCGAGACACCAGTAACCGGCAATCCCACCGAGACACCAGTTACCGGCAATCCCACCGAGACACCAGTGGCCGGCAATCCCACCGAGACACCAGTGACCGGCAATTCCACAGAGACGCCTGTGACAGGCAATCCCACGGAATCACCCGGGACCGGCAATCCCAGCGAAGCACCCGTAACTGGCACTGGCACCGAAATCAGCTCTGGCGATGTCACAACGATTGTTGTTTCTCCTTTCTCTGTCAAATTTGCCCCATCGAATCCAGGCAGTGATTCTTCCCAAGCAATTCTGCTGTGTTATCCTCAAAGGAATTTCACTGTCGCACTGCTGGAGGTCAGCCATGTATTATGAATTGATGTTTTCGAATTTTTTTGGACGGTATTTTTCCAGTATCATTGCTTTTTTGCTGCTATACTTTGCAGATTAGTGGTGGCATGGGGCCTTTTCGAATATCAAGTTTCGAGTCGTCAAATGGCTGCTACGGAGTGGAAGGCGTCGGAGCGGTCGAATTTTTAGGCGAAATGAAAACCAGTGCAACGGTACGTATTGTTGGTATATTAAAGGTACAGATATATTTTGTTCTCTGCTTTAGTACGTACGTTCATAAATTATGTACTTACAGTGGAGCTATCGTTGTATTCTTATAATCCGAGAAACAAAATATAAAGGGGAAGGCTCCGGACACCACCTTTCACAATGAAAGTCTCCCGATAACACAGTCTAACTGTTTTTAATTTTAAAGCATACAACACCGTAATCTCGTGACACCACCACGGAAAAAATGCACACACCATTGCTGGCTCCAGACAGTGTGGGAGCCAGCAACAGTAGTGTCTGGCAGACACTACCATTTGCAAATTTGTCTCAGTTCAGTGATATTGTAGGGGAGATCACATCACCGTGTTCTTGAGGTCCGGTCCACGTTTTTACGTGCCACTCTCGAGTCTCGACCTTGGCACGCTTCCGTTATTGTGATCACACCCTCTAAAGTTTAAAGGATGCGCTCACAATAGCACAATAAGCAGCAGAACGAGTGCGGCTAAATTTCGTCGCACTCATTCTGCTGCTTTACCAGCTTCATAAAGCTTAAGAAGCTTCAGCTTCAGAAGCTTCAGTATTCGCTTTACCGAATTCGCTTGGTTAAGCTTCAGAATTCGCTTTACCTCAATGAAAGTCATCCCCCATTCCCTCATCGTTTTTCCGGAAAAGGAGCTTTTCTCGGGATCCTCTCCGTTGTGTCTTTCGTTTAGGTAGTTCTGTTTTAAAACTTTTAGCTCTAGTTTCTCTGAATAGACCATATAACGGCTTGTCCAACAAAAAAATATCACGTGTATATTTTTTCTAATGACTGGTTGGCCGGGAGCATACTTTCGGAATGCCCTTTGCAGACACTGTAGCGCTAATCAGTTGCATGCGCTACTGATCGCACGTATTAAACTATACACAGTGGATCAAGTCTCCAGAGTTAGATTCTGCTGAATTTGGTTACATATTTATGTGTTTTGCTAATTTACTGCAGGGATGGGACAATTGCTCATCCGGCAATTCCGATGAAGGTGGCTATATCATGATGGGTCAAGATGACACTGTGAATTTAGCCGTAACAGACTTGTCCAATCCTCCGCAAGAGATTGCCCTTCAGTTGAAAGTATGTTGGACTGTAATAAGTTAGTAATCAGGGATGGCTAAAACTTTCTCCTTTTGGCCGGGGCCGGTTCCAGTCGCTACGTTTAAACCGGAACCGGTTATATATTTCCGCGTTTTGGATGGATTAGAAAACCTTCACTGCGCTCTGGTCGATCAATGCTGAATTTACATAATTCACGGAGTTTCCTGATGTCTGAGCAGCTGTTTGTGAATTTTCTTAGGTTCATATTCCGCAGGTAGACGATCCGGACAATGAATGGGACATGAGTAACTATCGATGTGATCCGAATAAAGGTTACAACTTTCACGGTCAAGGTGAAGCAAAAAACTTGTTACGGCAAAAAAGTGCGATGCCCGCATCAAATTCGTTCTTACCGGAAAGTAAGCGTCCAAAACGGCTCAAGCGTAAACGTCGTTTATAACTGGATCGTAGCACTACATTGCACGGCGTACTGTGCAAGATTGCAATTGAACAGAGTACGCACTGTATTTGTAGACCCATTTGTTGTCTGCGAATTGTACCTAAATTGTTAGTTCATCGAAATTTTCAAAATCTTTAGTTTTGTTCTAGTAATTTTAAGATTTGTTTGATTCTTTGGGCTGTTTAAGGAGTTTCATCGTATTTCTTTGGAGTTTCGTATGTTCCTCCATTAAGGATTGGTTTTCCTTACCATAATGTACTGACAACCATTTTTGGGAATGCAGGAAACGAGAACTTAGCTCGCTTCGCCTCATTCTATCTGTTCCATTATCGATTCTCCATCAAATTCCGTTTCGAGAACGAGAAGTAAAGAGGAGCTGTATCGCAAAGTTAGATGTTATTATTATAAAAAAGCGTTTGTAGGTAAAAGTGTACTGTACTGTACTGTGCCCATAGTACAAATTAGTACCCACAGTACTGTACAAAATACAAATTACCCATAGACCGTAGTACAAATTAATAGGAAATCTTTTTTTTATTTTTCCGCATTTATTCCTAGCCAATCTACGGGCCTACATGTATGTAGTTTCCGCAAAAAGCGTTTCGAAGGAATTTTGTCACGAGGTGGAACATGAGACCGACAGAGCTATTATTGCAGAAAATAGTGGACAGAAAAATGTTGCTATTGCATTGAACAACTATTTATTTTAGCACAACTGATGTTGCACTGAACAATTTTGTACTTTCTGTGTAAACAATTACAAATCTAACCACTTTGCAGCGTAAACGTTTTCTCATCACCAAAATTTCGAGGAACACGGTGCACAGATCATAGTTATAAAAATTCAAATTAAAATGCATCAATGTGGTCCGATGTGTTCAAAGTCTGCTCGTCTGTTTATACACAACTTTATTGGCTTACAGTTATAGAAATGTGCGTAGCAGTGCTTTGCTACTTTAGTATGTGCGCCGACAACTTGTCGGCGACAAGTGCCCGAGCCGCTACAATAGCATCGAATCCGGCGTTAGTACGTTACTGCTCAATTGTGGCTTATTAATTTAGGGAACCACAGTCACAGGCAGCGCCACTTCCTCGTCCTCGGAATCTTGGCTGTTGTGGCGTTGCACCTGGTACTTCGAGTATTGATACTGAATCAGTACACTTCTGCTCCGCAAAATATCTAGAATTCTGCTGCAGGATTTTGTTCCCATACATTCCGGATATTTGCCTTGGAATCTTTGTACGATAACACGATTTTCCTTGCGTACTCGAAGGTATTTCACAAGGTACACCACGATCAAACTGGACAATACAATCAGTACAATAATCAGAGTAACTAATATGATGTGATCCATGCTTTCTTTGGGCTTTGTAGCACCGGGCTTGTAGTGTGGCAGAGGTTTTTGAGTATGTAGAACCGTTGTCTTTGAGTTTAAAGTTATGCGAGGGTCGTTTTGAATAAAGCCTGAAGCGGTGGCAGACGTCCCAGATAACTTTCGTAAAAATTGTGGATTGCGTGTCGGCTGCATAAGCGACTGGAATGGATTGACACACCTTTCGTTACTAGTAGTGATGCTTTCGAGCCAAAGTTCTTTAGTACTCGTCTTGTTGCGAAGCTTGCAGGTCTGAATGACAGAGCATCTAACAGAAAAATTAAATTAGCTCTGATAGCGAAAGTCGGCTGACCTGAGCGCTTTCAAAATGTTCAAAATATATCGCAAATGTTGAACGTTTTTGGTTGCTGAGAAAATTTTGGTATCCCGCCATTTGTCGACGGAAACTTATCGACCGTCGCTAAGTCGAATGAGCACGATGTCGACCGCCAGAAACTCGACCTAACGCCTTGCCAAGCATCTTAATTTTGATAGGTTTATTAGACTTTTTTTGATAGGTTTATTAGACTTTGTTATGGCTTTTAGATGTTTTAGGCTTCGTAGGTTTTTAGTTTTCTTATTTTTTCTTGGGTTGATTCTTAGGTTTAGTCTTAGATTTTAGATTACAAAATGCTCTTTACAACAAAATATAAAACAAAGTGTTAACAGTTCCTGCTTCACCGGGTACCTCTCGAGTTAAATACTGTTTAGATTAGTTAGTTTTTCTCATTTTGTATTTCACTCAATTTTTACCCTCTCGTGGCGGTCGTCTTTCTGGGGTCGACCTGTGACGGCCGACGAAGTCCTTGTCGGCATAAAGTCGTTGAGCTGTTAGTCTTAAGGTGCATGCAAGTTATAACATCGTTTGACCAATACTTCATCTGCTACTGTGCAGCAAGGACTGTTGCTTTTTTAAGAAGTTGTGGGATGCAGCGATCTACTGTAAGTTCGTACAGTAGATCGCTGTACGAACTTACAGTAGCCCCTCATCGACCTGACTACAAGACGGAGTCCTGCATGTTGTTCGATGCAGTTTGTCCAGTACCGAGTACGGGGAAAGCAGCAGCCTCTGATCGAGCAGGGAACCTTGATCAAGCCGGTATGGTGCGGTACTAGAATACGTCTTTACTTCGAAACCATGCCGAGGCAATGCCGAGGTCGATCTACATGCCAATTTACATGCCTTGCCGAGGCAATTTACATTTTTGTTTGAAACAGATGAATTACGATAAGCAATACGAACCGGTTGGTTGCAGGACACCATCCACAAGGAGCATCAGCGGCCATCAAACAAACTGAGCAGTTGACGTATTGTGCGCATTTGTTCACATTCAACAGAGCAATCTGCAAAACCCTAAAGGTCACTAGTATGCAATGTTTGATATTGTTTTGGAGGTCCCGACAAGCGCCGTAAATTGCAAGTAAGACGATCAAACTCTTTTACTCATGTTTTACAAAGGAAACGACGTTCACGTTATTGCAATTATTAATATAACCGCGCACTAATTGCTGTTAATCAGACAGCGATGAAAAAATGAATAGTAATTTACCATTGATTCTGTGCCGACATAGATTTCGCTTCTGTTTCCATTGGGAGTCATCGCCGTAATAATAGAAACTTTCTTGTCTCTACTGTCGGAAGATTCATTTCTCCCAAAATCGCTATCTAGCAGTGACTGAGCCGGTGCCGTATTATTAAATAGCGGGAGCCATATCTGCTGAATATCAACGATGGAAGTTATAGGTATAGGAAATTTTGCAGGCTCTGTAACAAATTACTATCTTATCCGAATCGTACTATTTTAATTTGCTCTCGTTGTTGCACAAGAAGGACTTCATCTCCATCAACCGTCATATTGTAAAGCTTTTCGCCACGTGAGGTAAACGGCTTCGAGGCTCCAACTTGTTGCCACGACTTTAAAAGAGCGAAGCAGGATATGTAATATGAGGTGAATATCTATGCAACATTCAAGAGTTTAACCTTACTTGATTGAAATTATTGTCACCCGTTGGGCGATATTCACAAACGACCGAAAGGCGAGTTTTATCCGAGCTCGTAGCATTTTTTTGCAGCACGTATGTTACGTACAAGGAGCTGGAAGGGATTATCCTTTGGACGTACAAAGCGGCAGTAACTTCAGTGAACGTGAGAGAACCACCAGCAAATCTTGGAACTTTACATAGAAGTTTAATGACGAACTCAGTGGAACAGTCATTCGGCATATTGTACCAAAGCTCTGTGTCACCGTTTTCAGAACGGACTATGTACACGGTATAGTTGCCCATAGGAAATTTGTAGAGAATATTGTTCCCCATTCGGTCGGAGCAGTTCACCTTCTCGTGCATGGGGATGGCATTGAACGTTGTGTTATCGATTGCTGCGGCGTTGTTAGCCAAATCCGCGGTTAAACAGCTATAGCGGGGAGACGTCAATCTGGATGTAAAATGTGCAGTACCATTTTGTGTCAACTCCTGAAAATATATAACCGATTTTAGCTGCGTTGATGTTGTTAGGGGTATGAAGGAGACCTAAACAATATATTCAAACCTGGGCTAATGTTGTTCCAAGAAAATTGAGATTCTCGTCGAAATGGGTAATGTTTGCTCCAGTTCGTACATATACCATACCCGTTTCAAAATCTTTGACAAAGCAGTTAACGCGGTTCATAAAATTTACTGACCGTATAACCAGACTGTTAACCGGTTGCATTTGACTTGCAGCAAAATCCATAATAATAGTACAAATTAGTGCGGAACGCATTATTCTCCACAAGAATGAGGCACCGTGTAGAACTTCGTATGCGAATTTTCGTGCTGGTTTAATGCAGGTCTGGTCTTGACATTTGTACAGCCGTAAGGTAAACGGGAAGGCAGCGTACTGAGGGCACAAATCATGTTCCAAGTAATTACAAAAGGACGGCGGTCTTGTGCACCAACAAGGTTTTGAGGGTTCAAACATGGTCGCTCGAAAGGATTGATACTACACTTACACATTTAAAAGAATAAGCTCGTATGGTTGCGATGATTAGGGTGTTATAACAGGGCATTTAGTTGCATTAATTTTGTTTTGCGGACCCGATTAGGATACTCCAAATGGGAGCTTTAGTAATTTATATAAGTATGCAAATGCAGCGCTCCGCTATGCCGGTTATGGTAAACATCGGGTAAGGCATAAGGTGATAAAAAGCGAGACTAAAATATTGATTAGGTGCTACTACCTGTTTACAATTTTCGATATGCGCTAGGTAGGGCTATTGAGTCTACTGTTAACGAACTAGGCACGGTAAGGTAAGCGATTTAACCTTATTATTTCACATTCGCATCACGCGCTGACCACGCTCTTCGTAGCCGTGGGTGACACAACCAACCAATAAAACCTTGTAAATCCATTAAAACGTACAGATAGTACGTTGTAATAAACGGAGGTTTTATCAACAGTGGGACTGCATACCGGTACGTTCTTTACGCGCTCGATAAGGTCCGCTGACGAGTCGAAAAGATACTAGGCACTAGGCAGTAATAATGGTGTCGTTACGCAAATAAAACAAATCGTAATAGAAAGATGCCAGAGGATACACATGCGAAAGGATACACATGCAAAAGCGTTATTACGTATACATACCACACTTAATTTAGCACGAAAATTACGAGTACAACAGTTTTTCTGGTTAAGACAGAATGCAAGCCATGCGCAAACGGTTTAAAAGTAAAGATACGCAACACGGTAACTGTATAGGTCACTAGGCGCCTCACTTGGTCAAACTGAAACATTTGTTCTTTTAAAATATGCTATACTAATAGAATAACTAAAATGTCTGTTAAAATTGGAACGGTATACCTTCGGTTCTTTAAGATTAATAACTGCTGGTTGCAACGTCAGCACGATTCCACTTTTCTTATCGACAGCCGAATTATGGTCAAATAGGTTATGCTGTACAGTCTGCACTGGATTCAATGATTTCCATACTTGAAGTACTTGTTTGAGTCCTTTCGGTCTAATTCTCCGCTTTAACTATTTGTTCACGTCGGAAACAAGTAGAAACCTCGCCTTATCTGGTGTTCGTTCGCCGCACATACGCATTGCACCTGATTATCTTATCGCATCACTTCTGTTTGCTCATAAGTAGTCAACGGTCAAAGATATTAGTGCGTTCTCGAGAATTGTAAACAACTTCCAGTAAATTTGATTTGGCAGCTAGTAGCATGCACATAATTAGTTCTTATAAAAACTCATTATCAACCGCTGAGATTCATGTTTTCTTTCCTGTTCAGCAGCTGTTAAGCACGTCTGTGCAAACGTACCTGTACGTAAACAGCTCTTTACCAGTATAGGTACAGTGTTTCAGAAACTCAGTAAGTTGTCAAAAATTACTGGAATCGTGCCCATATTTATTGTGATCTTCTAGGGAGAGCAAATAAATTACAGTCTAGACGTCGAGCTTGTCCCAGTCAACTGTTGATATCCGCCATATCATACGTGGGTATATGCAGCTCGAATAGGTGTACATAAAACGGCGGTAACACAGGGGTATGAATTTTCAACTGTTCTACGGTAGAACTTCTATTGTATTCAAACTTGCAGTTTTTCACAAGCAGCAGTACTGCACTAATTAGCAAGCCACATTAAACTGCATTAGTATTTTGTCAGTTATTTGTAGGATCGCTTGCAGTCTATCAGTTCGAGGTGCCACGGTACCGGTGAACGATTTGGATTTGAAATCTTAGTGAAAATGAACACTTTATCGAAATTACCGAATAATTTTCTCGGTTTGACTGCATTTTTTGTCATGGGAATGATTTCTGAATTTCGATGTAATGACGCAGATTGTGGTAATCTGCGGTCGTGATAGAGCATACCCATTATGAATGCTTACAGCCGGAAGAAATGGAGATCTGGTGTGAGTCGCATTCGTTTCCGGTTGCCCCGCGGTCTGTGACATTCACCAAAATTTTCCAAGGAACCAAATCGACGCTCAGGCGCAACAAATCAACTGATATTATTACGAAAACGTACGCGACAAAGAACGGTGTTTGCCAAATGGTTCCTGCTCTGCCAGCTTTGGACGGATCGAAAATCAGTATAGCCGTTGTGGCACTGGATAGAAGTTGCAACGGTTTGTATTCTTGTTATCATGCTGCTCAGGGACATGCCCGAAGCTGGCTCCTTAACGTGACCAATATTTCTTGCGATCCGGCAACCATCAAATTAGACAGCAAAAAAATTTTGGTTCCAACAGAACTTTTCTACCCAAACAACGCTTCACTTCGTGCCGATGACAATCTTGACCAGAGGATCGAAATAACCCCATTTCCGGTTGAACAAAATAAACCGAAAAATGGTGAGGTAGTTTCAGCGCAAAAGGTTACTTGCTGGTTAACGCTTGTTTGATTTGTTGGTTTTAATATTAAATTGTCTGATTAGGAGGCGGTATTCAAAAGTTGGCGCCATGGATAGTTGCCGGAATCGTCGGAAGTGCTTTGCTTGTCGCTGGTATCGTGTTTGTTACAATGAAACATCGTCGGCAGCGCAGAGCTGTCCAGCAGAATGCACAATATGTACTTACTGTGCGTTATGAAGTGTGAATTGGAACGAAGGAAGACGTGCAAGCACGAATCAAGATGCATCGTAACTGGCAAATATGGAGGAAGCGAGAATATTGTTCGTTCAGCAGCATTTATTTACTGCCTCTTTACAAACCGATACAGTTCTCTTTGAAAACTATATGCGGCGAAACCATAATGTCTGCGTATCCGTGGTTAGCAACTGAAGGTTTGTTCATGTGTTGTTTCTGCTCTGCTGAATATCAGTAATTCGCATTCAATACTCTTGCGGAATCGAGATTCCTTAGTATTAAATTTCCTGATATTCGTTGCTTGTGGTTGTCTTATTAGACTAACAAACTTTTACGTGCATGAAAATCCCGCGTCAAGGAAGTTATGTAAAAGCAACGTTGCAAAACTATTGTCTAATGGTGCGTAATTACAGTAGTATTCATTCATGAGCGAAAACTATGGCACAGGCGGGAATTAAAACAACCGCTCCACCTATTTTTCAGAACAATATAATTATTGGCTGCAACCTACAAATGATAAGATACGGACAGTTCCGGTGCGCACGAACGTGCGTTAACAAGTAAGAACAACGACAGATGTGTTTACCAGTCTTTAATTGCTGATAGGACTCGTGACTGCTGACTAACGAGCAGCCGCCGTTGCCAAAACTTAAAAGCGAAACGAGGCTCGAGATGAAGAAAACATTAGGTACTTGATTATGGCGACACTGCGCATGGTGTTAAAGACATGAAAGCATTGTTTGCCCAATCGAGCAGTTTAGAAACCTTGTAACCATGCAAAACCACGGAGCATGAATTTCAACCACGGAGCACGATTAACATACAATGCTTTGCGCCTTTTAGGAAAATTAATTACAGTAACACGAAGTCATCAAAGACCGGCTTAACTACTACCCTAACAGCAGGGCTTTCCATGCAGCTAAATTTCACTATTTAAGAAAACTTTAGTTGAGCTTTGTCGAAACCATACACACTTTTGCACGAGTTAAACAAATCGTTGAGCGCTAATTTGTAGTTTGCATGGAGATCATCGATTTCCTTCTGGGTAGGCTGAGAAACTTTCCCAACTGCGATTGGCCTGCCGACTGAAATTTTTAAATATTTGTATTATTATAGGTTTATCATTTGTCCAGTATTTTTCTTAGAAGTCCATAAAGCGGCACACCTCGAACTAACGGATTCAGAGCTCATAAACAACGATTAGGTACAGAATTAGTGCTTACGGATTTTGTAGTGCATTCGCGACTTCTTACCCACAACATGGATGGGTCTCTTGTAAGGGCGCCAAAAGACAATTTTGGAAGGACCATGAACCAGGACCATAGGAAACCCGGTTAAAGAAGTAAACCACCTTTGGAATCTTCGCAGACGCGACCCAACCGCAGCATAAAAAGGCTGATCAAAAACGCTAGTTTCGCCAAACGAGAACACCGGCACCAGAAGACATCTGCAATTCAAAACGAAACGCTCTTCACCTGAACAGTTTTTTGGCAACCTGCAGCAATGAGCCAATATAAAATTTTGCGCTGATCCATTCGTTTATCCATGTCAGCACTCAGCAGGGAAATTATCAGAACAGTTTGTCAGTGGAACGAGCTTCTCGTCGTGACTTTTACTTGTGCGCCCTGGATCTTGTACAGTAACATTTATATAATATAAGTATCTGAACGAATTTGGATTTCTAACCACAGATGTTACCCGGTTTGCAGTGCAACTCGTATAAACCCTTTCCGTTCTTCCAAGATTAGCGTATTTTTCCCCGGTCTTGCTTCATACATTTCAGCGGCACCTCCGGGTACCAGCAGCATCACGTTCCCCGTTCCACACCGGGCAATATACTCCATATTTCGCTGCGATGCATTAGCGCAGCCCATCCACAGAAACACTTCCCGAAAGAGGGGAAAAGCGAAAACCGCTCGCGACACCAGCGGTGTAAATCGCATCCCCGGCAACCGCTTAGCGATCTGTAGGCCGTCAGTGACGAGCGCGCAAGTAATGCCTGCCCCGAAGATCCCATGCGGATGGCATGCAAAGATATAATTATTGGCCGGTGTGATCTGCTCCGCTGCAGTTATATGCAGACTAACGGGAAAATGCGAGCACCACTGGCTGGTAATGCTGGAATTTTGTAACGGTCGCCATGAGCGCCCACCATGATTCTGCGTGTCATCCAGAAGCATCCAACCAAACACTAGTAACGGTATCCAGAAATATTCGGTAAACAGTAACCAGAATAATACAGGATAAGTGATTAACCATCCACACCAGCACAAGCCGATGCCAGTAGTAACTGATAATACTACATTTCCCATCGCGATAGTTCACGTCTTAGCAATACGTGCCACGTCAAATTTTACCAAGAAGTATGTTGGATTCTTATCGAGCATCTGCAATTTGCACATTAATTGTAGTGCATTTGTAGGAAACGAAAGGACTGATATTGATCAAAAAATTATCCAGTATGGCCTCTGCATGCAAACATTACGCTAAATCTCAAAACCCGACATGCGTTAAATGATATTGCGTAATGTCCGTACAATTAATTGCTTCGCAGGTTTGTGAAATTTGATGTCTGGGACTTAGCTGTTACCAAGCTGCGGTCAAAACCGGTTTCTCTGAAATATCCCCGAGACCAAACAAAGCTTTGTTGTTCGTGGGTTTATTTGGAAAGCTCGATTGTACGTTTTGGCACCTGCATGTACTATATTATGTTAGCCTAACATGTGTAGCAGGGAATCTCCGCCTTCTCGCAAATTTTAGTAGTCACTATCAAACTGTTTAACTTTCATTGCTTGGATGATTGCAATTTGAGGCGAGGTCCTGAAATTTTAAATGACGCCGAATACGGTAGCCGCTCGATGCGACTGGACCACAGTCTGGTATACGAGAACTTGTAGCCGCACGCACTGCTCCTTGTGTGTAAAGTCTGTGATATTCGGCTGGGTGACAGCGACCGGACCTGATAGTGCTGGAATTCATCGAGAGGCCACAGCGACAGCGTACAGACTACAGCGTAAGAACCAAAAAATCTGATCTGCCTAATGTTGATCTGGACTTCTTCCAGTAAATACAGGCGCAGATAACGAATAAGGAGCAAACATTAGACCGGGAAGGATCTGAGAATCAAGGTTTGCTCTCGGTCGACTAACATTCATAAGAATAAATTTTGATTTATGTTTTAGGAGTATAGAGTTCGTAACTTCATGTAACTACAAATTTCTATAATTATGGGAACTTACAAGAATTATTCGTAATTTATAGGTTCCTTAAATTGTTAACTATGGCAGCACGTTTCGACAACTTTTCATGACGCTTTGCATCTCACCAGTCAGTATATTTATGTCATAACTGTTGTAATGCATGTCATCAGCGAATACATATAGCACATTCCACAATCGCGTTATGAAAAGCGTATGCTCCATTATTACTGTGAGTACTCCGAATGGATTAGCTACGGTATTGCGTAATTCCAGGCGAAGTCAAAACAGTGGGCCCTGGTGTGAACTGATCTCCGCAATGTCTGCATGAGCCATTTCTAGCGGGAAGATAGTTTACGGTTTGTCTTCTAACAGTTGTGAATAAAAAACCGTTCCGGGGATGCCTGGCTTTATTCTGTCTATAACTGCATTTATGTCGTAGGTGCAGTATATTACAGTGGCATTAACATCCACAGGTCTTGGCCGATAACACCATACATGGTAACCAACGGATGGGAATGTGTTAACACCAGCCTGCGGTTGCGTACAAAACCCTAAACGGTGATTTTGTACAAAATGCATTAGCGGGAGTGCACATACACTTTGTCAACCATATGTCTAACCTTAAAATGCTAAAAAGCCTTATCTGGACTTTAGAAATTGCTCGCATATACCACCGGCCGCGGTAATAAAATTAATGTTACAGGACTATGCATTTACAAGAGGTACTGTTATAGTCTGCTAATACACCGGTATCAGGATGCGATATCAATTGACAAGCAGCGTTAGCGCATTGTTAATTAAACAACAACGTACGTAGGAAGCTAAAGCAAATAGGAAATGATGAAACTTATATATACTAAGGGAAATTCAAGGCGCGCTAAGTAGTACACATAGTCCTGCTGACATTCATGTTGTTGCTATAAGAATATCGCCAACAATCACCTTCACTGACTTCTGAATCATGTGCGCACTTGATTTAGCTAGACTCCAGCCCTCCGATTAACTCTGTAAAGCCGCCACAAAATTTTGCTGTTGATCTCCCGGATCTCCCGAATGCAGTCGAAAACGTGTAAGAATACTGTATGACTAAATTTAGCGGAAGTTGTATTATAGTGTTAAGTAAATAGAGATGCAAAGTTCATGTGCATCAGGAATGTGATTTTTAAATTTTTCTTGTTGATAAAAGCGTACAGAGTACGTAAGTATCTATCAGTTTTGCTGTTATTTTATTTGACCGGAAAAAAGCGGCCCAGCCCCTGAGCCGCTATGACATTGGATATTTTTACAGGGTCTACATTACGCTGATCGTTGTTGCGGTTCGCCCAGGAAAATTGTCGACCTAAAACTTTATTTATCCTTTTTACTTCCAGTAGTGTCTTTCCAGTATTGGCTGTAGGATATTGCTGTGCTGATGCCAAACCTACTGTGTGTAACAGTAAAACACTTTTGCAGATAATTAATTAGTTGCTATTTTTCGAAGCAATGACACATAATAATTAACGAATAGGAGATAAGCTTAGGTAGAAAGACACAATAGTACAGAATTACCTGCAACGGTGATAAGGTACGGCCATTCAATCGCCAAAGGTTGGGCAACGAAATGCAAGCTTGCGTAACATTGTTATACTAAAGCTGAAAACTGATAACAGTCGGTTCACGAACTATACATATCTTTATGAGCAAACATAAAAAGGTGCGCCTTTCGCTCATTAGTAAAATTAAGTCTTGCTGCTGTCGGTCGTTGTCACCTGCACTATTAGTGCTGCACACTCTTATAACGCCACACTCTCATCAGCTACATTATTAGTTATTACTGCTACGCCCCATTGTGCTATAGAGTACAGATATTGCAGTTGGCAATCGAAAAAAAAAATAGTTTTGCGAAGAAAATGCTTTACCTCAGTGCGAAAAAGCTTTTGTTACTAATATTTGCTGTTTTTGCCTGTGAACTGTTCATTGGTTCGAATTCAAAAAGTTTACAGCCGTGCGAGCAACGCCCCGTGGTAATCGATGCCATCTACCATGACTGCCTGGTGCCTGAAACTGTAGACATATGGTGTGCGCATCCAGCATTACCGGTTCCGCTTCATCCCGTTCACTTCCTAAGCACACTTCAAAGTTACCGATCCACCCAACGACGTGGAGACCCCAAGTACACTGAACTGATATACAAGGCATACAAGGAAATTAATGGCCGCTGCCAATTAGTGCCGGATCTGGAAGCGGTCGACCGTATGCTAATCAACAGTGCGATCATCGCGCTCGATTATCGGTACAATGGAATGTATTGCTGTTACCATCCTCAAAAAGGGCACCGCGGCTGTCGGATCATCAATGTGACCACGGTGACATGCGATGATATTACTTTAGCTAGTATCAATACCACTTCGGGAGCAAAAAACAAAAATTTTCCGGATACAGTCGATGCCATTGAAAGCATTCCCATGAATACTACTGATTCATCCGTCCACAGTGTGCAGGAATACGACCAACTTAACGGCAATGATCCGGAAGAGGTTAAAAAGGATATCGCGGCAAACATGACCTCTGGCGATCAAGGTTAAATATTAGCACAGTAATGAAGCTTCTACCATAGATCTAATCTTGGACTTGGATGTTTCTCGCATTTCGAACCTTTTGCCCTTTGGGTCACTAATTTCCACTTTCATATTTCGGTCACTGTTTCGCAGATCGACTTCGAGAGCAATTTACGATTATCGAAATGACTACTAACACAGTGAGAGTGAGCTAAAAATGCGCAAAAAATCGAGATAGAGAAGATACTAACGAATATAAGTTTTTGTAAAGCACTTGAATTTTAAATTTTCATGCAGCATCCATCAGTTTTAGTCCACAGTACTACAAAGCGGTAATTTTCGCTGTTGTAAAGTAAGGTGTGTAATACGATACCACGCCGTGTTTAAGGTTATTGTTATGTCGTAGATGCCGGTGGAATATCACGATTCGATTCACTGCTGCAAATCCTGCTTGTTGTCACGATCTTTGCAACAATAGGAAGCATTGCAGCTCTCCTAACAGTTATTTTCTGACTTGTGGACGACGGAGTTTTGCCAGGCCTGAAGAAATACTGAGCAATTTTGATACACCCGCATTAAACGACTGGTTTCTATTTTAGAATTTCTCGAGACTGTTCTTTAATCACTATGTTGCAGAACTTCAGTATCAGTAATCATTTCTCATTTTTGTTCGCTAGTGCTGTTATGATTTGTTAGCTAAAACGGCTGCAGGTTTTTAAATAATAGGTATGTAGGCAATAACGGACAATTCCGGCATGTTGAGTCATGCGAGTAGAGATTACAAGGGAAAGTTTCATTGTGTATCTGTATTCATTTGTAATAACATAAGGATCGTAATTCTGTGCTGGAGAGTATAATCATCAGATTTTGTTAAGTGGTCGATATCACACGATTTATTGAAAGTCTTAAATAATTCAGATCAAAGGAGACTTGAAGGTTATAAAATAATGATTATGAACAGTGATATATGCAACAGCTAGGGCGAATTTCTCACAATTTATGCTCCGGGTAAAGTGCTTTCATCAGCAGTCTTCTTGTTTTTTGTCGGCAATTCTGTGGTATTTTGTTCTACTTTTCCAAACTTCAACTGCAGTTCCGCGTGCACTTCCTGAAAAGTCTTCCCCTTAGTTTCCACCGCCGTGAAATAAATAAACACCGTGATAGCCAACATCAAACCAGCACAAATCGCAAAAATCCATTCTTCAATGGCGGCATGAACGATGGGAAATAAAAAGACCGCCGCAAGGCACGGCAGATAATTACACGCTGAAATGACTAATAAGGCCGAAGCACGCGTGTTCCGAGGAAATAATTCTGCCGACCAAATCCACGGAACACTACCGGTGCCAATATTAAAAAATATCATAAACACCAACAGACAGGCGAGTGCCGCATACTGACACCCGCCACAAGAGCTTTTAGATAAATTTAAAAATATCACCATTCCAATATTACACAGCAGGCAACCTCCAGCGCCGATTAAAAACAATGTGCGTCTTCCAAGACGGTCCACCAAAACCATGCACAGCACAATAACAAACGGGGGAAGTCCCATTAATCCAATGGTGCCGTATACCGCAGAAGATTTCGGTAGACCGCCCGCTGCCAAAATAGAAGTGGAATAACTCAGTACGGCAGTGTAACCGGAGAGGTGTTGTGCCATCATCGCTACGCCACAAATAGCCAACGCCCATAGCAGCACCCTGTTAGTGAGGACATGCTTCAGCGACATTGACCTTTGTCCCGCCATTCTGTCTTTGTCGGCTTCAATCTCATCCAATTCTTTCACCACATCTTCCGTATTTCTTAGCCATTTTAACGCTCGCAACGCTCGCTCGCGTCCATTCTTTAACGTAATTAAATGCCGCGGACTTTCTGGACAGAATGGAATAACCAGGAATAAAACAATCGACGGGATGAGGCGCAACCAGAAAACGTTAATCCATAATTCTTCCGTGCCAAAAAGGATTGGAGTGCCAAAGAAGACGCCGATAAGCATGCCGGCAGTCCAGAACATCAGAGCAAACATGCTCACCGCGCCGCGCAGTGGAATCGGACTAATTTCGGCCAGATATACCGGGACAACGAGACCACACTGACCGGTAAAGAAACCCAGGATGAACCGCCCAATAATGAGCATCTCAAAGGAATTCCCAATGGTGCAGAGACTGCTGATGAGGGTGCCGATAACAGAAATAATGTTGGATAGCAGCAGCGAATGCCGGTTGCCAAAGCGGTGCTGGAACCATCCGGCAGACCATGCACCAACAGCGCCACCTGTCGGAATGGCGGCTCCGACTAGCGCCCATAATGTGGCTAACTCTCGATTGCCTTTTAGGATTGTGGGAAGCTGACTGTTTTGAACAAAGCTGCACCACAAGGTTTCTTCGGAATTATTTGAGACATTTAGCGATAGATTAAAGGTAATAGATTCGTTCAGGACAAGGAATCGCCGTGTGCACACAACATGCCGCATCCATTTTAGGATTAGAAACTGGATAGTATTAATGGATGTCATCACATAGCCCATGGGAAGCCATGTTCCGAAAGACACCACACTGGCAACAAAAATTAGTTTCCATGAGAGTCCAGAAAATTTGCTCACCATATTTTTCTCTTTCGATATATGCTTAAATTAAAATAACTATAGCCAGCACATATTACTAATTTTGGAATTTCTGCAGTTTACCGCAGCACAAAAACACTGTATACCGCAGCTCGGTTGATCACCACAAGGAATCGACTCAAATTGCTTACAGCAAAGTTTTATCATAAATTGTAAAACTGGGTGTGATTATAACCATCACCAGCCAGAGGCTTAAAGCAATCGCTTGAAGTGTTAACCTCTAACGTTGAACCAGACTTAGTCGTTCCGTTGAAAGTTAATAATCTTAACATTAATGAATTATTTAAGAGGTGGTGGCAATATTAAATAGCCATGTGAGTTCATTAATCTGACTTATTGCACAAAATGCACAAACTTCACAACCAGTCATCAGTGCATTACCGGCAGTATGCGCTTTTGGCAGCCAATAAAACTGTATACAGTGAAAAGTACCCGTATATTATTCTGTCCTTTGGAATCTCTAGAATCTAGCGTCTTCGCTTTAGTAATTTTATTAACGCGCTTTGTTTCGTTGCGCTTTTTCGTTTTGTTTATTCCTTGGTAAATTTTAAGTAAAGCGTTCTTGTTGTAAAGGGTTCCGAACAAAATGCTCAATACTTTACTAAACTTCAAATCTTAAGGTTTCTGTAGAGCGGTGACATAACGCTGAGCAATTAATTACTGCACTCATTATAATGAGTACGGTACAGTAATTAATTTCTTAACACCTCCCTAATTACTCAGTAGGGAGTGTGTAATCATTATCAGTGTAATCATTATAATGCCTTATTAATAAGTGCGATGGCTCTCTGTTGAACAATAGTAGTGCATTGACTAGCCGGTTCGGTGAGTCAAAATTAAACTATGCCAGTCTTAATCTTATCAGTTTGCACAAGTTCAACGGATTTGCTTTTAACAAACTGCAATCATAACAAAACGGGTGAAGCCCTGTACGTAAATGATTCTCTAAATTATGGAGTGACCAACAGATTGTTACTTTTTTTCTTTAAATCCAGTTTCGTCTTCATAAATGATTGAGCGGCTTTTAATAGCAGCTGCATTGGTAGCGGCTGCCATTTATTTACCTGCTGATTATGGCGAAATTGTCTGCAAAGACCGACCGGTGCACATTGCAGTAGTTCACAAAGAATGTGTGCCCGCCGAGAAAGTCGCCATGTGGTGCCCAAATCCAGCAGTACCAATACGACCACAATCAGCGCAGTTTGCCAAGCAGTTTACGGCCATGAAGTCTCCACGCAGTCGACCGAGTTCCAATATCCGAGAATATCTTATTACCATGAAATATGTCCACAAGAACGACCACTGTGATTTGACTGCGGATATTGAAAAAGACGAAGATTTGCTTGTCAACGGAGCGCTCATTGAACTGAAGGAGGCTAACAATGGAAAGTACTGCTGTTATGACTTCCGAAACGATCAGTACGGTAGCTGTTGGAATATCATGGTTAGTACGGAAAGTTGCAGCGCTGATACCACGCAAACCCCGACTTATACTGCCGATCAAACTGATACGACCCAGATCAAAGGAGTGGAGCTTTCTGAGTCGGCTCAGGCAACGGAGAACTCGGTTCCTGTGGAGATTCTTGATGACCTTAGTGCTGACAACATTACACCTTTGGACAACCTGGGTTAGTAAAAATAATGCAGACACCTGTGCCTCGTTCTAATTTTTTGGGAGCGTTTAAGTTTTGTAAATATTTTTAGTAATCACACAAATTTGATAGATTTTATTAGCCCTAATGGTATGACCCTTCTGACAGACGATATGGAAGCGACCACTAAAGAGTGCGCAGCCATAGGCTATGATAAACATGTTGAACATCTCGTATTTGGATGTATTTTGTCGTTCACGGGAGGATGCTGCATAGTGGCGTTCGCTGCCTTCGTACACTCTGGAAGCCGTCAACACAAGCACCAAGCGATTTTAAGGCCTCCGCCCAAAAACATGCAAAGGCACTGTGTGTCAAATAATGATTACGAAGACGCAAAGTCGATAGTACAACAGGGCCAAGCACTTCTGGTCGATAAAGAGAAGATGACATTTGAGAAGACATTTGACAACTCGGCCGATGACCAACAATTGCTGCCAAAAGAGGAAGCTGTTATAATATCGGTTGAACGGACTGCCCCAGGCTGTGACATAACAATATCATCTCTTGCAGAAACTGTACCATTTTTCAGTGACAAATTGGACGGGTCATGCGCATTGCAGTGAATTGTATGTCTTAAGTCAATCATTCAACACGCAGCTTTTATTTTTCTGCTGTACTTGCTACAGTTGTGTGTATTTTGGCTTGTTTTTATCTTATTGCTGATGGGCGCACTTGCACTCGAATCGTACTCCGTATTTTTACTGGCTGCTGGGGTGCGCGGATAAAAGCCAGAACTGAATTATGCTACATACAGAGATTCGGACTACGATGAAAAAGCGAAAACCAGAAGGTTTAAGCGGTGTAATATTCTAAGCGCCTGATTTACTACCGGGCAAGTGTCTATCGCAGCCTAACAAAAACGTCCATCGCTCGCACTATGAATCCCTTTGCTGACAGCGAATGTCTTGGTTGCACAAATAAGAAAGGCATGCTCTATGTATAAGCTTGGAAAAACATAATATATCGTAGATGCGAAGCTTATTTATCATAATGTATTCGGTGTGCCCTGGTCAAGTGTTTTACAAAAGCGTATATTTTCGCTACCAGGCACCATTCTGAGTATGCACACCGAGCTGAAGCGGAATTAAGTGAAAACGAACGACCCCGGTTTTTGGAAGCTTAGCCGGTTCACACAGTGCGTAATAGCCCGAAACTTTGAAAACACTTGCAAGAAACAGGCGTGTGTACGCAGAGCCTTGATACGCGCATTATTTTCCTCGCGGTGACCATTAATGACATCACGGGAAGCCAAACCAGGACAATGGCGAAACAAAAGAGGATACACAATAATAACTGAAACTCGTAATTAAACCGATTTTAAGGCAAATTAAAAGAACTAAACACCACAACTTGAAACAAATCGAAACTTTTTACTTTCATGTAGAAAACATGAAATTACATATACTTTGTAATTAGTAGATCATTCTATCCACTAGCAATAAAACTAGCGTTCTCACTAGCAATAAAACTTGGAAATTTTATAGTCTCCATTGAGATAATTAGTTTAGGATACCAATGAAGTACAGACTGTACAATACTGCCAAGCTACTCGTATATGCAAACATGAATAAGTTCACAATAAATAACGGTGGTCGTCAGCTCCCGCAAAATGGTTCGTTAATAACAGATATTCGAGAGAAAGTCATTAACCGTCTCCACGCTCGAAGATAGCGTACTGCACTATGCACTGGCGCTCTTGAGCAAGAGCTGCCTCCTCCCGTAAAGTTTCCCGGATCCTTTTGCAAGACTTCATCCCGCGGCATTGCGGATACTTATCTTGTAGCCGCTTGATCAGCTTGCGATTGGCCTTGCGTATTTCCAGGTAGCGGACAAGATAAACAAGTGTCGTTAAGAACAGTATCACGACAATAGCAGCAACCGCCCAAAGTGCCACATCCAGCGCTGTAAGTGCCACTTGCTTTTCAGTGGAGATCAGCCCAACGGACCGCGGTGGACGAGAAGCAACAACAACCATGCTAGGCGCCGTACTGCGAAGATATCTGAGCGTTTTAGATCGGTGTGGACTGCCTCCTGTGGGTTTCCGTTTGTGCGGGAGCGGTGCACCAGGGACAACAATATCGGCACAAAGGTCGTCGTTGTTTGTGAGGCTATCGATCCATGCAGACCTCGAGCGGGTTAAGGTTGAATCGCTCTTATCCAGTTTGCAGAACTGTTTGAACGAACACCTGCAGATTTTTCAACAACAGTAGGACATTCTTATTATTTTTCGTACTCCGTACTCCATACCAGACTTGGCCCATTTTCGCTTTTCCCACTTTCATCCCACCCCCACCTTCTCAGTTTAATTCCCAGCCCAGCCCACCTCCGGCTACTCAAATTTTCAGCCCATCTCACCTTTTCGATCTCATCTTCATTCCCATTTTTTACAGGCTCAACGCCGCTACTTTTGCAAGTTTTCCGCATACGACAGAACTGCCGGGCAAAAAAAATTTCGGTTTTTAAGAGAATATGCTCAATTATTGATAAAATCCGCGCGGAGCGCGGAAAATTTTTTGTTTTGGAAGCTCGAATGGTGCATTTCTACATGCTCTAAGCGTGAAAAACACATGAAAATATCAACATTTTTTATTTTTGTTTGTTTTCTTGGTCCCATCCCATTTTTCAACAATCCCAGCCCATCTCACCACATCTGCGGCTCTTTCCCACCTCATCTCCATTTTCACCTAAAAGATGATGGGAAAAATGGGGAAAATTTTCACCTCACCCAAAAGATGGGCCATACCGTTCTTATTTTGGCATTTATCAAAAACTATTAACGGAATAAAACCAAGATAAATACCAGTTTTTAAACTTAGACCAGGTACAGACGGCAGATATATATTAACGGGGAAATGCCACACGTTTGTTTATTTACCTTTGTAAACGGTTAGTGTTTTAATGGAGAAAATTATTTTATTGCTTTGATTTTTGGCCACACTTTAAAATTTTGCTACATATGCCCGTGCGTGGCAGCATGCAATTTTTTTTCGGCGTGATTAGAAATTTAGAATGATAGTTAGCTACTAACCCTTTGAAATGCGGACCAAGCCATAGGATACAATATGATTTTTTTTCCTACCCGAGTTAGTCGGTTTATGCACCATTTCCTTGTACATATGCCGTAGACTCAGACCTGTGCAGTTATTTTTAACTATTTAACTTAACGCGAGTTATTTTCGAGTTACCGAGTTATAACGTAACTCTGAAGCGTAACTCGCTTTCCCGAAAACTTAATTCTAACGTAACTCGCACAAAAATTGTATGTATTGTCAATGGTAGCGTAACTCGCCGAATAACTCAAAACTCGGTTTACTTGCACGAATAACGTAACTCGTAACGTAACTCGCACGCTCCCTGTAACTCCTAACTCTAACTCTGGGTGAATTTTTTATAACTGCACACTGTGCACAGGTCTGTGCCGTACTTTAAGACATCATACTGTGGCTGATGTTATTGTATGTCAGTAATTGACATTGCACGGTTTGCACCTACCGCTTCGTTGTTGGACACCATCCACAATGACTGCCGCCAGATCTCAAACATTCCATGCAGTTTGTGCAACGGGTGCAATTGTCGAGACTGACCAGTGCAATCTACAAACCGCCAAAAACCTCGTTGCAGAAATTCAGCTTAATGTTAATCGCGATCATGTTTAAAAAAGTTACCATGGAGCGTGTGGACACGTAGATGTGACTCGCGTTTCCCTTAACCGCCATATCAGTAATGAGGGGCGTGGTGTCTGAGTTGACAATTGTGTCGTCGTTGCGTCCGAAATGACGATCCAGTATTGCTTGTGGTTCGATAGAGTTATTCAGCAAAGGCAGCCATATCTAATGGTCAAACATAATTTTATTATTGGTACTTGAAGTACTCAAGACGGATTACAATAAGAATTTCACAAGATAAACAACCAACCAGTTAACCAAATACAAAATTACGTCAAAAACTCTGTCAAAAACTTATTTGCAAATTTGTTTCGCCAAGCAATTTTTCCATATACCTTACGCAGAATTTGTTATTAAAAGTGAAATTTAAATCGAATTATTGGCCAGCAGATATCGCCGTCGGTGAAAAACTATGCGAGAACTATCTGCAGGGGCCCGGGCAATGGCCCGCATGATGGGTATTCGCTTTACCGAATGTACCATTTTGATCTGGTTATGTTCGAGCACGAGTAGAATTTCCATTCCATCAAAATCTGTCTTGTACAACTGCCGGGCAGTTGAGGTGAAAATCTGAGAAGTGGCTGATCGTTTCCACGACTTGTAAGATCAATAGTCAGTTAGTAATACAACTACATACCACCAATCGCTAAGTTTAATGGTCCTACAGAAGAATCCTTACCTCCTTGACGTCTGTATTGCCGCTCTCCCACTGGTATTCGCACACGATAGACAATTCACGGGGTGCTGTGAAGAGCATAAATAGCGAACTTGACTTGCCCTTTTCACTGTAGAGAACTGATCTTATCTCCGAAAATTCGATTATTGTGTCCTCTTCGTTGGTTTTTGTGTTGCAGTTCACGGTGCGAAGAAACTCCCAGTAGCACGATTTCGTTGAGTTCCGATACCAGATTTCAGATCCACGGGTTTTACTACGAACTATGCGAAAACTTGTCCTACTCGTAACGAAACTATACGTGATATTATCCCAGATGTCTTCGGGGCAACTCCATGGCCCAGAATTATTCCGTATTTTTGGGAGACCGTTTGGATGGTCTGTATGCGACGTAGTTGTACGAGGAGAAGCCTTTTCGTCTTGGAGGCATCCGTACTCGAGATTCAGCGAAGCGGGTGCAAATAAATTTTCCTCCCAAAACTTCTGTAATTGATAAAGTTGGCGGGATAGCTCTGGTACATTTGCCATTGTCCGCTTGCTTGTAAAGCATCGTAAGGTCAAAGTGGTAGGACCAGTGGCCTAAGCTGGGAGTCTAGTACTACTTAATCCCTGAAACAGATGTACTGTACCAATACACATTAAGCGCACCCCGTGGCTGTAAAAATCGAGTGGGTTCACAGCAACAAAGTGTTTAGCCGAAAAAGTCCATGACGCTTGACTGTCTGGACTTTCAAAGTCCAGGTATGACCATTCTTTAAAACAAGTCTCTGAGCAAAAGGAGCCACGTGATAATCCCACAAAAGCTACATGCTTTCAGAGTTTCAGCATAAAGTAAACCGAGTCCGACCACAACTATGTATAGTTGTTGTCACAGCAGGCTTTTTGACCTGATATTTTACAGTATCACTTTTAATTTGTTTAAGCTCAGTTCAACGCTCGGACATGCTTCACCGGAGCTAAGAATTAGCGAATAATTATTTTATGAATCTCTAGCAGCAATATTTTGATGTTGCACATGATACTGATGCAGTTCATAATTATGTCATGAAAGTACCCACTATGCTTAGTATTGTGTACTGCAAAATAGGCTTGCAACCGTTGTCGAACGATGTCGTCCACTAGCATCCGTCTCGTATCCGTAAAAATCTCTGACACCAACCTTGTTCAAAATTTTATGATACTGTGTTTCTGCACAAGGTATTCGTCAAACCTGAAGCCGCTAGCTCCATTCTTTCAAAACAATTGTAGGAAGAAATCGGTAGAAAGCAAGTGTTATATCTGTATGAATATTGAATACGACTATATCCAGTATACTGTACACGTATTACAATCGCGAAACAAAGTACCCGCCACCCTGTATTTAAAGTTATAAACTGGAAATTTTACATGCGATTATATAATTTTGCGAAAGAAATACTTGTCCCTTGAAGAGCCCATTTACCACAAACCTTAACTGGGAGTGCAGTTAGTCGCTGCATGCTGGAGTCCAAGATCGACACGCTTCCGTTTGTTTTAACATAGAGTTTACCGTCAACAGCGTTTCGGAAAAAACAGTCGATTTTGTCGGCAATCTGCACAGACTGCAAAATATATCCACTAACTGCATTAAGTGGGAGGATTCCGGTGCCGACTCTTAGAAGATGCAGCATGAGCAGCCATTTTTGCGACCACAGTGTCTGCATTGGAGCTGACCAGTGATCTCAAATTTACAGTCCCATAGAAATTCACTGCTTCATAATGTTCCAGTGTAAGGTGAAACTGTTAATATTTCATGAAACGACAAGAATGCCAAAGTAGAGCGTGGAAACCGCTAAACAATGAAATACCCAGTCTGTATATTTTCGGAACGAGTTGCGTTTTGGACAAAAACTCTAGCATTTTCATTTTTGAAAAGCCTTAACAGAGTACTAGGAAACAGTTAGCAACGAGAACATTTATTGCTTACACACCTACCTTTTCGGGATATATATGTATGTACTCGTATATCAATACCATTAGCTACTTCCTTCGATGTTCTTGAACCCCATATTATTCAATATCTGTTCGGGTAGGTACAGCAAACGGATGTTCGAACAAGATACATAGTTTTATTAAACCCTCCGCAGTCGGCCCCATTATCTTTCAAGATAAGTTACAGCGCTGCAATTTGCCACAGGTACTGGGTTAACAGAAAAGGCTACAAACGCGTCGGCCGAACAAAAGCAACCTTGACACGAATCGTACGGTCACGTTTATTGGGCTCATAAAATTAATGTGCGCCGTACAATGCTGCAGTCGCTTATTATTAGTAAACAATCTGTCTGTTGTTGGAAAATGCAACGTTAGCGCAGCTGATGAAACTGGACGGCCTATCGCTCGGCCCGGTAAAACTGTTCAGTTGCTTAATCAAACCGTCATAATATTCGCGCTTATAAACCGACTAAGATAAAAGAGAGAACATTATCCACAGTTACATAACGTACAAAAAGGCGAAAATAGGTTTTCAAAATATTTTACGGCCACATGCGCACAGACTACAAAACCCACTGATACCGACCCATTCTGCGCAACATATGCATTGCAGCCACTGCTAGAATACGGTACCGGCAATTTGTGATAACGAATTTTAATAAAGATTAATTAATTAAAGATTGACTTAATTTTACCTTGTGGAAAATTTTCTATTAGAAGCGTATATATAGATACGATACGACTGGTTTTGTTTGAAGTGGTCAAATCGGCCATCAGAAAGTCCAGTAAAATCATTAACCCGGCAACGTCTGCTAGGTGGAAAAACCACCAGTAAAGTTCGCCAATTTTTACGACTCCAGGACTACTGTCATTGCCTGGGTTACATATGCATTAGAGAGCAAAGATAACTCTTTACACAGTGAGTTTTAGTTTTTTTATCAAACACACCATAAAAAACCTACATTGCTTAAAAAACACTGAAAAAATAACGTATAGTTCTACGAAGTGTATCTAAATCGGCTGTTATGGTAAAAATTTGGGATTAAATTAGTGATAACTTCATGTGAGTATCTCGCAATTTCAGTATCAAACAAAATTCTGCAGCTCTTATGTAAAAAACTGTGAATTTTCAAAAACAGCTGGTGGAAATTCCACCGCTTGGGCATTGGCGTAGGACAGTAACATGCTGCCTGAACAGGCACAGTGACCAGAGCCGCCCACTTCATATGATTCAGCCGTTGCAAACTAAGAGAGTAGCCTAACCATAACACTGTCAGCTAACTGATCGAAATACTAAACAAATAAGGACCTCCGAGTGCCTTTATAATAGCATAAATAGTAATAAACATTTTTCTTATCATATCACAATATTTTTTCGACTGCAATAGCAAAAAGAACAATAAAACGACGTTGTGATCGAAGCAGCCAACCATAAATATGGCTGGCTGTGATCAGTGTTGTGCACATGTAAATTGGCGCAGCCCAACATGACCCTGTTGCATACTGACCGGAAATCACACAGTTTTTCGATTATAAATTCAACCATGAATCTTTTCATGATGAATTAAATTGTATAAGTTAACTATTGTAAACAGCTACCACAGCCAGGTTGATTCGAGTAGGTCAAGTAGCCACAATGTTGTGTACAACGGAATTTGTGTGGTGTCGCACCGGCAACCACCTTGCCCACACCGTGCGTATTGTATATCGTTAATGCCCAAGCGGTGGAATTTCCACCTACCCCTCAAATTTCAAACTACTGCAGCAAAAATTTTGAAAAAAATAGTTTAAGTTCATTATATTATTGTTATTCTATGGTATGAATTTCAACTTCGACAAAAAATTCCTTGATACCTCGGGCATTGCCGGGTTAAATCAAAGTAGAAGCCCACTACGTAAGAACAGAAAATATTTCAATGGCGATAATTGTGTATACCAATAAACATTTCATAAGTGTGACTCAACCGAATTGCGTTTAAAATGTTAAACGTCCAGTTGCATGTGGCATGTGCACCTGAATTTTACGGCAGTCAATCTTATCGCTATCAGTCAGTGCAATGGCCGGCTATCAAAAAACACAATTGAACGTAATCGGTCAAATTTTGGTTACACACCGAAATGCAATCATCAATTACACACGCAGACGAGGCATGGATTTGTTTACTAAAATTATGCATAACGTAGTTTCCGACGTTTGCAAAGCTGGATTTTTTTTCACGCTATTATAAAAAGCATAGCGGGTAAAGTCATGTTGTAAGCAGTTTCCTTCCGTTTTCTTTTATTGTGGGCTTTTAACCTAAGACTGTCATTGTAACAGTTCTACCGTTTGCCAAAATGCAGACTGTAGGTTTAATCGTGGTCTGCATAATGTATGGCGTTATTGCTGGTTTGCCTGTTCCTAGTGGCGAGGTCCCATGCGAGGACCGGCCAGTCAATATCGAAACGATCCATAAGAAATGTGTCAAGCCCGAGAAAATCGCCATGTGGTGCCCCAGTCCAGCCGTACCAATACGACCCCAGTCAGCCCATTTCCTCAAGACATTTACCGGGGTGCGTTATCCGCACAATCGCCCAAATACCAATAGGCGGGAATATCTTATTACCGTGAGACATGTTCACAAAAATGGGCAGTGTGTGGAGACAGCTGACATCGAAAGGGGCAATCTCACGATCAACGGAGCATTAATTGAGCTAAAGGAAGCTAATAATGGAAAGTATTGTTGCTATGACGCGGCAGATGATGATTATGGTAGTTGCTGGAATATCATGGTTACAGCGGAAAGTTGTCACGCCAGCGATGCCACCCGTATATTTACCTCCAATACCGAAGCAACAGATAGCACACCGAACGCTTCCAACACGGAAGTGATGGAATTTACAACGGCTGAATCAACGGAGAATTTACATTCTAACGAAGTCCGTGGTGAGACTGGTCAAGGCATCGTCCCATCATTGGAGACTATCAGTAAGAACTATTACCGACGCCAGTTGCAGCTTACGACACGGTAGTTCTAGCTTATATTATGGCACAAAGCACGAACGAGCGATTCTTTTCAAAATCGGTTGCATTAGAAAGCGTAACGAACTAGTACGTACAGTCTGTACATATGGAACACTACTCGTACATTGTGCTACTGAAGCTTTAACTTTTTAAAACCGGTTTCCAGATTGTTTCCATCTTATGGCATAATATGGGGGGGGGGGAGCCACCGTATTCTCAGCAATTATAACAGCTCATACTTTCTTTCATATTCAACATAAAGGTCAACATAGTGACAGACGTTTCTTTATAGCGGCGACCACGGACGCGCCACATAACGAGACTATCAGTACCGATTGTCGATGGCGTGCGACAACTTTAGTGGTGATCGGAGCTCTCTCCTGTATTGCAGGCTGCATTATAACAGTTATATTTACTCTGCTTCATGGTGAAGCAATAAAGGCAGCCTTTTCAAGATGTTCCCTGAAGTGCCAGACCGAACCACGTGCGCGAAAAGAAGTTTCTTCAGCAAGCCCCAATAACTGGGAAATACAATCTGTACAAGGCAATGAGTACACCAGTTCGCCGGAGCAGCACCGGCAGTATCCTTCCGGTAACGACAAACGCGCTTGTGTAGAATGCAATATCTCTCCCGAAGAACAGACGCTTTTGTCAAAGAACAAAGCCACTGCAGACACGATAGCGTTTACGTTGGATAACAGTACAGCGGTTTACGCCAAAGTTCCAGCAGCAAATGACACCACTGGACAAAATGACACCGATTAAAAGATCAGTGAACTCAAATTCTTAAAATTTCAACTTCCAGGCAAATTTCAGTTAATAGAGTGGCGAATTAATTGGTAGAATGGGAACAGATTTTCCGATCTTTGGTGCGTACTCTGTAATGCAATTTTGCAAAACACCAGTAACGCTGGCATGAGCAAGTTTAACTGCCACGGGTTTCTGCATATTGGTGTTATCTTCATTACTCCTTACCAATAGACGTGGAAATATAAGACTTCAAAATGGGGACATACGACTTTCTCTAGTACCGTACCTGATTTCCCGATTGTAAATGTGATTACACCATTGTATATTGGGAAAATTTATGCTCCTATCTCCTGCAGTTTGGAATTTGTATGCATTTGTATTCATTTGTAGTTTGTACGCATATAACTTTGTCTCATTGTAAGATTTAAATCCGACCAAACTCAATGACTACTGGAATAACGCCAAGAAAAATAATTGGAATACCACTGTGGGTTTGCAAAAGTAATAGCTTCTACCGTTTTTCTGGCAGTCCGCAAGAACGTTTTTGGCTATTCAGTTTATTTGAACTTCAGAAATAACAGCATTTGAAGTAATCAACGAAGGCGCTTTTTCTTCTTCCTTAGCAGGCCCATTACGTTGCCGGTAATGATGCACAATACCAGTAAATTTTTCCATATAGCGTTTTATATTTCCATATGTATGTTTTCGTTGGCTTTCTGTGCATCTTTCATCTAGTTTCTGGTATGGTAGAGACCGTGAACAGTTAGCTTTGCGAACGATTAATCCAATGGCCACCACTCCAGCAAAAAATAGCACAGTCGCTACCGTCCACGCCACGAGACCAGCTGCCCTTACTGAAAGATCACTGATTAGTCTACCGGTAAGAGACAATTTGCCGATAACGAAATACCTGCAAGATCAAGTGACGATGCCGGGAAAGTTTTCGTTTTTGTGATATTAGTCGGATTCTCGGCTGTCGTCCGGCAACGGTCATCACTTTCAGTCGCGCTGTTAATCCACACAGGGACTCGGCTTGCCGATTTGCCGGCTTTACACGGTTGCGCAAAGGTACATCTGCTCGATTTAAGAATGCTTATTAAGAACAGAGGCGGTGGCAGCTTAATCTGAATGAAGGAATACCACGATTGCAAAATAATGGCGTTGCAAAATAATGAAGTTTTCGTACTGTACTTACAGTTATATTTACCAACAACTTTTAATGCGGGTACTTGAACCGTACAGTAATAACGAGGGCAAATTATTCCTATCGCCAGTACCGTTTGCTCAGTGAGCACCATCCGCATGGGGCGTCGCCGGATATGACACATTCCGTACACGTGCTGTACTGCTTGCATTTATTGAGATTCACAAGGGCAATCTGTAAGAGAGTCACCAGTATCGACCAAATTAGCTTTCAGTTGGGAATTAATAAAGAGAAGAGACGGAATCAGCAGGTGTTCGTATACAGCGGAACCACTACAATACAACCGCTGTTCGTACTTTCTGTGGTGTCGATACGTAAACTCCGCCGGTGTTTCCATTCGGCACCACATCGGTAAGGTTGGGAACATTTGATGGCTTCCCTGCAAACTCTTCATCATCCATAAATCTGCTATCGAGAATCGCTTGTGGTGGGGCTTTGTTTTTATCCAGAGGCAGCCAAACCTGTCAATGTTGCCAGCGTATTGCATTGTGAAGGTTAAGTACATTGGCATCTAGTGTATTACAGTACATCGTACAAACATACGAGTACACATTTGAAAGCCGACGCTAATCAGTAATCACGCTACCTACGTAAGTACTTTTCATATCCACACACGAAGTGTGCTCTTTCTTTTGCATTATTTACTTATTAACAGCTGTTCAAGACAGGAAACATGCAATATGCTGATACATTAAATTTTACCATTTTGATCTGGTGAGCTTCACGCAGTAATAAAACATCTTGTCCGTCCACTGTGGCATTCATTAAGGTGTTTGCGCGGGAAGGAAGTATTTTGGAGGGCGTAGGGTTCAGCCAGTTCTAATACGAAACAAAAGTCATCCAGCGAAACCGCAAACATCTTTCTTGTTCTGTCCAAAACGCTCCGATCGCTTACGGTTTTCTCAAAAACATTGTCCACGGCTACTTGATATGCACAGATTACAGACAGCGACTTCGCCTCCATCGTGAACAGCACATACAAACTCGATTTTGTTGCCGTGCTCATGTGCAGAGCGGAAACCGCTTGGGAAAAAGAAAGAACTCTTCTTGAGAACGTCGGCGCTTTGCACTCTAGATTTTTAATCAACGTAGGTGCCTTGGTTTGTAGGTCACTTCTGTACCACAGACGCGTCTGCTTGTCTGTGTTCGTGATAATGAAGCGGTGATCACGGATAGTGAAGCTGTACATGGACGTTTCAGAAGTGAAGTCGGAATTCGTCAGCTGAACCATCGGTGCTACGATACTCTTTGCCATGGTCTCGCCAGTGCGTGTGAAACAATTATCGCCTGGCAAGCGGCTCTTTGTTACAGTTCCGTTGAAGTTCTGCAGTACATACAACATCTCTTACTGTAGATAGCTTAATTTTAATTAGTATCTCCTTTACTCCGTCAACCAGCAGATCACCGGGCCGTACCCTTGTAGTAGGCATATAGGTACTGTACTTGTGGTCGAACGGAAATATATGTTGCTTCACATTGTACGAAATTTCACATACCGTCAAAGTCGAGCTGCCGATCACCTGAAGACTTCGGTCTAATATCATGACCTTTTCGCCAAACCGAGCATAAATTTTCCCGGCAACACTGTCTCTAACAAAACAGTCAAGGGGAATGCCGAACCGAACCGATCTCGTAACGAATGCATCGGACAGTTGTTTTACTGTAACGTGTACAAACACGATTGCCAACACCAGGTAAGTATTCATACTTCTCTTCTGTACATCAAAACTGAACATCGATCTTGAAATTAAAACTTTTATTGGATAAATGCAATTTTCGTTGGACTTGACCTCATCGAATGCCGTTTAACAAGAAAGTAACGGAAAACTTTATGGAAAAGTTTATGAACACTTGTTGCTGATTTTTAAAATAAAACGCCATAGCACAAAGCAAACACCCCGGGTATGTAACAAGCAGTTGGGAATTCTGTTTGCATGTTAACTGACTACGTTGTTTTCACTGCTTACGCTATTTAACCAGTTGTGAGAGAATTATAAAGCATGCCCAACCTTAATTGATATCAATTTTCAAGCTTATACCATATCCGAGCGCTGCATTACCATTAACCCTAGGATTGGCTTGGTGACCCTCTGCTGATTGCCACGACTACTTCCAATGGAAAATATCATAATTCATGATAATTGCCTTATCTAAAGCGAAACAGCGCAGAGAGTTGTTTGATAAAGGCAAAGTTGCACATTCGTTTGAACCCCGTCGAACTGCTTATCGCGTTATTTGTTGGATGTTCAGTATTTAATTTTGGATTTAAACTTCACCGTATTATACTGACGCTTGTGTACAGTGGCAGGTTATCCGGTGATTTGGAGAGTCCAACGGACAAAACAGGGTAGGAAAAAAACTGGCAGAACGGTGAACAATTTTAATCATTTTTAATCGTAGGGCCTGTAGCCGTTCAACTGCTCCATCTGTTTAAAGTATGAGATCGAAGAGAATAGGTGGGCACTACATAATTTGAGGAGAAAACAAAAAGCAGAGTATAAATGCAACTGCATAAACTGCATGCAGTTGTGTAAACAGTATTCCCATTTAAAATATTTAAATGCCCTGGATGTGTACGTTTTATTATGCAAGTTTATTAGATTTACATTATAATACTGGTCACCGAATTGTTAACTTTCCCGTTCAGCCACTAGCAGCATTAAAAACTGCCGGATAAAAATAAACGTTACGCAGATCTATTATCCTGACGGTATCCCGTTATGAAATTCTGACTTCGCTCTTATTTATGCAAAACTAGCGTCACTAAAATCAATGATAAACATATCGAATGTACCAAAGACAATAATTATTCTTTGATTTTCCGTGGCAGAAATGAGAAGCAAACTACACCGATCAGAACCTTCCTACATTGGCAGTTGTCTCTTTTTGGTGCGTTGCGACAGTGATGAGTGATGTCTGCGACTTTGCATGAGATAGCAAAACATATGTACCTCGTACGGATACCTGTTTTGAAGCAGTATGAGCAAACTCTATGTATAAGGGAACACTTAATAAAGTCTATAGTGTAATTATCCCATAGAACACATAACCGCACCCATTATACTAAGTAGCACAAGGAATTGTACTTTTAACTGGGCAGTGAAGTTTACGTTTAAAATCGGTTTTCACGTTACGGATTTTCGCTTTATATGCAGCTGCTATTGCTTAAATGTTCGAAATTTATGGAGCGTGGTAGCTGCTAAGCCCGCCCTTGCGGCTAATTCCCAGTATTTCTGTGTGTAAAACATTTCAGAATTTTTGATGAATCATGTACGCAGAGAGTGTGACGTTTTCTGCTTTCTTCGTACACTGCTTGCACTCATGTCGAAATTTCTGGCGAACAAAATGTAGAACGGCTGTTCAGGTTTGATAAGTGTTCATTACGAGGCTGTTTTGTAATTGGTACATCATCCGGCGGTACTCCCAGAAAGCGATAACAATTGATAAGTCAAAGACTACCAGTAGGTATCTGTATGTGATCTGTACAAGCCACCTGATACACGCTCTCGGCAGGTTCCAAACGGCGTATAATTATATTATCGCAAGCGTGATTTTAATGTAATGTGAGTAATACTTTGTATATACACAATATATAAGCATGCCGCTGCAGATTTATTAGAGCTACTGGGTGCCAACGTCCAGCCGAGAGGTTCTGTCCATCTATTCTTGCGATGTGTCCTTATTACAGCTCCGAGTCTACGGATGCAATTTTGCCGGTCTCTGTAAGCAAAAAATCCGCTGAGTTCTCCATTATCCTGAATAAACGCAGCGCTTTTTAGCATCGCAAACCGTTATTGCATATTTTTCTGGATTTCGATACATTACTGCCGGTTTTGTGTTGCACATCGCTCCTAACATCCTTTATCAGCAAATCCAATAAGACAATTCGAAAATGTTGTGTGTACGTTACTGTGCCGCTTTGTTGCTTTTTGGTTTGTTCCGACAGTTAGTAGTCCATGCTAACCCACCCTGTGTACCGATTAATCATGTTCACCATATGGGTTTTATTCCGCCCCTTAACATCATTTTCCGGTGCTCTGTATCCGACATGCTGGTTCCTCCTGATTCTGGCCGAAGCCAATTCCATGGTCCTTATCCAGTCATTCGCGATATGCCGCTTGCGACATACACCGAGGAGCAGCGCAATGCGTCGCGGATCTTCAGCAAGAATGGCGACCGTTTAGTCCATCCATTTTCACCTGGTAGGCACAAGGTCAACGAATACAACCTGCCCTTGGAGGAGTTCAACAACGGCATATACCGTTGTATGAATTCGCAAATATCGCGATCACCTGTTGGGACGTCAGTGTAAAATCAACGATTTTATACCGATTCTCCCGGTGAAATCACGCAGACAAGCCAGAATTCCAGTAGCCCTGGCACTGGACTGTTACAAGTATACATTAGCTTAACTAATAATAATATCTCCTTATATGTACATCATAGAAGTATCGTTCTTGCGCCTGCCCTAATCTATTTATATGTGTTTTGGAACTCAGCTCAGCTTATAAAGCGCCGGCTGACATTTGTATCCTTTAGCTTATTACTATCATTAAAGCTCACAGTAACATCCGCGCCTTTACGAAATAAGCACGTAACAACTTGGTGGCTCCAGGGCCGTTGACTGTTTTACTCAGTTAACACGAGCGCCCATGATAAACTTTGTTCTTTAAAGTATCTATACATACCGCGATACTTTTGTGACCTTTCCACGATTTATTTACGTATTTCGGATCACTTGGACACCTTGCAACCCTCTCCACCAGCGATTGTTATGCCGTAAACCGGTACGTACGCTACGCAGCTAATGTCTAACATAGATGCCGCAGAAGAAGAAGCCCAGTTCCGGGAAGAAGAATACTTCTCCAACGACGAATCATCCGCTAGCGAACGTGACGACTCACCAAATCGAACAATTCTTCGAGTTGATTTGCCGCAACAACCCCAGGGATATCCACTCGTTCTCGACTCCATTTACCAGCTATACCAATTCACGATCAGTACGCCGCCCTTGAACGAGCAAACCGCCCAGCCAAAGCCATCCAGCCGCAAAAAAGCGAACGAAGCAAACGAAGAGAACCAACAAGAAGAAGTAACTAATCCACGTCTCTTCTTCGACCCAATACCTGAACCACCACCTCGTCCAGAAAGTCCACCTTATATCCAACCACAAGAAACATCGTTTTTCGAACTGTTGTCAAAGCGTTATCGTGAATTCAACAACAAAATGACTAAAGATGAGGACACTCTCGTTAACCACGCGAATGCCATTCGTGCGCAAATGGCCACCACCGATTACTTGCAACAGCAACTGCAGGAGATTCGGAATTTAGCAGAGAACGGTGCCGGTGCGACTGACATCATTAAAGGTATTTCTGAGACGCATAAGAAGAAAGTGCCAACTAAAGAGTTACCACAGTTTGCAAACAAAGAAGACGAAGATTTCGAGGATTGGTTATTAAAGTACGAAATCTGCATTAAACAGCACGACTGGACTAACGAAGACGCAATTAGTAATCTGTACCGTGCATTCAATGGCACTGCCCTGCGCATATACAACACGCTGCCTGCTGAAGGGACATGGACAGAAATGAAGAAGCTGCTACGCGATGCCTTCGCTAAACAGCTGTTCGATTACGACTTGGCTAAAGACACCAAGCGCTCACTTACGTACGCCGGTAATCCCAACGACTACTACGCCAATGTAATGCGATACCTCAACTCTATTTCTGACTCGCCGACCGAACGCGAAGTTGTGAATAAGCTGTTCGATGGACTGCCGCCGCAACTGAAGTCAGGATTTGTAAGCAATATGCCATCTACGCCGAACGAATTCCTCATTAAGCTGAAAGAGGTAGTGAGAGAGAAGGCATATCAGACTAAGCAGTGGGAGAGAGAAGTTGCCGACTGTGTGAAGAATCCTGTCATTGCCGCCTTATTCAATAACAGTGCTGATTCACGCCACAGCAATCCAAATATGGATGAACGCCTATCTGCGATTGAGAGGGCAATTGAGAGGATGACATTGAACGGATCCAGACCATATATGAACCGTCGTTTCGGCAGAGGCGGAAGAGGAAACTTTAAAGGACAGAGAGGATACACACGAAAGTTCTGTAATTACTGCAAGCGTACCAACCACACCATTGATGAATGCCGGCAACGAAATAAAAATAATCAAGTCCAAAGGAATATTCAGCCGTCGTATGCCAACATGCTGCATCAGCCAACCGTTCATGCTTTGCCGGCTCCGCAATATTTAAACTGAATACCACAGCTTCCCTGGCTCACGAAGCTGTGGATCGTAAGTCACTAATACCTATCTGTCATTTCTATACAGGCGCTTTATCATTTAACCTTTTCATTAACAATGAGCCACTCATCGCTATTATAGACACTGGGTCTGGTATTTCTTTAATCAGTGATCGTGTTGCATCAAAGTATTTATTTACTCGTATGAATTATAATGGACCTTCACTTGGGACAGTTTCTAATACAATAGTGCGACCAATAGAAGCATGCCGCATGGACATTCAATTATTAGGATTTAATGCCGAACTAACCGTAGCAATCCTACACAATTTTCCTTTTGATTTATTATTGGGCAATGATTATTTAATTACTACTCCGTTCCTATTAAGTTTTGTAGACAGCCAGCTGGTCAACCCGGAGAATCAAGAATCTATTCCTGTCGCCTGCGTACGCATACCCACTTCATACAGTATATTGCCTAATCCAACCTTGAACCTTCGTGGCCTTGAATCGACATTAAGCGCGCAACCTCCCATCAACAATGCCGGTTCAACCGTGAACGTTCATCGTAAACTGGATACAAGCCGGAATGAGTCTGCAGCTCCCGTTCCCGGCCTCAGCAACATGGCAGCACGTGCACAAACAGATATACAAGTGGATCCACATACAGAATTTAAAGATGAGAAGTTTATTAGCCCAACTGACCTGCTACAAGATGCCTCTCCGGAATCACAAGACGTCTCCATGG